AATGCTCGAAGATTTGAATTGAGTTGTTTGTCTGCTTGATTGCTTGGTAGAATGGATAGATGGAACAGAACGAATAGATATGATACGATCAGGAAACCGAGGTGCTATCTTTATTACTTTGTCATTGCTTTTATTTAACTGCAAAGAAGGAAAACCACAAGCAGTCTTATTATTTGGTGAAAACGGTTCGCTCGTTAGCATGAAATAGAAATTTAATAGAAGTTTGTTGTTATGCTGTAGCTTAGTTTAGTATTTGATTGAATCAGTTATTTGATATTTAAGCAGTGATGCATAGCAAAGTGTTCCTTGAAGATGATGAGAAGGATTTTTTATTTGCAATTCTTATTGCACTGAAAAACTGTAAACTAGAAAAGGAAATGACCCTGATGTATCGAAATCCTTTGATCATTTCGGATCATTTCATGGGACTAATGGTCTGCTTCCTGCTGATGCTATGTCTTGTTGATATCTTCAGCTCGACAGTCTCAATTAATTTTAGTTGAATCAAACACTATTTTTTGATCATCTTCAAGGAATACTTTGCACAAGACTATTTTTTGTGTTCTGTGCTTAACTTGTAATACTTTCAGGTTATATTCAATAACTTATACGGATCTAATGTTAGTGATAGTCATCCCCGAATAGTGTTTTCTATTTATGACATATTGTAGCATTTTTTGACTATCAGTTCTTTGGAATTTGACTTTAGAATGATTTAGAATCTTTAGAAGTTTAAAATTTTAAGTGAGCATAAGTCAATACTTTTTTGGAAAAATTAAAATTACCTATGAAACTTTTTTTGAAGCAAAGAATTCTATACGAATTTTTGTGCGTCTATCAAATTTTATTGAAACATTTCATAAATCTAGTTCCATTTAATGCTATTAGTATTATTCTTATGATTATCTTGTAAAAAATCCGGTTCGGTAAATACTTCAGATAGAATTAAATTAAATTTTCAGAAAATTTTATCATAAATATTAAATCAAAACTGTACAACAATAAATCATCGCTAAAATTATGTAAACTGGAAGAAAAGATGCGCAAAATAAACTCCATAAAACATCCAAAAATACAATATACGAGTTATCAAATTTTTAAGGAACAAATTACAAGTATTCAACAGGGACAAATATGCCGATTTTGATATAATCATTGATTGATCATCATTGAAAACGTTCTTGATATAATCATTGATTAACCAAATAGCACTGCTCCAAGAGTTCCTGGATCTTAGCTTTTTGTTGGAGCAGAAACTAATAAAATTGCAAATGAAGAAAAGTTAGAATATTGAAAAGAATCTTATTGCAAATAGCAGACCTAAAGAAATTTATCCAATTAAGCCGACTTCTGTAATCGATTTTGTTGTATAATATTTCATTTACATTTATTTTTATTTTCAAGTTATTTACTTATTACATGAATCAATATGTTCGGAATTCACGTCTGTATTTCCTTTTGTAAATTGAAATGCAATACTACAAAATGTATTTTCTTTTGTTGTTCCAGACAGTGGCTGTTACTCCCATATAATGGAAAAAAAATTCTAAATATATTAAAATCATTTTCTTATAAGTAGTTATTTTCTTAGAGAAACGATCAAAAATGAAGCCAGCAAACGATAGTTGTAAACTGAAATGCAATAGTGCAAAATGTAAACATGAGCACATTTATAATCTGGTTCTAAAATTATTAACTTTGTCAGGAGCATACGGTAGTAGAAATTGCCCAACATTCGGGGGATTGTTTTGAAAGAGGGTAATCAAAAAATTTTAATTGTTCTCAAAAAATTCCGAAAATTGTAGTCGTCTTGGAGTCTGTTGTCCACAAATTACTGAAATTTCTAACAACCCATCACATTCGTTCCCACCGCATTCGCATCTTTGCACCTTCCTTCGTCCTATATGTGAAATTACTTTTAAAATTGCTTCCTAAAGTTGAATTTAAATTTGCGATTTCCGGAAATTTCGAACAGTTGATAGGATTCGGAATCGTAGATTTTGCTTCAAAGATGCTTATGACATCAATTTTATTGAAAATGGTCAGTGAACTTCTGTTATAGTTTTACAAATGGATACTGATGTAAAGGTTGACCCAATAGGTCATTTTTCTTTAATTTATGAATAATATAATTGAATTAGAAAAGGAAATGCATGAGACTGAGCTCTAGCACATAAAAATATTTATAATTACAACATATTATTAAAGACCAAAAAGTGCGTTTCATAAAATCTTGTCTTTGAATTTATGAAAAAAAATTCTAGATAAAAAAGTGCTTAAAAGATTATATTCGCGGTTTTCATTAGTAGCATTTCTTAAAAACGGATAGAAAGTTAATGTCTTTCAAGTGCTTACATTTTATTTCATATTTTTATATCTTAAATCATGCAAAAACATTTTAAAAATCATAACATTTTCTACATATTAAAATACTTTCAAGATTACTCCTTTATTCTTTGATCAGTTTAATGATAAATTCCAGGTCATCAATTATGCCAGAAAATCCCTGTTGAGCATAATGATGATTTTATCTCAAGATTACTTCAAATCTAAAAGCCATGAGTTACTAAATTAAAGCCTTGGAAGTTCTTTCGTTCTTGATTGTAAGTGCTAATTATTTCAGCATAAGTTTCAAATTATTTCCTGAAGTAGAAAGACGAATAGTTTTATATGCTTCATCTTATGCTTCTCATTTAAGAAAGATGGATAAGTCTCGTAAAGTTAAATGGTCAATTTATGAGACAGTAATTAAATATATATTTCTAAAAAAAGATTGCCTTTGAAAGTGGTTAAGTTAAATGCTTAATATAACATGTCAGCCTTTCTTGTTAAGCTGTAACAGGCTTAATTCGATATTTTTTTAAATGAATTATTAACAGTAAAAAATTTAATTCTCATTCGAATGTGAAGTTAAGGAAGGAGAAGAAGCTAAGTGACTGGTCTGGTCAGTTTCAGAGTAATGGTAGCATTTGAACAATCTTTTTTTGATATAATCACGAAATATTGTGCAGTAAATGGTAGCACCAATCGCAAAGTTGTGCTTAAAACGAGTTTTCTAAAACTAAAATTATATTGTGGCATGAATGAATGGGATAGATATGTAGTTTTCCATAGCAAGGACACTGTGATTGTTCGGTGGATATTTCATGCACCCGCAATCTACAACAAAAAACTGTTACTTCTTTTGTGCATCGTACAAAAATTGCCATCTTGTGGACAAAAAAGTATAACAGTTTCTTGACAGGGTTGTGCTAGAAAACATTGTTTCTTTTTTTTTTTTCTTTAAAAAATACGAAACGAAGATTATAATAGTTGGTTTCATGGGAGGCTTCCTTCTTTGTTACAAACCTTCCCCGGGGATGGCGGCATTCACAGTAGTTTTTGCTTCGGGAGAAAAGGTATCTATTCCCTTAAATATAATAATTTTGCAGAAATGCACTTTCAAAAAGAATAAGATGTAAACTGGTTTATTGGCACCGTAATCGACCATATATGAGCTTGTTTGCGATCACAAATTTCATAATTATTTTAAATGATTAATGGATTAATGATTAAGGGACAGTATAATTTCTTGTCTTTTTTCATGACGAAGCATAAGGATAACATGAATTAGTTTACTCAACAAACTTCAGTGCGCCAATCAGTCCTTGTTAAAAAAGTTATATGCCTAGCATAATTTCATTCTCATCTAATTATTAGTAAAATAATAATTAAAGAGTATACCCATTCAATCACTTTATCTAATGAGTTCTAGTTTCAGTTTAAAAGAAGAATACAATAGATATGTATCTGCTCTACAGAAAGGAACAAATTCCTTCTCCATTCACTCTCTTCCTGAAAAACAACTCGAAATCTCGGTCGTTCTTTCGACACATGGAAACTTCCCTTCCTTTCTGTTTTTCACATTTCTTTTTGAAAGAAACAAATTTTCCTGGCCGCCATCTTACTTCCATTACATGTCTATTGGAATTCAGAGATATTCCAAATCAATAGAATTAAATTCTCTCTCGACGATGATCGAGATAACCCAAAGTGATTTATAACTGTTCCATTTTCTCCATCAATTCTTATTCAAACTGAACAAACACCAGTCTGTATGCTATACGCAGAAACCACGTGAACCACGTGACACACTATGACCCACATTCCCTTCTGCATGACTTCCACCCGTAGACTGAGACATTTCCTCATCACACAACAGCTATTTCGTTTCATGTTGGCCCGACGGAAATATTTTCTAAATTGAATTGTATGTTTCGATATTGCTATAAGTAACAGTTCAGTGTATGAATTATTCAGCAAAAAGTATAAGCTTGGTTCGTCTCACTTTCACTGTTGTATTTATTTCGGTTTTTAATTTATACCTTAGCACTGAGTTGAATACACGTGCTCTTCTATCCCAAAAAGATAACTTAGTTCATTTACCCACTTCCATGTTAATTCTTTTCAGTTACTTTATTAAATTCTGCATAAGCCAGTCGATCATCAGATATCACTGCGTTTTGTTTAATTCTGTTCGTTAACGGAGTGGAATATTCGATCGCTGCTAGTACTACCATTCCTTATTATAAAGATGCCCCCTCTTCTATCTTTCTTTTTCTTTCCCATTACTTATAACGGTGGGGACGATTTTTCAGGCTCAAATTGCTTACTTTCTCTTTCTTGGCGATTCTATCTTCTAATCTTGCGTGATTATCTTACTATTTGTATAGCACTACATGAATAATTTAATTTGAGTAATCCTCATAACTTCATCTCCAATGATCTGAGTGTAATGATTGTTTTTTAAGTGACAACTTGAAAATACATTTGCGCATGAATTTATTCATGGACTTATTCTTCAGTTTTAGTGCAGTAAAAGTGTGGCTTAAAATAATTTTAAATCATGCAAGAAGAAGGTGAGGGACGGGATTTCTCAACTTTTATATGTTCTGTTTTTTGCAGCTTCAGGAAGCAGTGATGAGTTAGCAATTTTTTTCAGTTCCACATAAGGCAGCAAAATGCCATCACTCTCTCGATTGTCAGCAATTACTTTGTCCGTGATAGCCGGTGGTGCATACTACTCTCGACTGGAAAAGTGGCTGTTTGGTTCGGAAAATGATTCATTGAGAAACATGTTTCTGCTGAATGGAGCGAAATGCGCGGAGTTCAGTGCATCCTTATCGTTTCCTAGCGCACATCCTTCTCCACAAAGTAAATGGGATCATAACTGGGATAAGTAAGCCCATAATTTTTCAAAAATTTTCTTTTTTTGATTGTTTGATTTTTTAGCATTCCCTCTTTGGATTTCATGGTTCACTGTCAGATTTGAGATGGATACTTTTCAAAAAAAATTTTAATTAATTGATTTTTGTTGGAGATGATGTGGGATCTTTCTTGTTTGTTTAGTAAAAATGAGTTGTTTACCATCACAGTTTTATTTTGACCTTCAATAACATAATGTTCTTAATATTGTTTGAATTTCTTGATTTCGGTATGAAATCTATGTATTAGTTACAGTTTGTTGTAAGAATTCTTCCATTTTTATAATTTTTAGCTTCGAAGTCAGCAGTCTTATTTTCTTATAGCCGAGAACCGAAATATATGGTGAATCCTACGGAATATGAAGAAGCTGATCCGGTTCGTCGTCAAAATATGCTAAATGAAGCAGCGCCAACCTCGAAGCGAAATATTATTCTCATACGACATGGACAATATTTTACGAATCACAACGATAAAAATTATCTTAGCCTGACACCTTTAGGTAACGTTCGCAATTATTTCTGCTTGCATATTGATCCGTTAAGTTTTATAAGGCGAAGTTGGAGTATTGTTCTCATTTCAAATTTTTGTTTCTTTTATAAGAATGTTTTTATTTTTCTACGTAATTTTGGCTACGTTGACAGGGCAAGAACAAGCGAAATATGTAGGTCAGCGTTTGGCTAGCAGTGGTTTAAAGTTTGACAGTGTGGTAATGTCGACAATGACCAGAGCGGAGGAAACAGCTAAACTAATATTAACTGAGCTACCGCCGACTTCAGTAAAAAGCGATCCGTTGTTGGAAGAAGGAGCACCTTTCCCACCGGAACCACCTAGTAAACATTGGCGTCCTAAGCACAAAGTAATTACTTATATTGCTTTAAAGAAAGTAAAGTTAGATTGTCTTTTTGGGACACACAGATATCATTTGTTAAGATTTTTTAATGTTCATATTCTCATATTCAGGTAGTTTGGTGCAAATTTTCAATTTAATAGTGAAGTTTATGAAAGCTCTTGAAATAAAACTAGTGAACCACGATTTGATTGTTGCACTTAGCTAATTTTCTGATTAATTGTTTTTTCTTTGAATTTCGCAACGGAGGGGTCGCGCATTGAGGCAGCTTTTCGGAAATACATACATCGTGCAAGTTGGAAACAAAAAGATGATAGCTGGGAGTTAATTGTATGCCACGGAAATGTGATACGATATTTCATTTGCAGGTTTATTAGTTACCTTTTCTACGTTTTTCTCGAATGTTAAATCTCAATCTCTGAATATTAAATTCATGGATTATATGAATAAAGAGAGAAAAGATTTCCAATCTGCTTGTTTTTGAAAGTAATGTTTTTACTGCTTTGGGTAGCTTTAAATTAAAGATTGATTAAACTTTCACAGCTATTAATATCTATCAAATAGAGATTTCACGAAAGCAAAACAAGTTATTATGTAAGAAATGAAGATGATGTTATTGAAAGTCCATATTAATGAATTTATATTGATCTTAATCTCATGAAGAGAACTTTGATACATTGAAGAGCGCTGCAGTTTCCTCCTGAAGGTTGGCTACGAATGTCAGTTGGTCATTGTTCGATAACTTGGCTGGTTATATATCCTAATGGTTTTGTATCTGTGAAGTCTCTTGGCGATATCGGTCACTTGCCCAGTGGAAAGGTTTCTTTTTAGGTTGTAAGCGTTAAGTGTTAATGTTCTTGATTTTCTATAATTGCCAGTTTGTGTTGGGATTAAATCTAGCGATTTGAATATTTTCAACATTTATTGGGTTTTATTACAGAGACTTTTGTAATTCAAGTTTTACTTTGTTTAAGCGATCCAGAAAATATAAAATTTAATTGTATCACCTCCGATTTAAATATCACTAAAATATGGCGTGGTCGTAACCATGGACGTATCAACTGAAACTTACCTACATCATTTGTTCTTTTTTTGAATTCAGGGCTTTCATTTGCTTGGCTAGTGTTCAGTTTTTATGTTGTATTTTAACGATCAGCTATTCCATATTATTAGATACAGATGGATATCACGTCCTGTGCCATTTAGTTTCTCAGTTTTACATATTCTTGAAATCTTACTGATAGGAAGGACATTGTAAATTTTTTTTTTGGTTATCATACCTGTAATTTATTTAATGACTTCTTATGACTTCTTTGCTTCTAATTGTTATTTATGTATGTTGTGGCTATGGAGGAAATAAAAATAATTCAATCATTTTGAGGAACATTGCCTTAATTTCGGATTGCTTTATATGTAAACAGTTTGGCATTGTTTACTTCTTTACTTAAATTTGTAATCATATAAAAGATTCATAAATGACTCTAAACGTACATTCTTTTGATGCTTAGAAATTGGGTTTGGCTTAACCTACCTCACTGGATATCGAACAATGTTAGATTTTGTTGGCAAACATTCCAGATATATTTTTTATGATTGTAATGAATAAATGCTGATTATTATCGAAAAAACAAATAGTTGCTTAAAATATAGTTGATATTTAAGTTATCGATGCTGTTTTCGAAAATTATTTTGTGATACTCATTAAATTTCCAGTTGACAGGTAAAATTCTGCTGCTACTCTTTTAAAGGTTCCCCTTGTTTGCTTAAATCAATTTTACCATTTTAATGTTTAGGTTGAATTGATTCATAAAGTCGGTTCTGAACATTTCTGTTGTAAGCCTTATGCATCTTTTCTAGTTCAGGAATAACTTGAATTCCATTAAAAACCGAAATAGAAATGAGTGGAAAACGAATCCTAAAACAGTTTCGAGACTGAAGATATAAAAATAACAACAGCTACGACGAGTTGACGGGTCGCTCCACAGTAGCTTGCACTAACGTTACAACGATCACCCAGACATGAACACACCCGAACTCTTTGTGATTCTGATTCATAGCGGAAAAGATCAGATGCTTTAATATCGCGACACATGTCATATCTGTGGAAAGTGAGTTGTTTTGAAATTGTTTTAAAAACAGTAATATTTGAAATTCTCGGGCCGCAAAATATTCAGGCTTTGGAGAACAAAAAGAAAAAAAAAACTTTTTGAAATCAGTTCATTACTAAAAATTTTTGGAAGTCAAACCTGTCAAATAAAACCATTGTTCTATTGGAAAAGCCATGGCGACTTATAGAAACCGCACAACCGCGTATCGTTAACTTTTTGCCAGTGTTACGTCCTGAAAGAAAGCTATATCAAACATTAAATAATATGTTCAAAACATCAGGAAAATAGCTGGTAGGAACTAAGCATTAACCATGCACCATAAAGAGAATTATAACTTTCATGTAGTGATTTTGACTCATGTTTAAATTCTCTAAATCATTAGAAAGATTTACCCATAACAATAAAATCTTGAGTAAGCGTAAGACAGATTGATTTGCAAGATACTAGGCCGATGTTAGATGGTTGCATCGGATCGTTGCACTGCGACGTAAAGTTCCTCGGTTCATAAAAGTACCTACAGGTAGGAGCAGTCTAAATATGCTAGTTCATTTTTAGCTTGAGGAAGTGCCGTCTCTTTTAAATCAATTTTAATTAGCGGTGAAGATAGAAGTACTAGCAGATTAGATATTCTGGATTTCGTATTTCCTCAGAAGATATAAAGAAATACATTGAAATACATTAGGATTTATTACCGACGTTAGACTAAAAGTTTGTATCTCTACAGATACTGTAACCCGAGGAGGTACTTTCATTCATTAGAATGTTGTAATAATGGTACCTTGACATGACACCGTCCTTGAATAATTCTTCGTATAGTGGTGACATACATGAATAGCACCGATTCGAACGTATATAGCCTGAAAATAACTGATAACTGTGGTTATATTCTTATATTCCGACACATATGTTGGACGTTGTAATAATTTAATCGTAAAATAAGTTTTTTTTTTTTTGGATCTCAAGGTCACTTCTTGGTTCAAATAATCTACTTTGCAATGGATTTTCTCAGTCGGTTCCGGAACATTTGTTAATAGTGATAGTAAACCACTTACCAGAAATATGATTGATATATGTAATTAAATGGCATACAGTGGTCATTGTTAGGATCAGAGTTGAAAATAGCATTAGAACGGATAGTACTATAATGAACTTATAGAGACTGCTTCAACAAACATCATTATCTGAACAAATTATGGAAATAAAGATTGGGGGTGAAGGAATCTTGCCGGATGGCCGACGAATATTGCTGAGAGGATGCTGTAAAGAGTATGCTTTGAACTAGTGCCATGTAATTGGATATGCAACCACATTGACATCCATAAGGGCACACTACAACACCTTCCAGGATATGTTGAATTGATGATCGCTTGTTGACGATTGTTTTTCTATTATTTCTCTCTTTTACATTCTAAATAACTGATAATGCGATCGCCACTGAAACACTTTTCATTCCATCTCACTCCAAAATTCTTTCTAAAACATCTGAACAGAAACGTTTATTTGGGTAAGGATTCCGATTTGGATGAAGGGAAAAGCAAACGAATAGAACGATGGAACAAAAAAAAAAAAAATGATCTTTTAGTTTCGGTTTTACTGAGATGTAGAAGAATAAAGATAAAATATAAATCTTCTTACACCTTAATGTTTCTTTTGGAAAAGTCTTAGAGTTTTAGAGTCCTAGAGCTGCGCAGATTTGCCAGTTTTCTGCCTAACACATTTTATGTATATAGTTTCAAAAAATATAGTTCACTACTGGACTGATCTGGAAGTTTCATTCATGAAAGTGCAAGCAATCTGTGAAACTATTGATAAATTGGTTGAAATATTTTTTGTTTCTCGTTTAAATGAGATCATTATTCTTTGTTCCTTTTTTATCTGCGTAATAAGTTTCTTTCAATTAGCAATTTAAGAAATCAGATTTTGAAATGATTAACATTTCGATCTTTCAAAGTTTTGCAAGGTTATCTCAAAGCATCAATCAGTTATTTAAAAGAAAAACAAACTGAAAAGGAATGACACTGAGGAAAGAAGCAGAAAAAGCAAAGATAACTCATTTCAGGAAGCAAATCCTTCCTGCTAGCACTGGTTTCATAGAGAGTAATTTTAGTTGCTACTTCAATTGTACTGTGCTTGATCCCTGGGATTAGTAAACAAACGAATAATTTTGTTCTATTAAGCTTACACAAATAATAGACTAAAAAGAAGAGCAGTAAGTAAATATTGCCGCAAATTCGTTCTCGGAAATTAGAACAATTTTTATTAGTTGTTTTTTTCTTCATTTTTCAGATTAAAAATTAGAACATTTCATCCCTTCTGGTGACATATATTTCAAATGTCCAAATCCTTGATTGAGTGGGAAAGCAAATATTCTAATAGAAGCATTGAAAATTGTTATTACATAGGTCAATTTTATGGTTCACTCACTTCCACTCACAAACTCACGTGTGAAATTGTTTAGATAGAAAAATACTGCAATTTCAATTATACAAACAATGACTAAAACTGAGTCTTTTACCAGAAAATTATCAAGACATTTTCAAACTTTACGTGAAATAAACTATTGGATAAATACAAATATATTATTCAGGAAGCATTTTTGAAACTGAAAATTTTTGTTAAAAAACGAATCAATCAATGGAAGTATTTCTGCTAAATCTGCTAAATCCGTTGCGACATTTTTCTCATTATCTATTGCAACAAAATTAATATTTATTATTCATAAAGCACAAAATAAAAACTCGATGAAAACAAATGTAAAAACTATTTGATGTTTAATTAAAAAATTAGTTCGATCAAATCTTCGCTATTTCGATCGCTGCAATAAGCTAATTTATCAGGAAATTCGTAGATGTTTGCTGCTAGCTAAATCATAATTTTACTCTGTCATGCAATACAACGGGTATAGTAGAGAAAGAACAAAGAAGCGATTTGCTTTTCTCATAGTAAATTTGGGCCTATGCTGAAATTCATACAGAATAGAATAACACAGATTAGAAATGTTTCAGAATCAAAGGAAAGAGTAATGTGCTTAACAGATGATTTGAAATGAAGATATCTTGCACTTGAATATATTTCAAATAGGAATTAAGAAATCACTTTATCTCAAACATTATCAATTTTTTAATTATTACCTTAATTAACAATGACAATGACATTTTTAAATTATCAATGACAAACAGTTATTCGCAATAATGTGTTTAGTGATAGGAAGGAATTATGATGTAATGAATAGTGAGAGAAATGAGATGAAGTCGGATTACCTTTGGAGAGAATTTAAAGAAAAAATAATTAAAGAAAATTGAAGATGACATGTTCGTTCCTTTTTCTAAGCATTAAATTCTTGTATCTTGTGAGTCTTCAAGAATTATTGACTAATTTAGAATCTTTCTTTACTTATGAATGAAAAGTAAAGTTGTATGTGAATGGGAAAACTTTCTAATGGAAACAATCACAATATTCTATTTCTCTTTTTTTCTTTCTTTTTATAATATTCCATCATTATTTTTATTTTCAATTCTCCTTATATTTATTTTTCTGATTTGTGATTATACCTTCGTAGAAATATAATTTGAATTCCAACTATATTTTATTTTGGATTAGGCAAATTTTTGATTTCTAAAAGGAAAGAATAATATAAAGAAGAGATGGGTGAGAAGCTAGCAAACAGAAACTTAAATTTGTGTCAGAGAAAAGAATTTCCAATTGATCCTTAAAACAGATATATTTTAAGCTATTGGCATACGCACGAATAAAGCAAATATAGAGCTAAATAATGATCGGATGATAAAATGTTTAACAATAAGTAATGAGTAATGAGATCTTATGGGATAAGTTATTCTTTTAGTTGAAAAGAAAAAATTCATCGGCTTATTTTCTGATGAAGTTCAAGCAAACACTTCTTTCTTTTGTATAGTATCGCTTTTTTTTTGAAGTATCGCTTTTTAAATAACAATATCAAATATATGAGATTTTGTAAAGTGCATTTTTGAGAATGATCACAAAATATATCGTTCCATTATAGTGTATGCAACAATAATAATAATATATAACATACGAAGTAGAAATCTGACATTGAAACGAAACGTTCTTCGGCATTTCAAAAAAAAATGTTTATATGCTCTTAATCTTTGTTTTGTGTAAATTGAATACATAAGCAAATATCAATATCAACATTTCACCGCAGTTTTTCTTTGACGTTTTGTGAAAGTATGACAGTAAGGTTAAAAACTGAAAACCACAACCATCAGCTGTTTATAACTGAAAGCGAAAAAACATTAAATCAATGAGTTAGTAAACTAAACGATGTCAGTTTCCACTTAAAAATTTAAAAGTTTTCAAATAGATAATTTAACATGCTTCAGCAAATTATTAAACATGGAAAACGTTTTTTGTATTGTTTAAAATTATTTCATTGTACTGATCATATTTTAATGATTTTAAATTCACTAAAAGCAGTAAGAATATAGGTTTTTTTATACAAGTTTTGTGGCAAATAAGCGTACATCAATTCGAAAAGATTGAATTTGTATAATATAACTGAAAGTGAAAAAACATTAAATCAATGAATTAGTAAACTAAACGATGTCAGTTTAAATCATAATTCCTCAAATTCTTTATAAACATATCATTTACACAGCTCTTCAAATCATTTTATCCATCTTGCTATTTAGTGCTAGGCAGAATCAAATAGCGGAATTAAGACTGGGAAAAAAATATGTATTTATAAATGAAAAGGAAACAAAAGAGACAATAGAAAAAGAGATATTATAATGTGACCATAATACTGTTATCTGTTTGGCTTCACCTGTTAGATCTTTGAGCTGCTCTATTTTGAAGTCTTTTTAATCTAAGGTTTAAATTATAATTCAAGTGTCACCGAACCAATTCTTTTCATATACTAATTTTCTATTCTACAAAATGCCATTTTCAATAAAAAATTTGCACGAAACTTTGTTTCAAAAGTTTGAGAAGAATGTCTGTCCAAGAAGAATTTTTTTTCGCCAAAATTATTTTTTAAACCATTTCATTCGATATTCTTTTTTAGAATAAATGATATAATTAAATGCAACGGAGGTGAATAATTTAATGGAGCGGACTTGATGTAGATGACTTGATAGTTCTATGGCGGTAGCATGACATTCACTGTAAAAAATTTATAAATAAATATGTGCATAATTTAAACTATACTTGCCTGAGTACTTAGACTTGCAATACGTCTTTTTTGTGGCATTTAAACCGATTAAAGAAATGGCTTAAAATTTTTAAATGTATATGACTTTTTTATGGGTACGACTTTGAATGTTGTGAGCATGAGTTAGCACGAAGTACTGCTAGTACTTTTATTGAAATGTAAATGCTTCGTAATCAGAAATCAGCTATTTGGTTAGTATTTGTTTATCCTTCTAATACTGGCAATTTTATTTGATGAATTAGTATTTCTTGAAAGAAAATATTTTACTTTTGAATTCATTTGCATTTTGCTTAATTCATTAGCATTTTGTCGAAGTTTTCAAAATTTTTTGTTCATTAGTTGCTTGAAGTAATATTTCTTGTAAGAATCTTTCGAAATTAATGAGCACTAACTTGCATTCAAATGAGTTTGTGCTTCAAGCATTATGTATTCGATGAGTAAGTAGGCCTTCAGTAAAGCAGTGCTGCTGAATGGCCTGGATGATTACTTCAGAGTTCTGTTATAGATCAAATTTGCGATGAACTAAATAAGTAATATATATATATATATATATATATATATATATATATAAAGATTTCTGAGTTTGTATTATGTATAAAAATAATGTTTGCTAGAAACTATAGCTACTATTGCCCTTACAAATTCTAGTTCAAATGTTTTAAACTAGTAAAAAAGCAGAAATATAATAAATCCATTAAAAAAGAAATGGTTCTGTTAATTTCGGAAAAAAGTGAAGAAGCGGATTAGTTTTGAAAACACAAGCTAGAAAAGGGAAGTGGAAGTGAACAAGAAATGTTAAAAACAATTTTAAGCTCTGCAATAATTATAGCTAACCTCGATATGTCCTTGCTCCTTTCTGATGCATCTTTTAGATGGCATAAAAAGTAGAAATATATCGCAAATCTAATCATGATTTTTTTAGATTAACGTTTGTCACTAACTTACCCCCCGAAATTGCCTATAAAAATTATAGTAGCTTATTATGGAAAATAATCTTTTTCCCGTCTGCTTGACAGCATAAATTAGCTAAAAACAATTTGAAGCCTTACAAAAAAAAAGGACAATTTACAAAATTCTTTTGACCCTTTAAATTTTTGATATTTTAGAAACTGTTGTGAACACTAGTTAAAACTGTTACAGAATGATGCCCTATACCTTTCTATATCACAATTCCCTCTAGCATACTAATACTAATACGATGAAGTTTATCAATACTGAGATGGCTAAAATCATTAGTTTGAAAGAGAGAGTTTTCGCATAAAACGAATGATTAGAGCAATTTCTGAGGATGTTCAATGATATATACGTACAATTTAGCTAAGACGAGGTAAGCAAAGAACTATTTTGAATTAGCCAAATTTTTGATTTTTAAAAATTTCTTTTCATTTGTTCTTTATTGTTTGAATTATCTGCACTAGATTATGCTTATTACAGTGCGTTATCTTTTTCATTTCTAAAAATATACACAATAGGTTTTGATTTATTTTATTAATATGAAGCTTGAATTGGATGCATATCAGGAGAGAAATGAGGACAATAATGCTTGCTACCACAGTATTTTTTGATAACCAATAGAATAAAGTTCTCTGGGGAAAAAAGTGAAAATGAAAGTGGAGAGTTTTAAATTTATCAATTAAGAAACTATCATCTCCCCACTATAATGTTCCTCAAAGTTTGTACTGCTTTAACATTAAGGAAACTGAATCTTGTTACTTTGGGGATGATCACATTAGATGGCGGTATGGAGAAAAGTGGCGGAAAAAGAAAAAAATAACAAATACCTATTTGCAAAGATTGGTAATAGAAGCAGCAATAGGATGTGAAGACAAATAATGGCAGTGTTGGGACGTTTTTTAAAATACTATCATAGCGATAGTTTAGAACAGCTTCATTGAACCATCATTCTAAGACTATGAAATTGTGGCCAAGAATCATACAGCTCCACTAAGGAAACATTCTTTAATCGGTCGATGAGCTCATGCCAAAAAAGCTTAGTGTTCTGATACTACTAGAAATAAACAATGATTGGTTTCATTGTCGAAGTGGCCAATGACAAATGATGATGCTATTTTAGAAATCATACTTTAGCTTCCACATTATTCACTTCTTAGTGTCTAGTGATTGGTATAAGTTGTAGTATTCGGTTTCTAATTTTCAATTTAACATTTAATTTTCAAATTTCAATTAAGCGGTTTCTAATTTTCAATTGATTCTATATTTAATCACACGTGACTGAGTTATGACCAATTATAATTCTCATCCACATAAATATTAATTTATTTGTACAAAGAAATCAAAATTTATTCATAAGGAAAAGATATGACAATTTACTAGCCAAAAAGAAACATGTGGATGTGTGACTATAAAATTAGATTCTACGACAAAGCATCTTACTACAGAAATAAACACATTCAGCTGTAATTGATAAGAGATTCCGAAAATTATTCATGTTTTGAGGTGAAAAATGAGATGGCCTGAGATTTCTAGGGCTAAATAAATACAAATGATGAATGAAAACAAACCGAAAGTTAAAAAAAAACAAACAAAAAAACAAAAAATGAGGTGAAAAACTTCAAATTTTCTGATCTTTGCGAGTTAGACTTCTAACACTAAAAGGACAGAAAAGGTCAAAATTCTTAGTTGGCCAGGCTACACTATTCCGTTTTTAGAGCGAAGTAAGGAGAAGAAATCGAATAACGGCTGACGATAATGATATTTGTTGATGTTCATTTTGGTACATTTTGCATGAATTTTTGGTTTTTCGAAACGACTCCAGCATTTGACCACCTCACTATCGCAAGCGCATATGGCACTAGCACATTTTGAATTTACTGCAACCCCTTCAATTATTACAAGCGAAATAAAATCCTAGTGCATTGACAAAGGAAAGGATAATTTGATTAGCTCTAAAATCATATTCAAACAGATATTTTAAATAATGTCCTAAACGGAACTTTTAAATGGTGGACATTAAAAAAAAAATAATTGAGAGATAATTTAAAAGAAACGATATTATAATCAGCTTCATTTTTTTTCCTGTAGAGAATCTTTCTTTCAGAAGTTAAGATTTATCCAACTTATCGACTTTAGCAACTATGTAACATCTAAAATTACCATAATTCAAACAGATGGATTGTCCCTGAATGCATTTCCAGTTATATGGAAGTAGATATTCCTCAGCCGTGTCATAGCAGTCATCATCGCGAACTGCCTTGTCGTAACAGAGGTCATGATTCATGCAGCACATGTAATGAAATTGAATTTTTGATTTTTATTTTCAGACACCAAAAAATCACGAAATAGAAATTATACATATATGAGAGCAGCGGTAACTTCTAAACGAGATGTTCCCAAATTCGTAGGAAGTGAAAAAAACACTGTTTGTATACCCACTTCTTATCACATTCGTTGGACATGTATACCAAAATAGGCTCACAAAGATTTAATCACGACTGACAACAAACAATGGTATAAAATGTTATCGAATATGTGCGACCAACAGAACTTCCGAATTTACAAGATCTTAGACACGAGTAGTGCAGCAAAGTGTAACCTGTCAATGCCATCCATGGGTTTTCCAGAACCTCCAACACCACACCAGCATCCGTAATTGTTATAAACAGTAGCTGGGTAACCAAGTCTACAAACGCTCATTTTATCCAGATTCCATAATGCTTTCAGCTTTGCATCCATTACAGCAATTGATGCATAAAATAGACATATTATTAAAGTAAGTGACTCCAAATGCATGGACTTCACGAACTGTAAAAAAACTAAAAATTAAATCTTGAATTTGGAACACAATAAGCTGAATATGAAATGTCATAGCAATCCCCAAACACAACTTCTGCCTATGACGTAAATTATTGCGTCTGAAAGCATCTGAGAACCTCTCACATGAAGACGGATTGACTGCTCGTCATACTACCGACTTCAGCAAGTGTTCTCAGTTGTAATTTTATGTAATAACAAATAACTTTTGGTACTTAGACAGAAAAGAAAGAAGCAAATAAAAGCGGTAAAAAACGGCCGCCCAAGATAAAAATTGAAATCTTGAAAATTAAAAGCAAAAAAAAAAAGACTGAAAAATCCGCCACTATTAGCCTTGTCCAACAAACAGAAAAATAAAACATTTTGAAAGATTCAGTCACATGGTTCCTCTTAGTAACGCCACCTCATATGCTATAATCAGCAAAAACTTCTGTCAATTGTCATTTTATTCCTGTGAAGGGCAACCAAATTGAAGGAAAACTGGATTAAAATTTATTGAAACTCCTAGCAATAGACTTCCCAAAATACAAGATTTTGCGATGAATCATGAAAAATATCAACAACGATTTCGATAATTAATTACTAAATACTACTGTGTACCGTTCAAAACTATCCTGCATTGGAATAGTGATAAAATCAGTTAGTGAATAATAAAGGAAGGTGGTTCACTAATGAAACACTCTTTTACCTTTCGCTCCTTATTTTTGAAGAACCAGTGGTGTGAAAACGAGCTTACAACTAATCAAAATATTTTTATTAATAATAAATACGACTCAACAGACTAATGAGAATAAGTATCATAGGCTTTTAAAGTGAAGAAAAAAAACATTACTAAAACCGCAATTTATAGCATTCATTACAATAAATTTAAATTGAAGCCTTCAAAGAAATCCGAAAAAACCAACTTTGAGATATTTCATATGATAACTGGACTATTTAGATTGAACAGTGAACAAGAATATGAACTACATACAGTTTCATTATTTGTACAAGAAATTTTTTTAAAACTATTTTCCAATTCAATATTCACAAATAAGAAAATTCTTTTTTACAATAAAAAATTGGTAACAGCTATAAACATATTCATCAATCAAGAGAATAGCTACTAAAAATTCAAGTAACGCCGAATAAAACTGGAATTGTCATAGACCTATTCACTTCTAAACGTATTAAAAGCATCAGTTTTTTTTTTTTTTTTTTCATTTGCATTACTTATACCTTCAAAACATTTCGAAACAAAAAAGATTTACTCTTTGAAAGTTTGTCCTACTCATATACTGAAACAAAACTGTTGCTGCAAAAAAGGTGAAAAATGCCATATAATTTGCGAGTGTTACGTTATTCCGTTAATTTTATTGGACTATGGTCGGCAATTACTGCATGTCCTTCTTTTTGAAGCCGCGCATCCAGTGTTGTAATAGAACCATCACGCACCTGAAATATCGACAAATCAAATGGACTTGTGTACATATAATTGTGTTTCAAGGTTCATCAATTTACCTGAATGAAATTCACAAACAGTACATCTGGTCTTTGAAATGGATGACAGTCATACAAATGCCGGCTCCCACTCCTGAAATTTAAGTTTAGTGATATGATGATGTCGCATGTTTTTATTATCAAGCGGCGATGTAGGAAATATCTTGGAAAGTCATGAATAAATTAAGATTAAAAAAAAATGAAAGAATTCATAGTTTTAAACTACGGTCAAAAACCAACTTTTTGTTACAACCCACAATATTCAAAGCAACTGGAACGTCTTCACGGAGTTCACTATAAAAAAACTGCTTTGCTTTTTCGGACCAATTCGAATGATCCACCGGTTTCAGCCCATGCATGCACATTTGCAAGCAGAAAGGTGGCCGAACACAGTGCCTAATAAATAAAATATAAAAACAATATGCTCAACAAAAAAGTGGAAAAGTAAACGATTTGTGCAGGTTTTAGGATTAATAACAATATTGAACGAGTTAGGATTCAAGATTATAATATAACTTTAAAGAGCAAAATAAAAAGAACTATAGATTTCGCACTATATAACAACCGAATAAACCAAATATCTGCTAGTCGCTTGTACATTGGATCAAGCAAAATTTGTACATTGGATCTATTTCAAGGATACTGGACAATAAACGGACATCAGTTCCACCAGAATCAAGAAATCGTAAGCGACAAAAGAAACTTTCGGAATAATAACCATCCTGAAAGGTTGAACAATAATGTACAAAAATTTGTCACTCTGCAGAATACGAAGGATTAGTGACAACACTGAAAGAATTAGAATACATGATAACTTAATTTCTGCTAGTCCTACTTGTTTTTTAATAAAACTAACCTTGATGCCTAATATTTCAATTCTCTGCCAACAGCCAGTAAATTGAGCAAATTCATCGTCTACTTCCACAATGCCATACACACGTTTTCCCTTCTCCAAAGCAATAACTCTATTTTTTAAAAAAAGTAATAATAATAAATGTTGAGAAAAAGAAGAGTTAAACTAAAAATCTTCTGGGATTTCACAACGTTTTAAAATTACATTAAAAACGAACACATTGGATGAATTAATAAGCTTTCTATTTTTGGGATGGCCATAGAATGAGTTTAGCTCCTCAGCAAAATTGGCAAGTTCATCATTTGCCGCAATCATTGCGTCTTCTTCACCATCCGCTGCATTATTATCTTCATATTCTTCTATTCCTGTGTTCCTTTGTGATGCTTCCTTTAACCTTGTCATTTTTAGCGGACGAGCGTAAAACTCGTAGGGCGAAACAGTGTTCCTTGAAAGATCAAATATAATATTACCATATTAATATTGCTGAATAATCACCATAATTATTTCAGTAGGATATCCAAGAAAATTTTCCAAGTAGATGGCGAAACAGTGTTCCTTGAAAGATTTGATCTTTCAAGGAACACTGTTTTTCCATCTAATGAATTTTATATAAAATTTAATAATAAAATAGTCAAGGACTTGAATGTTGCTGAAAAGATACCTTCCCTCAATGTTGACCAAATATTCTCCCTTGTGGCAGTATCCTTCCTCATTTAACCAACTAACGTCTGCTACTGGAATCTAAAATTAGCAATGAGTAGTTATCTCCTGAATAAAATGTGGTATGAAAATGAAGTGAAACAAAATAAGGTCACCTGTGCACTATCAACTGTCGCTTCATTCAAGATGGGCTGTTCCACTATAGCTTCAGTTTCATTTTCACTTGGAAAATTGAGTCGCCATGTTTCCAAAGTCTCGACAGTAAGGACTTCCTTATGCTTTAAATAAACTAATTAAATGTGCAAGCTACAAAAAGTGACATAAATGAAAAATAAAAATCACGAAAATCTTTGAAAAAATTTCTTTCCCGTTTAGGTTCCTTATCTCATTACACTCATGTGACACTATTTGTAAAACAAGTTTAAAAAATTTAGTTTCAAATATACTTCGTCATAACTGCATGACGATTTTATGAACAATTTTATGACTTTTTGAAAGTAATGGACTTACGAAATTTTCAAATATTTTTTGTGTGATTCCATCAAACAAATTTCGTTCAAAATCAACTTGATCGAAACGTTCACGAGCAAACAAATGAGTGATTGAAGTACCCATTTCGTCCGACTCCGATTCCATGCCATACATATTAACCTTCAACTCAGAGAAGATAACAAGCAACAAATAAAGTAAGCAAATGGATAAGAAATCATAATCTCCTAGGTGAATTACCAAAAGAGAGGATACGAACTTTTACAAAATCGCGATAGTCATTGCTGGGGACACTGTTAAGGATTGCCTCTACACGAACAAGTTCAAATTTTTTAAGAATTCCTCGCAAAGCCGCTGTATCCTCCTTCGACCATTTCAATTGTACGTTATCATTGAGGATGTCCTGATATGGCTTTACCTGCAAAATCGAAAACCAATAAGAAACATATAATTCTGTAATTGATCACGTTAATCCTAGTACATATCATTATAAACATTTTTCCCATAGTACTACAGTGAATTGTATTTTTCTGAGAAATACGAATCTTCTGCTTTGGTTCCTAAAAGATATCAAAAGAACACCTTAAACAGTGCAACAGGAATTGCTTGCCAAGGATGGAAAGATAATATTTCGTCCATTTTGGCAAGGCAAGTAGAATTCATCCAAGCACTGATCCCTTCGTCAATGAACAATACTTTCACAAATTTTGTCCGCTGAAATTGAAGAAGATCCATAGAAATGCCTTTTACCAACAATAGACCTAAATTTTTAAGGCAGATAACCAGCAACCTGATCAACTTCACAAATTCGAGCTCGAGCGTAAACACCCTCCTCTAGCGGTGCCATCACATAACGATTTTCATGTGCCACCGGAGCTGGGGTTAATGTATTTCTAAAAAAAAAAGTTGATGATATGGGTATGCTTTCTTTCCACATTTCAGTCAAGTGGCTCCCAGCAATCCCATAATTATGAAGCAACAAACTTACAAATCTCGGATCTGTAGTTTTTCCGTAATATGGTTCACGGGCTTCACCCATATACAGCTTGGCGAGGTGACATGGGATACAATGCAACGAGCTGTACGACACAAAGGAATACGGTGAATCTGCAATCATTCCATTGAAATTATCCGAAAAATATAATTCTTGACCTTCCTTCTAATCACAATCATTTGTGAACTCAAACCTTTCTATCCTATACTCACCGCTAAACTACATTTGAGCGAATTTATGACTTACCAGGCTCGTCATCTAGTTGCTACTATTTATTCTGTTCTATGACTATTTCTAAGCAGCAGTCCTCATGCCATATCGAAAATACGGTTAAATCCAAATCCGACTACTTTTGACTTTTTAATAAGCAGCGAAATGGAGTTAAAGCTACCTTGAATCTACCATCACCTCTTACATCGCCATTTTGCATCATCTTCGGAACAGCGTTTCTCTTATCGTTTCTGTTTATCGGCTCCTCTAATCGCGGCGACGTCCGGCCATCCATAATGCCTACATGAAATAACTATTCGCAGTTTATTACGATATACGACTTTCCTTCCTGGCGCCATTGAAGCGGTTTCCCATCAACAGTCATATTTTATAATGGGCTAGAATGCTAACACGAATTTCCAAAAGCACATAAAAATGTTGAACACATAACTGCTTTACGATACATGCCAGGAGAACGAAAATATTTTTATTCAATAAATTAGAAACAGCATGAACAAACATCACTGGTAATTCACATCGACAAAAGTACAAGGATAAACCACATGTGAGAATACCTCTCCTTCAGAATATCATCAGGAAATAGTAGTGGTCGTGAAAACGGGTACTATTTGGCAGTTGAGAACAGAGCAACCAAACCGGCTGCACCAACCATAGAAAACAGACAATTGAAAGTGGACGATATAGAAGCGAATAAAAAGAATGATAAAATAAGAAGAAGTGAAAGAAAAAGAATATTATTCCAAAAGATAGAAAAAGTAGTCGCTTCGTAATCTCCGACCTGAAAGTTTTCAACAATTAGTATGGTTTGGCAAACTTCAATATTAATGCAGCACTTCATTTAATCAGATTTTGGATGGCAACAAATAAAATTTTAGCCTTACAATGCTTACCTCATTTTTCTTCCATAAAATTCTTTCATCTTTCTCTTTTTTCGACATTTTTTTATCATCTGCTAATTTTCGATTCATTTCACGAGTTATTGCCTCACTCCTTTTTACAACAATCCTGCAAACACAGAGTGAAAAACCTGAGAACGAAGTGAAACAAAAGTAGATATTGAACTGTTACAATATAAAACAATTTCCTCGCTAATGTCAAATTTGTGACAAAATATCACGGAGATTACTTATGCTTCAGAATGTGCTTGATATTCTTGTAGGCAAAACTGATAAGATAGGATGCAGTTAGCGATGAAATTAACCAAATGATCCACGAATCAGTCACTTCCATCTGATGTATTCCATGGAAAAGGTATAGAGGTGCAATAGCAATCACTGTCGAATTTCCATAGAACAATGCACTGCCCTTTGCTGACACTGCTGCCGAGAAATCCTTTAGAAAAAAATAATCACAGTTTAAAAAGAACTATTTAGTACAACTAGAAATAATGAAGCATGGAATAATGAAATATAAATAATGAAGCATCAAGTCTAGATATTTTTTCTAACTCAACATGTTTAACTATTCAGCAAAATAGTTATCATTATTTTGGTATAGATTAGGTCAACAAATGCAAAATTTAAATTTAATTTAGATGTTCGTATCTGTGACCTATATAGAGGTCCAGGTTCGTGGAGGTTCTCATTTTTTGATTAAAGGCAGAAATGAATTATGCAACGGTGGAAATCTCCAATCTATAAGGACTAATAGAAACTAGATATTAAAGCATACCTTTAGCAGTAATTCGTCTTCCTTTGACAACTTCTGCCCCGCTCCTTTTGACATGTTTGAGCAATTAATAAGATAATCTACCTGTAATGCACAATCACACCTGAATGTAAAGCTCCTGCATTACTTGCAACATAGTACCCTCATACACAGTGATGTCATAGAAGTAGTTAATCACCGCGCCATAAGTAAAGACACGCGAAGACACGCAGCATGCCCCACTCCCGACGGAATGCACAAGTCGAACTTTAAATCGAGACAAAGGCCAACAAACCAAAATAATTCAAACTGCAAATGAAAACGTTGGGCACTTTGCAAATTTTGTGTGTCGAAGAATTATTCCTCACTCGATAGATCAGTGTATCATTATCACTTCACTGTTGTTTTTGTGATTTGATCACAGTTTTGGTGTTGAGTTTCTAATTTCCATTTGGAGATTGATAGATTAAAATAAATATGAGCGAACTGAGTTATCTTCCTCGATGAAATCATTCACGGAGAACGGGAGGATCCATAGATACAGCAGTTAATTTGATTCGATGTATGTCATTTATAGTAGTACACAATTGAGAAAGAAGCAACCGAATGTTTCATTATATCATTGTTAGAATATACAAGAAAAGTTTCATCCTAACAATTCTTTTTTCTTCTTTACTGAGTATTATTAAAGTCCAAACAAGGAGCAGTTTTGAAGAACCTTTTGCAATAATTTTTAGTCTAGCAGTTACACTTAAAAGTGCACCGCACATAAGAATTAACGAGAAACTAGATGCTCTTCGAGCTTCCAGTAAAAGGATATTAAATACCCACAATAAGTGTAAAACATGGGAATCAAGTCAGGCACGAGAAATATAATCTATAGAAATTGAGGAAGTCAGTCAGCTAGAAAGATTGGTAAGTTTTAATTGGGACAATCAGTAGTAGATACAGCCTAGAAAAATGGAATCAAAGAACAATTAGTGGAAGGACTGCATATTTATATTTCTATCACTTTATGGAGTTGAAGATATTGCATCATCCAACGCACGTTTCCTGCGATCGATTCTGCGAAGACGCTCGGCCCGTTCTTCGGATTCGGTTTGAAAGGTCTGGAAACAGTCACATTTGGCCCAGTGGTCGTAATCTTGTAGTAGAGCTTCCAGATGACGTATGTATCGTATCGCCAAACGTAATGTATCCACTTTACTAATACGACGATCGCTGAAAGCGCCTCTAATTTCTCATTTTCAGAATGATATAAGAAATTTCTAAATAACACACAAATTCTAATATTTTGTCACAAATAGTGGATAAACATAATTTTCATAAGAATTGATTAAACGGTGTAATTTTTCAAAAGATAAGTTAGAACTGGAAGTAATTAAAACCTTTCGGTAAGCGGTAGATGGTCACGCAGTCTTTCATATCCGTCGTTCACACAACGAACACGTAATCGCTCCCTTTCATTTCTCTTCCATACAGTAGTTCCATAACTGCTGAATTTTTCCGAAATGAATTAATGAAACCGATCAAAGGAAAACAATATTATGAGATTATTTATTTTGACTTGTTTCTTTCTTTAATAATAACATAATTCGCGTTCATTTTCCAAATAGCTTACTTTTCGTCGATTTCACTTGGTAGTGGAACACGAGCCTCTGGTGAAAATGGACTTATTCGGTTTGGCTTTCTCTCGTCTTTTCCTTCTACCATATAATCACATAATGAAGATAATTTATATCTGACATACAATTTGAGAATATGTTAAGTCTCAGACGTTTTAGAGCACAGTTCGTCCAAAACAATCTGCTCAGAAGTGATATACTAACCTTAATTTAAAAAAAAAAAGAAAAAGAAAATGGGAATGGAATTTGAACCACAAATCTTTCGTTTTCGAGGAAAAATAGGCTATAGCGATTCATTGAAATGTTAAAATAATTTAGTGGATTACTGGATAACTTCAAGAAACTCTAGTCTGAAGCAAATGTACCTTCATCAAATGATCCCGAACGGAGTCTGAGTAATCGAGCGGCACTGATAATTGATGGTAGTTTGCGTCCGTACTGGAATGCTGACTGATATGATTCTTCCGTAATACTCATTTCTTGGTTTACGAATCCTTTTGATTTATCTGCAATTAAATATCATATTCCCTCTACAGCACAATAACTGTGGCACATCTTTCAGAATACAAATCCGTTGACGTGCTATGAGTAAGTTCGGTTTCCCCGTACGTGATCACCTGTCATCTCCTCCATTACAGTTCGGTTAGCTTTTCTAGGGTTCATCGTCATTCGTTCATGACATCTAAAAGAAAGCATGGCGAATGAGAATGGTTTTTTAGATAGGAAGATTTTGAGACGACAGAGGAAATGTCCTATCTGTTTGATAAAGATTCAGAATCTTTCTTCCGGATATCACTTAAAAGGATTATATTGAATGTAGATATCAATAAGCAATAACTGTCTACCGTACATGTAATATGCACATAAACAGTTACAAGCATGCGCTTCATCCTCATAACATCCATACCGCTGTGCAAACAACAACGATGATCGCATGCTACTATCTGTCAACCGAGGGTTCATCTTTCTGATAGTCATCCTTTTACTGACAAAGCTTTCTGCTGTATCATTCCGTTGTAAATAGATCACTTTAACTATTGATTCGACATTAATGGAAAGATCGATTAGAAAAATCACTTTAAAATTACTCGATAAGTTTCAAAGCTACTTCTTTTCAGTTGTTCATTTCAATCATTTTGCTATTGTAAAGCAAAATAAGAAAGGAATTTATAAAGGTCTTTATGTATATTGTGAACTAATCGATAATTAGAAAAGGGTTAAGATAAAGTTGTTCTGACGTTATATTGACAGTCATGTAAACTGTTTATTGATTTATTCAGTCAGAAGAGAAAGAATGAGGAAACAACCGTAGTGTGAAAAACTGAAGGTTTGCGGTGGATACTGTAGATTAGAATTAAAAGGTTCAGGAATTTGATCATAAAACAGGATAATATCATTCCATCGAATTACAGATATAAACTTGGCCCTGGAAAAGAATCAAGAATTTTATTCTTGTGTAAAATAACTCTAATCCATAATAAAACTGAGAAGTGTAAATCACCAGTACAAATAAAAAATTGTTAATGCTATCAATTTATCACTTATTTAATTCAGTTCGTTAATTATATTCATTTCGTTATTTCGCTTAATAGATTAATCTTTCAAATAATAAAGGATGATTGAATAAACTAAGTTCATCCTAGCATCATTGTTCTCAGGTCTAATTCTCTACAGCAAACACACTCATTTCTTTTCTTTAAATGATCCGAAATTTCAGAAGTATCAGTAATTTGGTAATAATTTTCCCTTATCTCAGATTACCTAATTATTTTCCGCTTCAATGACGTCATTTACAGAAGCATTCATGTGATAAAACTTACAGACAGTCATAGCTGAACAAAGTTACTTTGAATGATTGCATGAATGTTTGGTTTTTTATGCCCTTTTGAAATTTCATTCCAAGTATTTCTAAATTAAGTAGCAAATAATTCCTTCATCAAAAAACGGATAATCATTTAGCAAAAACGACAAAAAGCTAAATAAGCTAAATTAGAGTTAAGAAAATTTGGAAGTTAAGCCTTCATTCCTCCTCACACGATCATTATAAAAAAAATTCACATAGAGCATTTCTTGTTCCTTGCTCCGATGGAATTCAAACCAAAGCCCTAGCAAGCAACTGTATGATTATTCTCTCTATTTCCAGTTTATCTATTCAGCTATCTTGGTCTAATTCTGACAACTTTCAGGAATTCGACAGATTCAGGAAGAACATTGCAGAAAATTAGAGATTCCAGTTACTTCAGTATCACCTACTTCAAAGATATGATCTTTTCTTATTATTCAATTTTAATCTAAAAATACCTTACACAAGCTGTGGATCCAATGCTTGGAACATTTTACAGACTTTTATTTCCAGCCGTACTCATTTAATTTACCTTATTGACGCTTTTTAAAGTCAGTGAATTACTTACTGTTCTGTACAATTCATTTTTTAGATTTCATTATAACTTAGTGCAACTTCCTTCGTATTTCTATTAATATAATATGAAGTGTTTGCATTTGCTGCTCGTTAATGAGATGTTTATTGTAGTGTTTTCTGCAGAAATATCTATAGTGTGCATTTCATTAAACTGAAATGTGAAATTTACCGTACTTCCCTAAAGTGATATTATGACGACTTAATTAGACTACAAATAATTAAACTTAATTAACAGTGCGAAATCAATTATTAATTTAGATAATCAATTTAACTGCGTATAACAAGTAGAAATGAGCAGTGCTTATGTCAAATGTAAAATAATTTGCTTTAATAGAATAATCCTCATTTTTAAAAAGTAATTTTTTTCCTAACAAGTTCTCCAATATCAAATATAATACCAAATTCTTATCTTTGCATCAATATTTGCATTTTAATATAATAAGATAATGATTAGTTTAATAAGTCATTTAAATTGCATTCATTTGGGTTTAAAATGCTTTTTGGGTTTGTATTTTGTCCCTCAAATAGAAGAATTTATTATCTCCTGAAGTTGCAAATTTGTTGCAAATTTATTCAGTTCTTGTCACTGTAAGTGCAGAAAAACTATATTCAAAATTAATGAAAAATATTTTTAAAAATAGAGAATAAGAGATATTAGACATAGCAAATTGGCGCCACATTTTATTTCATCTTTGCATATTTTGTGCATTTATAAGCATTAGGAGATTTATTAATTTTTTGACTGATTGGAAGAATTTCACTCAGTACTGGTATCTATTTGAAGTCTATATGACATTTTCTTTTCTTCTTTAACAAAACGATTTACATATTTTTTCTTTTTGTTTTTAGTAAAGGATGTTGAAATTAAATCTTAAATTTTTGAAAAGAAATAACTTTACCAAAAAAAGAAGAAGCATAGATTTTGAATTACTACTGTTAACAGACAAGCAGTAAACATTTGACATTTGACGTCATTTTACGTCATTATTTTCACTCCGTTCAAACATTTTGTTTCAGTTATATTTTTTACTGTTCAGATGAATAGAGAGAGAACGAGGTAGCGTCAAAACTTTACTTACGATGAATACACGCCAAATTAAAATTTTTAAATTTTTAAAAACTACAAATTTACAAATATGGTCGATTTTTGTCGATGCGTAAATCCTGTAAACCTGATCGATCTACAGAACTTAATATTTATGTTTATGATGCGCTCCAAATTCCAAATCACGGTTTTCCTAATTTTAAATCTTCATTTGATTACTCCATTATGTCGATGCTTTTAATAGAATAGCAGTACTGACTACTCAGTCCTCTCCTAATTAATGTCTTTCAATGCTTTCCCTAAACATCAGCTTTCTCTAGCTAATGAGATCAGCGCTGGCTGCTTTGATAATGTCTTCCCGAGTAGATATAATCTCAAAATACTCAAATCCAGAAGGTCCAAAGTCAATTTTGATGGTTTTATCGGGTGTATCAACAATAGTCGAACTAGATTCGAAAAAACTGATCTTCGATAAAAATCCGGAAGCAATAATTACCGCGGAGTTTTTTTAAGATAATGACCGCTTCATTTCGTGAGTATATGTAATAAAGCGTAAACACACTTGAAAATATTTCTAAAATTACTTTTAATCACACTTCAAATTATCTTTGGCGTAGCAATGATATTACATAGAGTGGTAATCTACCTCAAGAATATAGAAAACATAACATACTTTTTATTCTTACCTCTGGTACAGATAGATAGACAGCAGATTCTCGAGCTGAATCACTATTATCTTCAAATGAGTGTCATTTATCCACGAAAACTATTGAAACTAGAATATTCAACTCACTAACAATAACTTTAAAACAACAGTATCGAAATCAGATGTAGAACACTCCAAGATCTACACAAAGATAATCCGTGTGTACGTACTTTGTAGCAAAGCTAAAGAGACGTTGAAGATGATTGAAATACTCGAGATATTGATATTTCAAATCTTAAATCTTTGTTGTCAAATAAATGTAGACTTGTTTGAGTTAGGATCCATAATTGTTTAGAACTCTGTCCATTCCTGCTTGATTATGAACTTTCGAAAAATGATAACTTCAAAAATTTTAAGCACTTTTTCTGACAAATAATCCAAACAACTACTGCATGATTAGAAAACAGCAATGCAAATGTACTAAACATGCTCATCTTAACTTCAGTAAAACACCTGGACCTATTTGTACCCTTTTAAGAAAAAGAATCTGTTTTACCGAAGTAAGATGTAATAGTTAGCGTCAATGTGAACATGACAAGATAAACCATTAAATCAGGTACAGCAAAAGAATGCATTAATCAACTTAACAATAAATAAACTTAGAGAACAGTAAAACGAATACGAATAAGATTGTATGGTCAAAGAATGGAAAAATTCCATGCGAATTCCATTCTATTCTAGATGAGTGGTAAAACAAAAGAAATATTCTAAACATGCAAAATTCCCCTGAAGAATTAATCCAAATACATGCTAGTGGAAGCCCATCTCAAACAGATTAATTTAAAATATATCTTTCTTATTCCAGTACAAAATTTCTAGTAAAGTAAATCCAGAACTAAATAAAAAAGAGCCATTTTTTCTTTTTTTTAAATCAAAAGCTTTTCCACTTCTTCCTTGATTTTCTGTATCTGACTTCTCAGTTGAGAGCCCTCATTCTGGATTATTGAAGCAGCGATTACAGGACGCGATACACCACACGCCCTGCCAAGAGCTGCCTGAAAATATTCCACATATTTCTCTGGAATAAAATATCAAGACAGCACAAAAGGTGAGAAATTATGTGGACCACTTCCAGAAAACTTCATAACAAAAATTTTAACATACACAAAATTTTCCCTTCCATGACATATAGATGCATATATAAAGATTACCTTGCTGCGCACAAACACGTAAGGCACATTTTTGTCTTCACAGAGCAATGGCAAATGTAAGATAATTTCTAACGGCTCAGCGTCAGCAGCCATTATAATGACCTGCAAATTCACCGAGAAAAATCTGCATGTATAGTGAATGACAGATTAAAAACACAGAAACAGAAGTCATACGAATCTATTCCAAACAAAATTACTGCATCTATTGGTTTCGTTCATAAATATATATTTCTTCTCAATGAAATATATATCATTCGAGTCTTGTACACGAAAAAAGATAAGGCTGTTAACATAAGCCAAACTAAAAGTGACCTCTGCAAGTCCTCGATTTAGCGTTTTCGTGGCTTCATTCGCACCTTTCTTCAACTGCTTATAGCTTTGCGCCTGCTGAACAAGATCAAGTAACTTCTGAGACAAGCTAGTATCAGCGATAGGATAAGCTTTTGACCCAAAACCAGTATCTGCAGTCATCTTGCCTCACTTTTCCGATCACTGGCAATACCTGGACAAAATTAATGAGAGTACATGAATATCTTTACTTAACATTTCCAAAAAAAATCACTGACACTCATCCAACACCAACCCTTATGAAAGATGAGTGCTATGGAATGAACAGCATACCAACAAGTAACTCCAACTTTTTAATAACATTCTGTCCAAAATACCGACTGGAAAAGACCACTCTCGACCTGCCCACCACAGTTACACAGAAACAACTATCTTCTAGCCTAATCAACAGCAACTGATCAGTCAGACACACCACAACTCTTTCAATTTTAGGAGCCTCGTCCAAACCGCGAAATGACAGATCGCTACGAGCGGTATAGTGCGACTGGAGTGTGCAGAGGAAGTTCACTACTCGGTGGTAAAAGGCAGAGGTAGTTGCCCGGGTAAACCTTATGTGAATTGCATTTGAATTGGATACTTCTTAACTCTTTTTGTATTTCGATATAAGAATTCATTAATTTTCACAGTTTTTACAGAAATGACTTCGATTGCGGTGGAAGTTTTTGATGCCAAAAATATTAATAAGTCGATCGCCTACCTAGAAAATGTTTGTTTTATTTGATTTATCATATTTCAAGGTATTAAGTTTAAATTCAAGTGCTTGATTATTTCCTAATTTAGATCACTTCCGATGAATCAATAGTGGGTATCAAAAGTCGTCTGTCCCAAAGTAAGTTTATAATGATTCCGTCGAGTTTCCACTTATCTTTCTGTTGGTTTGTTGTATGATGCAATTTTTTACTGTATGTGATGATTTGTTATATATTTAGAGCTTTCACTTCCTATCAACCAAATAGCTTTGCGGTTAGATGCGAAAGGGAAGAATTTGAAAGATGACCTTGTTGTGCTGGATCTCAATTTGCCTTCGAAGGGTGCTCACTTATATATTCGAGTTCTTGGGCCACAAATCGGATGGAAAACGGTGTGTAGGATTTATTATTAAGTTTTCCTAAATATTTACTTCACCCGTTTTAATACACTGTTCTACTCCAGGTTTTCCTCCTAGAATATATTGGCCCTCTTGTGATTTATCCAATTTTCTACCTGAGACCAACCGAGATCTATGGACCAGGTGATTTTTCTTGATACATGAGGCTGTTTTTTATCGAAAATACCGAATGAAGCATGGAATAATTGAGTAAAGTGAACCACATGCAAAAAACTGACATGAAATCTTGAAGACGCATCCCGATATCCTATGTCTTATGGAGTAAAACTTGCACTGGTTTGTTGGTCATTTCATTATGCAAAACGTTTGCTGGAAACCCTCTTTGTTCATCGATTCAGCAATGCAACAATGCCTTTACGGAATATATTCAAAGTAATCAGTTTTCAGTATAGTTATTCGTACTTTCTTGTCAGATTTATAGTCTAAGTTTGGGATTTCTATATATCGTTAGGATGCTCAAAAATGGTCAAAAGAGATCATCAAACCCAAATTACATAAATAAAGCATACAAATATTTTAAATTTGTTTTAGAATTGTGGTTACTACTGGGCCTTTACAGCATTTGTCAGTTATTTTATCAACCATCCGCTATATACCCTACCGTATTTCGGTTTCGTACAAGTTGCCACAGGTCTTATTGGTTTCGTTATTTGTGAATTCGGTATGTTTATCTCATGACTTTTGCTTATTGTTCTAATACATTAGTGTCATTGTTGTTATGATTGTCTTTTTTCTATATCTGTTTTTCAGGCAATTTGTCAGTTCATCTGCTTTTGAGAAACTTACGCCCCTCGGGTACTAAAGTTCGCAAAATCCCAATTCCAGATATCAATCCGATGACATTGATGTTCCACTTCGTAAGTTGCCCCAATTACACTTACGAAGTGGGCTCATGGTTATGGTTTTCATATATGACCCAATCATTACCAGGTTTTTTTTTTCGGTTTGTGTTATTGTAGAAATAAAACAGCCAAATACCCGCGCAACATCAATTTCATGAGTTTGCTTATGAGTATTTGTGGTTTATCTTGAATAAGTTTATGTGTTTGATTTATATTTAGCCGAAGTGTTGTTTTGTACTTAACTCATACTTGCAGCACTGATTTTTACCTTTGCGGGATTTCTCCAAATGGCTATATGGGCAAAAGATAAGCACCGTAATTATAGACGCGAATTTCCAAATTATCCAAAACATCGACGAGCAATGATTCCTTTCGTTTTTTAATTACTTTTTAATTGTTGTTTACACGAATAAATTAACGATAATGTTTTTTGTATTGTATGAAGTGAAATAGTTGCTTGGCCGTTGCAAACGAAATAGATGTACCTCTTCTGTTCCGACTCATACAAAACATTATCGGATTTTTACTGTTGGGAATCAAAAGTATATTTCCATCGATGTTTATTAAATTTAGCATTACTTTCACATTCAATAAAATTCCATGCTTTGAATCATTTATACAAAAATGGTGTTTAGATCATTTCCAAAAACCGTTATCAAAAAACATAGCAGTTACGTATTGTGGATGAAATTCATTTTCGTTTTGTATTTGCATTTCATGTTTTAACCAATTTGTAAACACACCGGTTTATGTTAGTTATTGCTGATGAATAAATTTTGAAAAGAAATCCGCCTTATGAGAGCGTGATTACAACTGTTAATTTTCTGTAATCAGTATAATGTGTTATACAGTGTTAGACATAGCAAAGGATTTTTGGTTATATTGAGTCGTTGCCGTGCGTCATTTAAAAAGTTTTATTTTGCGAAAATATTCTCCACTTCTTCAGACTATGGCATCTCAGGCTTTACAAGCAGTTGTATTATGTGGTGGGTTGGGTAATCGAATGACCAGTTTGACGGATCATATTCCAAAATGTATGCTTCCAATTGCCGGTGTTCCCATGTTTTGGTATCCACTCAATTTTTTGCAAAAAAATTCTATAAAAGGTTGGTTTTTTCCTATTGCACATTTAGGATTTTCATGAGTCTTCTATTGGAGCTGACATTATTAATTAAATTAATGTTTCGGATTGTTTGAAAATTTGCAAACATAATTAGTACCTGTGATATTTTACAATAGTCTAAATTTATTTTCCTTCCTTGATATATTGCAATCATGTCTGACAAGAAATTTCGAATCGATTATAATCTGTAAATAATAGACCGTATTGATCTAAGGCTTCGTTAAGTTCTAGAAATTATTTCATAATTAAAAAATGATTTTCGTAGAGACCTTATGCATTTATCTAAGATCTATTTTAGTAACTGAAGTGAGGTCATTATGAAAATGACAGTATGTCTTTTCAGAAGTTGTTATGGTTGTAGCCGAAAGATTGATGGACGAAATTAGACATCTTTTATTTAGCTCCACTTTGCCATCGTTAGATAATTTACAGATTGAATTTATAAAACTAAGCAGTGCTGCTGAACATTGGGGTACTGCAGATGTGCTGAGATTTATAAATGCTCAAATCAAGGTAATAATAGTTGCCTTTCTAGTATTGGATATTCAGATCCTTTATAACTTTGTCTGGCCTTCATTCTTTTCTCTTCATCACTGCTTGAGTTGCAGCCTTTACTATTTTCAGAGTTCAGTTAGCTAGTCAAAAAAATATGAGATAGAAATAGATCTTGTTTGATTATACCTACCTTGTAAATTTCTGTAAATAAAATACAATGATTTGTTGACAAAATGGATCCTGGCAAAGAGAGAATATGGAGTAAATATTGTTCCAGTTCACCTGAATTTGTAATATTTTCACTTGGTTCTGTTTACCCTTGCTAGAACTTGATTGTCAGCTCAGAGTTAGTTTGTATAATTTTTGTTTTGTTTTGCTGACTATAAGTTTTAATGCCATATCAAATAATGTCTAAAACTTACATTCATTACAGAAGGATTTCATTGTTGTTAGTGGTGACTTTGTTTCTGATGTGAACCTAGCTCCTATGTTGTCGCTTCACGCTGCTGAAAATGCCATTTTAACGTGTTTATTATGCGATCGGGTTATCACAGGACCAGCTCCCGGACCTAAAATGAAGCTCTTAAAAGGTATTGGTTTTCGCTTCAAAATTTTTTTAAAAAATCGGTGGAAAAAAGGCGTTCTTAAAATTTTATGTTTTTGTCATTGATCTGACCCACATTGATCTGCAAATATATCCGAGAAACCTTGCTGTGATTTGAAATGGCTAGGATGAAATTATTTAGGAATGATAACGGGTATCAAAACTAACGACAGGTTAGTAGACTAGATGAAATGCTTTGAAGGCTACAGTGCTGGTTTCTTCGATGATGCAGTATGCTGATTTGTCCGGATAGCCCTAATCTCGATGAATTTGATCTAAGAAAGTGTCTCTTGGTTACTATTTAAAACAAAACGTTATGACTTTACTACAGTTTTTTCTTAATCTTTCTATTTTCATGGTTTCAGAGCGCGATTTTATTGTTCTTTCTAAGAATAATCAATTACTATTCAGTGGTTCAGAAGAGGATTATGACGAGACGGTTACTATGAATGTTGATTTACTCGACAAGTAATTTTTATTTACATTTAACCATTTTCGCAAAACTTTCGTGAATGGTTTAATTATTGAGATTTCAGATGTCGAACTGCTTACTTCACTGCAAAGTACAGTGACTGCCACTTATATATCATGAAGAAATATATTTTAAACATTATCGACAAGCACAGGCAAGTTTTAGTTGCTTTAGTCTTATTTAATTTAATCTATCTAAACCACCATTTCATTTTATTGAATTTATTCGTTATCAAGGCCAAGTTATAGTAAGATCTGAAACATCATATAAAATATCGGAAATTTTGATTACAAGTGGAGGGTTTAATAGAAGATTATAATTTGCAGGGAGTTTACATCACTGAAAGCTGATCTTATTCCATATATTTTGGAAAAACAGAATGCTAAAGATAGCCATGGCATGCATTTTTCTGATATTAATAAATTTTTTTTATGGTTTTGAAAGCATATTAAATGTCCAAATTCTTTTCTCCTTAAATAGAAGAGTCAAACAATTTTTAAATGTTAATATATGTTTCCTTCAGAATTGACTGAATATGTCAGAATCGACCCTCTAGATGAAAAGATACAGAAATTCAGTTTTGGTACGAATGCTGTAAAAAACCTTCAATACCGTTTGAAATGTTTTGCCTATTTGCTGCCACCCGAGAACGGTTTCATTGTTGGACATGTGAACACCATCGGATCTTACTTTGAGATTAATAAAGCAGTAAGTTTTCGAATTAAAAATCCATAACATTTCCGGTTGTACGAGTTGGATATATCACCGCAGTGTAAAAAATTTTCGTTTAAAAATGATTTAATGCAGCTGAAAATTAAAAAAACTTTTTTAAAAAAAAAAAAAAAATTAAAAACAAATTTGAAAACTCTTAATATTATGATATGTCTGTCTCAGTTGACTGCTCTTTCAGGAGATAAATTATCAATAAACTGATCAGAGGGGAATTGAAAATGGAATGATTTGATGGATCTTTCGTTAGCCTTTTTCAGGAGTTCCATGTTTTACTTTCAGTCATTCTTTCAGAAGGCATTATACAGATTGGTCCATCAATCGTGTTGATCTCAGTTTTATTTATATTATTTTACTTATTTTTCATTTTCAGATCATCCGTTTTTTATCATCAAGTTTTTCTGAAAAATTTTCTATTGGACAACTAATGGATGATATTGGTACCACATCTGACTCTGAGTGTTACATCGGTCCTACCACTCGCCTTTTTCTACAGAGCGCCACTGAAGCGCACATTGCTGGTTCAGAAAGGCCAATTATTAAGCGATCTGTGATCGGTGATAAATGTGTCGTTGGACCAAGAAGCAAAATTATCAGTTCTGTACTGATGGACGAATGTCAAATTGGTGCGGGGTATGAAATATTACTCGTTACTGACATACTTATTCCTCTAATAGATTCCTTATCGGAGTTTATTTATGTGGTTGAAACCTTATTCTGTTTTTAATTAGCTTCACTCCCTTAGTCCTAACTTTTTATAACGTTGCATTGTGTACTGGATTTTTACTATGTATACTGAAAGAAAAAAATTTTTGCTAAATGCTGATTGCACTTTTAGTATCCATAATCTATAAAAATTAATTCAGGGCACAAATAACCAATTCAATCATTTGTGCGGGTGCTGAGATCGGTGAAAATGCTAATATTTCTTCATCAATTGTAGTCTGCCAACAAATAGTTTCTGCAAGTGGTATGTCCTTTAAGAGGTTCAGTAAATCTGCATGGATGGCATCAGGCTCCATATTTATAAGAAAGCATTGGCGAGGAAGTATTTCTGTTTTTAATTTTGATTTTTACTCTTCTACTACTTTTTTATTTTTACTGTTTATAGAATAAGTTGTAGAGTTTTTCATTCTCTGTAGAAATTTCTAGTTATTTTCTTGTAGCCAAAGTGCACAATGAACTTGTTGTTCCGAATAGTGAAGTGGAACTGGAAAAGTGGACTGAAGAAATATGGTAGAAAAAATATCTGACTTCTGGTGATGGTACTGTGTTATCTCACATATTACGGTATTGTAGTTCATCGAATTTGTTAATAAATTATTTCCGTGATTAATGTGCAGAATGTTTCATCACAGATCGTAATTGTGACTAATAAGTATACAATTATAAATCATATCGATAGAGCTGCGTTATCCGGATCTACTGGAGATAGCTGTCAAATGCATGTGGTACTTAATAGAATCACATTCCTCTGTAATGTGATAAGTAGTACAAGTTAGAAGAAACTTAGAAGAGACGTATATAATACAGTTATTTTGACGATCATCGCTGGAGAAATCTCATTTTACTAGCAACCATTTCATCGATTATATTCCAAGGAATCGTTCCGTCTGCAACTCTGTTGACAGTGCTTTATTATCATTGCTATAATAGGGCGTGGCTGCGACGATAATGGCGACCAATAGTTTCTGTAAGATAAGACGGCTTTCCCACGCTAGTAGGTAGCTTGTAATTTGGAATAAGAAGACGATGCTTTCAACGTGGAGCGAGGCTGTCCTGCAATGTTCAGGTATGTGGGAGTTGTATTTCGCTCTTTTGGTGGTATCGTTCTGCACTGTGGCTTGTCAAGCTCAAGCTACGTTTTTTCGTTATCTCATGACATCAGTCGTGCAGTCGTCCTGATCACTGCTTTCAGTGAAAGAATTCTTTCAAAAATGGTAACAAAAAGCTGACAAAAGTTTTTTTCATAACAAGAACTTAAATAGAAGTAAATGTCAGTTTGAAATGAATTTTATTTCTTCTTTAATAGATTTTAGTTTACCGAGCGATCACAGCAAATTGAGCGATATTGACTTAACAAGGCATTTATCAGAAGTAAGACAAGCTGAAGTTACTCATCAGGATCATGATGTAATGTACGTTTGCTCTTCTTATCTCTTTTGTTTCTTGATATATTTCTTTGATAACTTTCTACACTGTTGCAGTAACAGTTGGCCAGCTGGTTGGATGGCTCGACATTTCAAGGATGAGACTCGTTGCAGTGTACCTAATGTAGGATTTTAAATAGCTGGATTGGAATAAATATATAAATTCATTCTTGAAACTACTAATGATAAGCTGAGTTACCGTAACTATTGGCTCTTTCGAATAAAAGCGATGCTGAATCGTGAGAATCTATTCTATTCATTGTATCAAAGTTACCAGGACTTTTTGTTGATGTGACTTTACGATTTTTTTTTGAAACTTTAATTTCAGTTCACCGGTACGAGCTATGATGAGGGAGCAACCAATGATGAGCAAAAAAATGAGTAAGTTGTTTTCTTAGTTCCGTTTCAGTAATCCAAACAAAGAACTTTTTTTGCTATTGGGCTTGATTCTAGGTTTTATTAATGAAACCGATTTGCTCATTTTCAGGTTGACTATTCTGAATAGCACTGATGATTATTTAGCTAATCTGATTACTAATCCGTCTTCAGTCGTTCCTCTAACTACTTATGTATCCAATCTTGGCGTACCGCCAAGCAAAAAAAGTTACCTTGACATTGAGGAGTCTATCGACAATTCTTGGCTTGTTAACGAAGCAACGAGTACTTTCTTTAATGTTAGTACTTCATGTTTATATCAGAATATTATGTCGTTCAGTAAAGAATGAGATAATATCTCGTAGTTATTAAGTGAATCCAGTACTACAGTTTGTAGGAGCTCCCGCAAATTAGGTCTTTTCTCTGTGACTGTTGTCATCGTTTGTTTTTATTCGAAACTGTCATAATGACTTTCACTTTTCAGCTTCACGCTGACTTCAGTACTTTTCTCGAAATATGGAAACCAAACGTTGAATTGGTTAATAAGAGTGAAGTCCCCCAATGTACTACTGCTGCAGTACGGAAACTGAAAGATGTATTGCCGAATCAGATGACTCTTTCGGTGGCTCCGTCTCTATTTCGATTGAACTCTCTGCAGAATAAAATTGTCTCTTGTGAGTTTTATTTATTATTTTTACCTATTTTTAGCTAATAGATGCTGTCCTTATGAAGGATGAAAAGTGCTCTACTGGACTGAAAAATGGATGTGATGCAAGAGTGCTTGTAAAGAAATTGTCAAGCATCGAAAATGTTTACTTGTTCCAAATTATCTAACATTGTTTGAATTTGATAGTTTTTCAGCAAATAATAAAAAAGAAATAGCTATCAAATGGTACTGTGTTTTCTGCTTCAATAACGCTCGCTTTGCTGTAAGTTTAATTTCATTAAATGCCACTTCTTTGAGGTTCATTCAGGAATCTCAGGAGGTTCTGCTTTTATATTTCCATGGTTTTGTTCCAGTACGAGAAATGTGGTATTATCCTTTATCCCAAGCTGAACGGACCATGGCGAACTCATGTTTGCAAGGACTCTAAGGGTGTAGTGATTTGTCCTATTTTGGCTGCGTTAGTTTCATTTCTTAACTCTTTTAAAGTTCTTCATTCTTAGAAACTTGAAATTTATTCTGCTTATCTTCCTTGCTTGATAATCTCATATTATTATCCTCACTCAATGATATTGAGACTGGGCAATTCAGTACATAAGGAACTGAGAACTGAGAATTACGCTGTTGTATCATTTGAGATAATAGGAAAATCTAGTAAAAAGGCTCTGTCGTGATCAGGGAATGGAAGAAAAAGTAATTCCAAAATTTAAACAAATTATTTTACAGACATGTATGCCGTCATTGTGGTGCCACGGGTAAATTCGCACATACTGAAAAATATTGCGATTTAGAGCAAAAGCGGCGAAATGAACGAACAAAGAATTTGAGTCGAGTTAGTCGTGTATGAGAATGTGCTATCACCGTTGTCTTGCCTTGTTGTTTATGATCCTTTATGCTAGAGAAGTAAAAATTGGGGTTTCCAGCTTCTTGCAAATTTTAGATTACATCTCATTTAAAGTAACGGTATTCCTGAATTCCTTTCATATTCCAGCAGTGAATCTCCTCATTTCGTAACTTCCATGAATTTGTTAGGTATTCCCAGTTTACAGTTGATAAAGCACATTTCCTATTATGATGCCTCACGGCATATCTTATGAAACCATTTATTTTATCAGTTTCTTAATCATGAACTGCTGTTATTACCATTTCCTGCCATTTTGTTCCTTATCTCATAATGCATGATTTCATATCTCATGTAATCGTTTATATTTTAAGGTTTTTACCAGCTTCATAATTATTATTCGTAGCTTCTTTTCGTAGCACAGTGAAGATAGTCAGTTATTTAATAAATTAATCTGGTGAGAAGTACCATTACGATCACCAAGTTGTGGGGAACTTACAGCCATCGAGCGATATTAAGGAAAAACTCCTTCTTTCACTAAATCACTTTTTGCTGGTTGAAGATGCTAAGATATTCCCTTTTCAAATGCTCTGCACTTTTACGCCATCTGGCTTTTGAAACTCAAGGATACAATGAGCAAGAAAACTTTATTAAGAAAATTGCAAACGAATAAGAGAATATATAACTAAATTCACCAATATTCCTAGCATAATAAACAATGGGTAAACATAGGTTTCTGCAAGTAGAGTTGTATATGAAGTTATATTTGAGAGTGAAATTCAAGAATGGGAGGCCCAGCCGGGAAGAATGAGTGAAAAGTAGGCCTCGTCTATCAACTGCAACTAATTAGCCAGGAAGTGGAAAAGATATGAAGATTATTCAGCATATACTAAGCAAATGATCTAATCCGATTGGTGACCACTGCTGCGTCTCGACGTTAAACCCGAATATTACATTCCGATCGATGTAAATAGATACATTGCCGAACCAGTAGACAGGCTTCCCTTCTCGGAATTTATTCACCTGAGGCACATATAGGACACCCGCTTCACGTGCCCTTAATTCTACCAGATCCTAGAAACCATACAGTTCAAATTTACCAAATAGACCAGCTAAAACGACGTGAAAACACTTCTTCCATAACTATTTCTATAGCGGGAGAATTTTCTAAGAAATTCAAACAGTGGCAGAATGTCATATTTAGAGAAATAAGCACAATTAAAATTTTGCCAGTCGTATTTTTAAGTGACAAAAGTACAGATGTATGGATAAATCAATAAATAGATAAGCTAAATGCACATGTCTAATAAAATCGCATGAAGAGAGGAGATATAAATTTCAAACCTTGAAAGAAAGGTGAGGAGGTGGAGGTTGTATTCTCGGTGGTGCAGAATTGTAAATTCCGGGAACCGGTTCCGGAGGTGGTAAAGGTGGATGTATTTCCTTTGTGACCTGAACGCCCTGTTGGGCTTGCTTCATTGCAATCAGTGCACGCTTTAATTGTTCTGAAATATTAGCATGAGAAAATTGGTGGAGAAGTTACTTCTAAAACAGTCAAATTCGTACCTTGTACAATAATCAGTGAAGAAATTTCAACAGGAAAACGACTTTTCCATTCATTGTACCACATTACCACTTCCTGAGCTACTACTCGCGGGGACTCTAACCAAATGCACAAGGTTTCATACCACTGAAAAAAGTTCGTTTTTACGACAAAAAAAAGTTTCCCAGTAAACTCTTAATTAGATCACCCGAATTACCTTTGGAAAGAAGCTACGTACTAATACAGCGGCAATACCTTCTGCACCGATCAATTCAGTCCAGTCCAACGCGGCATAAAATTCATCGTATCGCTAAATATCACAAAAATAAATGACATTTCCATCAGTAAAAACTAGAAATTTGGGAGATGCAAACCAAAACAAAACGCACGTGATTTTTTGTAGGGTCATATATCATTTCTTGTAAAGCTTTTTCAAGTTTGGGTATGATATTCATTGCCAGAAAAGCAGACATAGTTGCTGATGCGAAACAGCCTTTCCAAGGCCGAAGCATGGACAAAGCACTAAAACAACGGATAGTTAACTGAAATATAAACATTTATCAACAGTTCTTTGTATTTCCTTATATATGAAATTATGAATTATTAACCTGGGACAAAACTATATACTAATGCATATATAGTTGTAAATGCTAGATGCAAAGCAAATAACCTCCTGTCAGTTGGATTCCATTCTTTCAATGCTTTGGCCAGTTTCTGTCTAATAGGAGAGAAGATCGGCTGAAGCCGATCACCCATTACATCCAGCCATGGATGTAACCATGTATGAATGGGTATACGATCCGTTAAGGGATTCCACTCGTCCACTTGAGCAGCTATTCGTGGAATTACAATCTGCAACAATAGCATCATACAACTATCAAACTCTCTGAAACTAATTATTTAAAAGAATATAAAAGCATTTATTTAATTCTTCGAATTCATTCCAGATTTTTTTGCTTCTGAACTAACCTGTTCTAAAAGGTTCTCGCGCATCCATAAAGGTAGCATAGGTAGCCATTTTTCAACGACGTGCAACATCGATTGAGGGTCGTCTCGTGGACTCCAACGTAACGCAATTTTTCTCATTACTGGCATCCATCCATCCCAAAGAAGTCGTTCAAATGGTGAAAGGTTTTCTAGAATTCAATAGCGGTATGAGAATGCAAGTGGAAAGAAACCCATTTTTTCCACTTCTGCCCTCACAAAGACTAAATTTAGTAAGTTTAGCAGATTTAAGAGCCAAAAGTGACATACAGTAGTGAAAGTTATCAAGGATTGCGACAAACTTTACACAACTATTTATATTTTTAAAATATACTCTAGTATACTATACCTAAACTTTTAGTGACATTGAATATACCACGCTGTTCTATTTCCAGTATTTTTTTCCACTCACTTATTAACGCGATACCATAGTTCATTTGGTCATTGTCAAGAGCATCCCACGTTAGGAAATAATGCTGAATCTATAAAATGTTGAAATTTATTCAAAAAGAACTATTAAGAAATGCTAAAAATACCTCATCAAATAATTTGAACAGATTTAAGCATTTATAAAAATAACTCTGGTTATAATGACAAAAAGTTACTAGTGGTAAAACATTTGTAATAGCTATTTCTTCTAGTCTGAACAAACGATATTCCTCAAAGTATTCCGTCTGCATTTTTTGAAATAATTCCCGACATTCATCAAGCGTTACGTTTCCCTCATCGCTTTTCGTGGAGAACCTATAAATATTATAGATAATTGATAAAACCACAACTTCAGTTTCAAACCTATAACTTTGAGAAAAAGTGTGATCAATAACAGCACACTGTTCATTTGCAATTTCTCGAGAATTACGCTGCCCTCCGCATGTTTTTCAGGAAAGAATATTAACATCATCATATATCGTATAGTGATGCGAACCTTTCCAATAAGTCATTTAATTCTTCCACACGTTTTTGTTCCTCACGTTCCTTCCACAAAGCGGCCTGTATTTGCATGCTATCATTTTCGAGTGCTGCTGTCTGATCCTATGAAAAGTCAAGCATTAATCCTTCAGTGGTTGTTTGTCACTTATGTCCATTACTAACTGTTACAAAAAAAAACTTCTTAATCCGGAGAGATAAGATTAGAATCATGCATCCCCTGGTATATTCTCAAGCACATTTCAAATATGCAAGTTTATCTTGTCTGTTCTACAAATTTTCTCATAACTGTGGTCAGGTGATGGGTTGGAGATAACACAGAAATCATCACTGAAAAGAAGTCTGTGAGGTTGAGTTACGATGACGAACTACAAATCAACAATACTTCGTACTCTTAAAAAGCGCATCTGCCGATCATTGCGACGTATTGTTTCTTCAGTCTCGTTGATTAATAAATTCAAATTATGCATTAATTCTGGTACATCAAAGACAAGACGCTCCACTTGTGCTTCCACGATTGCTCTGGAAAAATCCTTTGCCTTTTATAATCCCACACAAAGTGAAAACCATATTAAATCCCAATGAATACCTTGTTTTAGCTGCATAAGCGTCATAACCGGAATAAACTTTCTGTTCCTTCCCTGTCATATCGATAACCTAAAAAAAGGTTTATAATAAAGATTTAAATCAAAAGTTTGAAGAAATTTTGTTTAAATGACAAAAAACAGTAGCGGTGCTGGACAATGGATTAGTGTATCAGTATAAGTGAATGGATTCTCATTAAAGCTCCTACTAAAAATAAATTTTTAAAAAAATCAAAAGCAAATTATACCTTGACACCACTACTTCCACTGCTGAGTCGTTGCTTGAGTGACCCACTTTCGGCAATCACTTCATCAATCGTTTTATATTGATATTTCACACTTTTCTTGGAACCAGTTTTTTTCCAGTTTCCTCTTCTTGATGGTTCTTCAACTTTTCCATCATCTCTACTGCATTCTACTCTCTTTTGTGTATCTCCGGACGATTCTGAAACAAGAACAATATATTATAATGGCATCAAAACTGAAGTTAATGTTGGTAACTCAAGAACTTCTGAACTATTCTTATGTCTCTAAATTATATTCAAAAATTAAAAAAAAAATTCCGGCTTACCTTATACAAACAACAGACCGAAACATCAAACAGTTTCAAACAAACCTCCAAAGTTCGGTCCTTTCGATTCTCTTCCATAGGCGCCTACAGCTGCCCTGCCTGGTCGAAGAACCGCTTGAATGGGTTCCACAATTCCTTGCTTATTTGCGCCCAGTCCTTGTCCCGGTACATAACCCATTTTACGCATCATTTTCATAATTACATCTGATTTGGAATGCTTTGCCCAATCTGCGAATTTTCCGGGATCCACTATACTATGCGTTGATCTGAAAACATTTCCAGTCATTTTCAGTTTAACGATTGATACCAATAATTGAAAATGTTTTAAAAGCATATCTATGACTTACGACAAACGAAGTCCAGCAAAAACATTTGCACCTGTCTGTCGACGAGATTGCCGCCGTGGTCTTTCCAGAGAAAGTGGTTCATCTTCCACTGCATCATCATTATCATCATTTTTATTCTGTAATCACGGTATCAACTCCAACTAATTAGTCAGAAGGTGGAAAAGTTAATGGTTGATACCAATAAGGCTCTAACAAGTAATGGATAATTTACAATAAACGACTGGTAATATAACTGTTACTTCCATCAGCTATCACCAAATATATTGAATAACAACGGTACTAAATAGAAAAACAATGGCGAGAAATAAAAAACCTCTCTTTCAATTGTATTGCCATGTTTTATACCGCCACTGACAAATGTTACTGGTGCGGAATAATTTTTGCTTTGTTTTTTTGAGCCTTTTGAACCAAATCCAGCATGTATATCTTCGTTGTCACTTTCCTCGTGATCAGCCCAAATACCTGCCATATAATAATCAGTCAGTGAAGATAGAAAGAAATAATGATGGATAGGCATATATATATTCAAGAACTGTCAAGGAAAGAATACATTTAATTCTTTCGAAAAATCTCGTAATTGATCATATAACAAAAAAAAAAGACTCTTCTTTCTATAAGGACGGAGTAATGAATGAAAGCTTTACCATATAGTTGTTGATTCTTCGATAATCCTCGCCGATGCCCTGGATTCAACGCATATTCCAAATCCCGTTCATTAATTTCAAACCTTTCCACCCCGTCATCCTCCTCTACATCCACCATCCTTTCCAGTCAACACTTCTACCCAACCCACAAAATGATACGCTTAAAAACAACGATCAACAATGATTCCTTTAGAAGTTTTTCCCAGATTTTACGTGGACGCATCATGAAATTCAATTTCTCAATCTGATTGGCTTCAATTTCTTGAATTTTCTATAAGAGAAAATACAATGAAAATAAATAAATACGTTCAGAAATCCATAATAATAAGCAAGCATTGATTATGAAGTCATGTTAAGCATTGATTATGATTATGAAGTCATGTTAAGCATTGATTATGATTATGAAGTCATGTTAAGCATTGATTATGAAGTCATGTTAAGCATTGATTATGAAGTCATGTTAAGCATTGATTATGAAGTCATGTTAAGCATTGATTATGAAGTCATGTTAAGCATTGATTATGATTATGAAGTCATGTTAAGCATTGATTATGAAGTCATGTTAAGCATTGATTATGAAGTCATGTTAAGCCTCACAAAAGTACATCACTGTATGAAGTATTGAATTCCTTCTGTTACCATTTTGAATCTAATGATAGCAACATCTGTAAGTATTTTTAAATTATGTCGCGAATCTCAAGCTAAATTGTAGCATTAAAATAATTTCATATAAAAATCATCAAATCGCACTACGAAGAATCATTTAATTAATTTCTTACTTCTCATTAAGCATTTCTTTGTTTGATGCCCTTTCTTTGTTTATAAAATAAATCTAACTAACTAAATCCCACCTTCTGTTGATAGCTATATTTGTCCATAATGGTTAAAATACCGCAAGTCGATCAATTCAAATATTCCCTGTCTTTTAATCAGTAGCATCAGATATTCCTTAACATACTTTTTTTGTTCACATAGCTATTTTTGTATGCGACAGGTACATCAAAATATTGTAAACCATTGCCATTTTCACAGGTAAATATACATTATGTAAACATAACCAAAGATTCATCCTTCAAAAAAAACATTTTGCTTTCTTAGCGATCCTTAATTCTGCGATTATTCTTCGTTTACTTCCATGAAGATAAACTGTTTGTTGTATTACTACTACTACTACTATATCTGTTAATAAAGGTATTGTAATATGCTGTGTAATTCATCCCTACAACTGAGCGGAACAACTTAATTCAGGTGCACAAGGTGAAAAATCTCATCGTACTAACACAACCCATTAATCTTTACTGGATTTCCACGGTGCCAAAACCTTCCAAATTAATATATTACCCACAATTTATGCATTTCAAAGATCAGTAATGTTTATGTGTAATAAATATTTAAGAGTTTAACTTCCAGAAAAGTTTACAGAATTCGAATTTATAAATATATGCGCATACACAAATCTGAACTATCAAGCACTGCATTTAAAGATAAATGGAAATCACAGGGCATGTTTTATAAAGCTAAATGATGATTAATTAATAGAATAAACATTTCCTTGACAAATTTAGCAAATTATTTCCATTATACAATTCAATCTATTCATTTCCTTAATGGAAAGGTAAATAGATATAAGTAAAGACTTCAGAATTGTTAAATCAACTGAATGTGGCTACTGGAACTTCAGATGATTCAGTTCGAATAACGATGGTTAATGAGTGCTTGTCGTCACACACCCTTTCTTTTATTTTAGATGAATCAGAATTGGCAGTCCAAAACATTGTGTAATGAAAAATTGTATGATATAATAAAAGTAGAAATGTTAAAAAGTTTTTTGTAGAACAGGTAGTAGAGAAAGAGACAGATTAGTCCTGAAAGAAAATTGAGTAAGTTAGATTAATTGGTTTGGTTTTAAAAGAACTAATGTAGAAATGGGAAAGAAAAATAATGAAAAATAAAAACAGTACAAAATTAGTTTGAAATGCATTGTTTCAGCAGTACCAAATAAATAAGCTAAAACAAACAAACTTTCTTTCCCATTTTCAATAAAAAAGCTGCTCTACAACTGAATATTAACTTGGAAGCGACAGACCGATAGATATGAATGAACCGGAGATCAGGAACTGTTATATCTAGAGGATGTGGTAATTCTTTGTTTATAAAATATCCTGTAATTGTAAATGAAAGCAAATCATCTTATATTTATCACCTATCATGCTACAACAAAGTACTTTAAGATATAAACTAAAGTATCGATTTTGCAGTACTGCTACGATAAGGGCTTATCATTTCCGCCAATTAAATTTGTATTAATTGAAATCTTTGTATTAAATACAGGAATTTCAAAAAAATTAAATTTAATGACAAAACTTATTACTTCCATGGGGAAACGATTGCCAACTTTATAGTCCTACGAGAGTATTTCATGAGAACTAAAAACTGAACTCTCTATAAAAGAGAAAAAACAACGCTAATAGAGTCAGTATAAAAGCTGTAGAAGTAAATAATTAACCTCCCAAGATTCAGTGATTATCCCATGAACTAAACAATGTTGATAGAACATCTGTTGGAAAGAGAATTTAAAAATCGGTTAGCAGTTGCACTGTGACGATGGCGGCTTCTGCATGCTTGGTGCATCCAGCCGTTGTCCTTTGGGATGCGCTGTCGTGGGATCCGAATCCAACGATTCCGCCATTTTGTCACATATTATTTCTACCAATTTTTCGAATACCGCTTTCACATTTATATTCTCCTTCGCTGATGTTTCGAAAAATTCTAAGCCTAAAATGAATCATTTTGTAGCCGAAATTAGAGAGCGAATATAAGTTGACTAGCCGATGTAAGGCTGCTGTCAACATGCAACATAACAGGCATTTGCGCCACCTCTCCAGAAGATCACTTGTGCACTATTCGTCATAAGAACTAAATTGCTTAGTTATAAAAAACTGAGTTTCCTTGGCTGATCATAAAAAATATAAAGGAATGAATTCAGCAGATACCAAGTTGATCCGCTAACTGTTTACCCCGTTCACATGACACTACTCGCTCATCGTCCATGTCGCATTTGTTACCAACTAGTACTACTTGCGCGTTTTCCCATGAATACGTCTTGATTTGTGTGCACCTGCAATTCATATGTCATTATTTTTATCATATCATATCGTTTTTTAAAAGACCTATCGTTAATCTGATGGATGAGAATATCTCAGTTCGGGCACCTCCCTAACAATCACGTGGTCATTTTCACGCTTTGTAATGTTTCAAATACTGTGTCATCGGGCATGTTGAATGTTCAGAAAAATTATTGGATTACCCACTCAAACGCAGATAGTATTTTAATTCAACTTAAGGCAATTTTATGAAATAAATGATATAGCGAAGCCATCACTGCACAGAGTAATTCAGAAAAGGGAGAACATGCTACATTACATTATGACATAGCAAGAAGTTACTTGTCGGAAATAACTGTAGTTAAAGATAGGTTAATATTGCATTATAGTTGAAGCAACGATTTCACTTTATTTCTGTACGTACATTTTATTGGAAGAGGAAAAACATTGACAAGCAGTTTTAAATTAAAAACTAGCCAATCTTGAACACTGTTGAATGACTCTTCGTTAGTAATATCATACATAAGGATGAAACCCATTGCTCCACGATAATATGCAGTCGTTATGGTCCGATACCGCTCTTGTCCTGCAGTGTCCTGCAATTTTTTAAAAAATAATGAATAATACAGAAAGAATAATGAGACAATGATTCATAAGTATTTTAACTATAAAATACTCTTCTTTCTAATAATATATAAAGTATGCCGACTAAGGAAAAAGTGTTTCATTACTGATTTTCTCTTTCATTTCTTTCAGTTGTACAATCTGACAAATCAAAAAAGATTCTAAAATTTGATGCCCTAAAATAATTCTGTAGTTCTATAGAATTCTATATGCAGTTTCTCAGATATAAATAACTTTATTCAACTGAAGAAATAAATTTCTTTTTTCAGTCAAATTACTGCACTGTTAAAGAATTTCTTATTAATAAGTGCAAATCTTAGAAAAAAAAAAAACTTAGAAAAGATGATTTGCACTTACCCATATTTGCAGCTTAACACGTTTATCTCCTCTAAATACTGTTTTTACTTTGAAATCGATGCCAACTGTTGAAACAAATGCAGACGTAAAAGAGTCATCACAGTATCGGAATAAGAATGAAGTCTTGCCCACTGAGGAATTACCAATAATCAGTAGTTTAAACATATAATCAAAATTCTGATCTGTTCCAGTCGGCGCAGTTGCAGTAGCGCCTGCACCAGTAGTTGCCATAATCTAAACTTTTGATTTAAAATAAAAGAAATAAACATGTTAATATGTCAGTCAGAAAGACGATTAATACTACGAATTAGTAATAAAAGAGAACAAATTTTATTAGTAACTTTCCAATAAAATTTGTTCTTCTTATTAGTAACTTTCCCATCCTAATAATTTTCATTATGATTCAAATAAAACTACTTTTATCTTTTAACATTTATGCATTTTACGAAGAAATCCTCATTTTCTTTCTACACATTACTTTCTATACGATATTAATGAATATGATTGCAAACTAAGCTTCACTAATGCAAACAATCGCAGTTTTTGGAAAGAAAATTTGTTTGACTTTAATTTATAAACAATGTATGGTTCCTTTTTCTTCCCACTGTGATATTTCTTAATATTACTTACACATAAGAGAAATGGATTTGTTTTTGTGGACAGAGATTTTGGAAGTAATTTTCCACACCTGAAGTAAGTCAACATATTTCTCTTCTTCGTTCCCTTCCATAAACACTGTTAACAGCTGTGTAAAGAAACAAAAAAAAAATATCCCGTACATAGAGTAATACCTTTGAGATAAGCTTCTCAACTTTGAGATAAATAACTTCTAACATAAAGTTAGATCTAAAATGGGTCAAATCTACAAATGTTTCCTGAATATCTAAAATTATAAGTTTCATGTCGATTTAGTAGTCCCTTCCTTGTTAACTCACTCCACTGGAAATTCCTATAGTAAAAACGAGTGAAAATGGCTCTGAACCAAAGATATCAATGTTCGCTGATTTTATGTCCTTCAACTAACTTTTTTTTTACTAACTTTCCTTAGAAATCTAATAAAAAACTAATTTTTCTTAGAAAGAGGAATAACTGCCTAAAGTTATCACCGAAACTCAGAACCGTTATTTGCAGAGGTATGTAGTTGGTTTTGTTTTAAACTTATTTAGAATAACAATAAATCATAACTTGTTTTCTCTCAAGTGTTCGGTCTGCCTATCTTTTAACATTTTCTGATCGAAAACACTGAACACTGCAGTTAATGGCATGAAATTGGAAAAGCAGTATAGGCGCTAGGCGAGACCATGTCTCTTGCTCTACCAGCTTCACAAAATCTTTGAAGAAGTCTTATGAATACAAAGGCGAGGATTTACTTCATTCATTGCTGAAATCAAATGTCTTACTTATTTTTCTAAACATAGAAATTAATAAGTTATGGCTCATCTTTCTTATTTCAAAAAGTGCCGAAGACTGCAAGTCATTAAAAAAAGTGGAAATACCGAAGCAGCAAAAGAAAAAAAAAACAGGGAGTACGGGAAATTCAATATCTCCATTTTATTTAGGTATAGTCGCATGCCACCTATCAAATTCATTTATTCTTTGTTTATTTTGCAGTTCTCATATTATTTCATCACTTATTTGTGCAATCAATAATTAATATGATTTTAAAGGTCAATGCGTATAAATAAGTTTCATGAGTCCATAAGATGGATGTCACCAGAAACGACTATGACCCGTAATGAAAAAAAAAAGTTATCAAGTGACAAAACGACCTGGGTATGAGGATTGTAAGCTAATTTTCAACAAAAATCCTAATGCTACGCTCTCAGGACATGTCCTGGAAATGTCGAATTGTGTCACAATGCAGTGCTGATAGATTTGTATTGAAATGTTCGAAAAAAAAAAGTGCCACAAAGGGGAAAAGGGATTTTAAGAAATGATACATTCGAATATATTACTGAATGTGATAGTAATAAGAGTTAATCAATGACTGCGGAGGGAATAAAGAGTTACCAGAAAATCAGAGATATTCAAATTTATTGTACAAAATGTTGAAAAAGCATGGAAATAAATATGCTTGAAAATTTAATGATTACTGTTTATGCGGGATAAGACAGCCGTGGGCGTTAGGTATGGGAAAAAGTGAAGAGAGCAGTTTAGCACGAAATATTTATCATCTAGCTAAAAGGAGAAGATGGAGAAGCAAACACTTCTCCAACAACTTTTATCTCATTCTCAGTTGGTACCCACCACATCTATTTCATCAAATCGATTTTCAGTTCATGTTTCCTTTAGAATGGAGGCTTTTTGAGGCCCGTGTAAACTGCTGCATTACTTATATGAAAGCAAGAATTGGAGAGAAGAGTGTCCGTCTCTTTTCCTTTGCACTCATTCCTTTCCTCATTTATCTGCAAATACTGAGCAAGAAAAAGGATATATACATATTCAGTTAAGGCTTTGCATCATCATCTAAGGCCTGCCTGAATGCCTTTCGCATTGCTACGTTTCTTAATGTCATTCACATCACATTTTCGTTCACTTTCCATTACATTCAATAACATTCAATCCATGCATATAAAGTGCACGCTAACGCATATATACTGCACACTGCAAGCCATATTTGCAGAAAGACTGAGTAAGAGAACTCTTCAGGGATTCAGTCATAACGAGAATAAGGTAAAGAATAGAAAAGGCATCACTGATCCTCTCAATATTACTTCCACCTGCATTGTATTCTCATTAGCACTAAACTGATCCACTTAAATCACTCTACGTCTCCTCTCTGATCCCTAAGGTGCGTGTGTGTGTGACGTGATGTGTCACGCTTGTCTGTGGGTCCTATGATACTGTGCATTGCTAATCAATGATCGTCCTTAATCAGCAGCGACGACCAGACAAGTGTTACATCCACGTTTCCTCATACTTTCAACTCTCGAATCAATCCGCAGGGCCATTGGTATTTCACGTCGCGAGCAAAAGAAGAAAGCGAAGTTGCAATGGTCGTGTGATTTGGGGAGGTGGAGAGTGTTTATTGTGTTTTTTTCGCAGCAAGTTAATGGCTGATAATGTTCTTTTCCTTATTTTGAGTCAGTTTCAGACGTAGTTATACGAGATGCCAGATTACCTTGGTGATGATATGCGCAAGAGTAAGAAAGAAGTTGTGACAGATAACGACAAACCCTTTCAGTGTATGTTTTTCAGTCATTAATTAAATGTGTGATATTGAAAAGCTGATTTTTCTTAATGTTTTTTTCGAAAATAAAGCATTCCCGAAGAAATAGAACTAGTATCCTTCGATCACCAAGAATGCTAGCAGTTTTAACGATTTATTAATTCAAAATACTGAGGAATAGCTGTTCTCCAGCCCTGGATGAAAACGATATTGTGGTATTGAAGCGCTACGGACAGGGTGCTTATACGGAACAATTGAAGCAGCTAGAATCCGATATCGAAGAATGTGTTAAAAAGGTAAGTTTAATATAGGAATAGTTGCTCATTCACCTTTTTCATTATTCATTTTCTTGATAGTTATGAATTTTGTTCTTATTCTCTATAACTTTGTTTTGCTATGGAGATGTGCAGCTCTTTAAATTATTGAAATCTTGGAAATAATTTCAAACTTTTTACGTAATCAAATCTTACTACACAAATTTTGTATTTTTGCATTCTCTATTCTCCAATATAGGTGAATGAGTTATCTGGAGTCAAGGAAAGCGATACCGGACTTGCACCACCAGCTTTATGGGACATAGCTGCTGATAAGCAAGCAATGCAGAGTGAACAACCCCTTCAGGTCTGTTATTTCGATTACAATTTCTTACAATATTTTTTTCAGGTACGTTTCAGCTGGAACCAAATAATAAAAATTAAAAAGCAACAGATTAAAATTACTAGTTGTCAGACATTAAATAAAGTTAATTTGTTAATGATATAACTAGAAGTGATCGTGCTGGGTTTGTTTTATATTAAAATTACATCCCTGGAAAGAACAGTTAGGAACTGTTTTGCAGGTTGCTCGTTGTACAAAAATAATAACATCAGAAGGACATGAACCACGCTATTTAATAAATGTCAAACAATTTGCAAAGTTTGTGGTGGATCTTGCAGACACCGTTGCACCAACTGATATTGAAGAAGGTATGCGAGTTGGTGTGGATCGTAATAAATATCAAATTCACCTGCCTTTACCCGCGAAAATTGATCCATCGGTTACGATGATGCAGGTAAACTTTTTTTTTTTGGAATTGTAGAAATACCATCTTGCATCATATTGTTGCTGGTAACATTTTCATTTTTAATAAAATATATAGTAATCGATTTCTTATGTCGCAAACTTTGCTAATCGCAGATTCTATTTGATTGCAGGTCGAGGAGAAGCCAGACGTTACTTACGCCGATGTGGGTGGCTGCAAAGAGCAAATAGAAAAACTAAGAGAAGTGGTCGAGACCCCATTGCTGCATGTAGGTTTTCTATACTAATTTTAGCTTTTGTAACTGAGAAAATTGATCTACTTTTTAAGTAATATTGTTGCAAATTGGGTTATATTTTAGCCAGAACGTTTCGTCAATTTGGGTATCGAACCACCGAAAGGTGTTTTGCTTTATGGACCTCCTGGTACAGGCAAAACTCTTTGTGCTCGTGCTGTCGCCAATCGTACAGATGCCTGTTTTATCAGAGTTATTGGTTCTGAGCTAGTGCAGAAGTATGTAGGCGAGGGTGCTCGCATGGTGCGAGAACTATTCGAAATGGCTCGTAGTAAAAAAGTATGGTCTTTGTTTTTAACACTTTCTTAGTTTAACTCGGCAACAGTTATTTGCTTTATAATTCTTAATTAAGTTGTTTTTCAAAAATTCAAAGAAAAAGTTTTTTTTATAGGCCTGTCTGATATTTTTCGATGAAATAGATGCCGTGGGCGGTGCAAGATTTGACGATGGAATGGGTGGCGATAATGAAGTGCAACGCACCATGCTTGAACTGATCAATCAGCTGGATGGCTTTGATCCACGCGGAAATATTAAAGTATCCATATATCTTTTAACGTTGAAATCTCTTATTTTAAGTATTGCATCTCATTTTCTCATAATTAAAGGAGGCTTTTCCTTATAGGTACTTATGGCAACTAATCGACCTGATACGCTTGATCCAGCATTGGTTCGACCTGGCCGTTTGGATCGCAAAATAGAATTCGCTTTACCAGATCTATCAGGTCGTACTCACATCCTTAAAATTCATGCGAAACAGATGAGTGTCGAAAGAGATATTCGATACGATTTATTAGCACGTCTTTGCCCTAATAGTACTGGTGAGTTTTTCGTATTAGTAACGCTGGAAGAAATCGCGAGCCTTGACAATATTTTTCATTGCTTCTTTAGCGTAATTTATTTTACGCAGCTGTTGGATTTGAAAGTTCCAGATAAGGTTTTGCTACAAGCTTATCAGCTTGTGTGTTTGGGAAAACGAAATACTCATTAAAATGTACAGAAGGAATTGATAAATTTAAGTGGTGTTTTGATAGTGGAGAGGTATATCAGCGTATAGTGCGACACACAAGCTATGTAGGCTTTATCACATTTTGCTAAGTTTTTTGAACCTGATAGCCTAAAAACTTTTCCCGCAGGTTCATTCATGTTGTAATAAGGTGAAAGCAAATATGAACCTATTTCTTTACGTTTGACACAGAATAGAACCATAGCTTTTATGTAATATATTAAACTTAACAAACTAGAATCGATGTCAAAAATACTTTCTGCAGGTGCTGAAATTAGGAGCGTTTGCACGGAAGCCGGTATGTTTGCAATACGTGCTCGAAGAAAGCTTGCAACGGAGAAGGATTTCTTGGAGGCCGTCAACAAAGTGATTAAGGGTTATGCCAAATTTAGTGCCACACCACGTTATTTGACTCACAACTGAAAAAAATCTGTTTAGAAATAAACCCTAGATTGTGATGATTTCTTGACTAACCTCGCAAAGCAGTTTTTCAAAAATGTATATAATCCCGTATGGATGAATTTGACAGTGACCTCTCAAATGAAAACATTCAAGAATTTTGTAGCATGCTCATAAAAGTGGGCAACACTTGAAAACAGTTAGTTGCTAAATAAATTGAAATATGCTTAACTATGCAGTGTATATATACTGATGTTATCATGAGTTCATGAACGATTTCATATGTTTTCACAAAAAAATCAGTTACAAATTAGTTTCAGTAGCGGACGTAAGCTCATCGAGCTTCGAATTTTACAGCCCAATTTTGAATTCATTTACGACTGCAATACAATCCATACTGAAAATAATTAAGGTAAAGAGATGGTAGGACAGGGAAGAGAATTCTTATTACGAGAGAATATGGTGCCACACAAAGCACTTTTACAATTATCTTCTTTCTGTAATCTGGTGAAAAGATGAACAATGGTAACACAAGAACACATGTAGACCGTGATTATAGCGGTTGCATGATAGTGATTCTTTACCGATGAAGTGTTTATGCTTTTATTCACTAAACCCGTTAGAATATTTGCCAACAAGAAGAACAGCAATCCTTGTTCATTAATTGAATCCACTAGAAATGGTTTCAGTGCTTCCAGCAGATTTTCATCTGGAATAGCGTTGAAATCGCATAAGACAAGAGGAAATTTTACGATGTTAATTTTACTTGTATCACTGCTTTGCAGAATATAAACATTCGTATTAGCGGTGCTCGAGATTAGTTTTGTTAAGCGACATAAAAAATCGTTATATGCTAATGCTCTGAATTAAATTCCAAAGCTTACCACCATCTAGCACAATTTTCGTTTCAGAATGCATTTCCGTCCTACCATTTTCCGTCGTATTTGCCTTTTTGTTTAAACCTAGAAATCATGGAAATGTTGGAATGTCAGTTTCTTACATTGATTTGAGAAACTACTAGTGCTATTTCTGGAATCATTCGAAAATAAGTAACAAATGAAAATCTGCCCTGATAGTAAACTTACTGCTGCGGAATCCCGAAATTTGTGAAGCCCGGCCGTGGAGCAACTGAACGAATAAGTAACCGCACAAATAAATGTTGTGAAAAACTACCTGAAACGTCTCATTCATGAGTGCCCTGATATGAACAAAGTGCACTTATTATGTCAGCAACTTTCCACTTATTATTTTTACGGATGGCCTGAATCATTCAATAATTCGCCTTTTTAATGCTTTATCTTAACTAGTTATTATCGAATATTGCATTGAAAGTAATAAAAAAAAGTAATAAACAAAGCACTCATCATTTCTAGAATGTACGGCACATTAGCAATTCTTCGCGATGGTGGGCCCACGAGTTTTATGGCAAATTCCTGTGCTAAGAAAATTACTACAGTGAGTAATAATAGCTGGAAAGAACGGTAGAACCATACTTTGATACGTTTCCTAAAAAAGAGAGTGAACGTCTACATTCTCCAACTAATCTGTGAAATGTTCCTTTTTTCCCTTTATTTCTTTTGAAAATAATGTTGAAAAGAAATTTTAGTCGCTTGTGATCACTGCACTTTCTTTTGAAATTATTTCCCTATGCATTTTGAACAGGAAGGTTATAAAAAGCAGAAATGCAATGAAAAGGAATAAAGGACCTTTTTTCGGTTATACTACAATTAATGTTAGGATCGCAATATTCTTGGTGTGATATCGCAGCAAATAAAAAATTGGCTATAGCCGATGCCAAATAATAGATTGACAGATACCCAAAAAATGAAAAAATCCCTTCGCGATTTTTGGATACAAAATCTTTCCTTTTTGTCTCATTCGAAATCAAATATTGCTAATAATAAAAAATGTCAAGTCAGCGGCATATTGCTCACTAACTGTTAAAACAGTAATATTTTTTCCTCTTTACAAATCCTCATTAACAAACTTTTTTATTTTATTATAGATTATAGATTAAAAATTATATTTCTTTTCCCCTCTCTATGAAAGCTTTGATATTGAGCTTTTGTCAATGATGAATGATCCCTTAAGAAAAAATAATCGTATAGAAATATTAGGAATACTTAAATCCAATTTTACTATTTTACTATTGGAAGTTGTTTCACGTAAACGTAAAAAAGCACCTGTAAATTTTGTTTCGTTAGAAAATATTGGTATGTAAAAGCAATGATTATTCCCAATAATAAATGGTAACGTCGACCCAAAAAATCCACTAAGAACTAAAATTTTGTAAATTTACTTTTGTTACATCACGTTTCAATTCAGGAAATCAAAGTGACTGGTAGTAATAACTCCAGATGATGGGGGAAAGATATTCTACCCATAAAACAAGTTAAACAAACCCGCAACAATCCGAGGGTAATAAAGAAATTCCAGTATATACCATATTCACTGATCTGATACTGATAGTTGGTGAAATGAAGCAAAAATGTTCGTGCTATACCAAGCACTATTAACACAGCACTTGATGACGGTTTCAAGGAGCAGTACCTGAAATGAATTACTTAGAGAATATCCCAAATCTCTGTTTTTCTCGTTAATTTATGCTTACTGATCATGTTCGATCTTTCATCTGATTTCCTGTACGCGATCATATCATGACATATCTTTTGATTAACTTAGATTTTCTTACGACGATTACTTAATCATTCAATGAATCTCATCTATGGAAGTAATATATTTTCATTATGATAACATAGAGCATGAAAATGCCGAAATAAGCTCATTAAGCTAGTTATCCAATCACATTTAATTTATTTATTAAAAAAGTTGTCCGTGATAGTATTTTCAGTCCTTGTCTTACTTAAAAAAATACTTTCCGCCAGTAATATATCCCATTCTAACTTAGCATCAGCTGCTACGCTAGTGTGAACGCTCAGATATCAGTATCACCGCATAATACATTTAAAATTATGAATATAAGAACGAGAACCACTGCTTTTGAGTGACGTGTTTTACTCTTCCAGGATAATGTCGGAACACATCAACCACAGCAAAACAATAAACAAATGTAGCTGTACCGAGATCCATAACACTTCGGCCAAAAATTGACGTCTTCGCAAAGCGACGTGGAAATACATCAAAATCTACGGATAATATGGCGCCAGCTGTAGCAAGGAAGCCATATAATCTGCAGTAGTATTGGGGATAAAAGCATATTTTATTTTAGAGACATTCCACACAAAGTTCTATTTAAAAGTCATATATTACAAGCTCATGTTAAAGCAGTAGTTTAGATTGAATTTCTATATTAACAACCTCATATAAGTGACAAATTTAGTAGGTGAATAATGGTCATCATTGATTTGATGAAACAAATCGCAGTACGTTCGTTTTCTTCGTTTCATAAAATACTGGTCGCATATTAGAACGACAACAAAGGTCAAAAGTATTATAGTTTGTGCTAATAGTAGTAATAGTATATGGTCCGAAAATAAGGTCAGCGTCAGTACCACTGGAAGCACGATAAGTAACAAATCGAGCACAAAAGTTAACCTGAAATTACCTCCTGAGACTTTTTCTCGATTTTTTTTTTCTCTCAAAAAGATTTCTAAAACAGGTACTCAACCTCAGAGCAACAAAGTTCACCACATAGGCCACCACATAAAAAAAATTAGTATTAAAATTGTCTTGATTCAAAACATCTTACCAAAATAGTTTTGGAATCCTTACTTTTCTAGTTAATTAATGAATGTTTAACCCTGAAAGTAAATCAAGAGTTAAAAAACAGTAGCACTAACCAACTCCCAATTTGGAGGGTACATGGAAAAATACAAAGCACCCCTGGTACTGCTATATTTCGCAGTATTATCGACATTGGTCCAACTGTCTGAAAGAGCAGAACCTCAGCTTGTGTGGTACCATTCCGCATTTCTTATCGCAATTTGAAGCAGCCAATACAGAAAATGCTTCCAAGGACAATGATAAACTGAGATGACACAGTTGAAACAGATCCATTCATCTCATTTGCATAATTAAACAGAGGTAAAGTCAGTTGTCTCAATCTGTTCCCTCCTTCGAGAACACCTCTCGTATTGAAATCTCCAGTAGCACAAATGTATTAAGATGACTTCCGTTTTCCTAATTTTTTAAATAATGATGTCAAATTACCCCGTTCACGTATGTTTTCCATTTTTTATGCTATCGCAGCTAATAATATCATCGTTTTTTTCAGACTGAGACGATGAGTGCCATCAATTGATTGTATTAATTTAGGAGTGGAAAATTATCTTATGGAAAGCTCTTGAGTAGACATATTACATTTTAAATCAGTGATAGCACAACAGGAAATGAAATCTATCCAGGTGTTTATCCTCAATTTCATCGTGTGTTTTGTCGCTTTAACATTTTTGTTATCGATTTAAAAGGTAAAGAACGGGGAAAATGATTAAATAAGACAAAGAAGTTAAGTATAATGTTTAAGGAAAGTCCAATGAAGCAAGATTAAGAAATAATCACTTTATTGGAACAGTAACAAAAAAAAGAAATATATATTTAAACATTTACATAACAAAAACAAAAATGTAAATATACAAAGAGGCGAGAATTATTGCAACATTTATTTGATGCGTGACACTTCAGTATTATTACTCATGATTTATAGGCTATTTAATTTTTTTAATATTTCACTAATACTTAATAACAGCATATATAAAATATTGAATAAACAAAAGAGAATAAATGTTGGTGTGACATTGTATTCCCTTCTTATGTTTATAATATTTGATCCTTGATGAAATGACCTGAACACACTATATAACTTAAAACAGTATGCCATAACATTCAGATATACCTATTGAATGTATTATGATAAATAATGACTTAGTATGGTTCACTACAAGGTCAATTTCATCAACATCATACTCCTTTTCATTATCAAACCTAATGGTACGTTTTGAGCATTTGAATAACATCGGTGATACACTACAAGAAACGAGATATAAGTATTCATTTCGAAACACTTGAGAGTAAAATAGAAAGTTTTAGAGCCACTATTTACGTGCGGAATCTCTTGAACATGTTTAACAAATACTTCATAACTCGAAAGTAACCATAATTAGCGAAAGCAAAGCTACTACATGAAATTTATTACTGGGTTCTAAAAGTTAAAGAATGTTCTTCGGTTGATACGAACCTACAATTATTTCTATTTATATCAACTAGATTCAAAAATACAATATGCAATGGCTAAACCATTGGAACCTTATAGTTTCCTATAAGTTTTTTTATAACCAAAATAAAAACCAACAAAATTGAGTGTAAGATAGCATTTAATAATTAGTAGCAATTTCGTCGGGTTCTGATAAACTCATGTACAATTTCATCGAGGATTTTTTCAAAAAACAAAAATACTAAAACACGCAGGAGCAATATAGAAAATATACATATAATGCCAATACCGAATGATACAGAGGATGAAATGTTTTTTTTTAAAAAAAGTACAAAAAAAAGTTAGTGATGAAAATAATAATGTCCTTAAACAAATTATATTATCTATTGCCACCACTGGAAAATAAAATAAGTTGCAGAAAATGAATAATTTAAGAAATGTATATACAAAATTCAAGAGGTCTGCTTTAACCTTGTACAGACATGGATGACTGAACATGAAATGAACATATATACAATAATGATAGTCATCGAATGATAGACACTTGTTACAGAGCTTGTCGTTATTGTTAAATTAATAAGACCCGTGAGCAAGTTCGCTAATAAAAAAAATGGCATGGCATATCGGTTCACTGAATCGAGCACACATGGCTTTAAACGCTCGAAGGGACTTTCATCTATAAAAACAAAGCTAAAGAAGTTGATGCAATATGACATACAATCCAATATTTCTTCAAAATAAATGTTAATGGTGAACAAATGGTGAGTGGTACTTTGATTCCTAGCAGTCTAAATATTTTCATCTGATCAATCAAAGATGGTCCTAAAGGACAGTAGGTCTACAAAAGAAGAGAAGAATAAAAATATTAAAGAATAAAAATATTAAATAAAAATACTACAAAGAATAAAAAGAATAAAAATAAAAATACTACAAAAGAATAAAAATATTAAATCAAATCAAAATAACAATTTACGAAAATCGAGAGCAGTCCAAAGAACTAACCAATAGAGAATTGCGGCATTTGTGCTGCCCATCCAAATATGGAAGTTAGTTGTATCAACAACAAACTAGCCATGTAAACAGTATGGAAGACTAGCTGAATACAACATATCAGACATATCAGAATTAGAATGAAGCAACGGACATTTCCATGATAATGAAATTAGAAAAGAAACACCTCCTACAAATGTGTGATATGGCTTACCATTTCTAAAATATAAGACAAGTTGGCAATTCTCCGTGAAGGTGGTCCCACAAGCATTTCAGCCAATTTTTGAGCAAAAAAAAGAAGTGCAGCGATTATAAATAATTGGAATGTTCTGTAGAACCAGGATTTGAGCCTTATTCTGTAATTCCAGTGGTGAAATCATAACTCTCTGATATATTTCATCCAGATTGGAATCGATGCAATACCGCAAAACTACGTGTATCCTATTCATAAATATCGTGTTTGCTGCTTGACAACTATTACCTAATGATGACTGTTCACAATGAGTGTGTAAAAACGACTTCATCCAGCTCATTTAATGACTACTTTTTCTAGGAATGGTTACATTTCCTCTTCTATTGTAATACCCTCCCATTATTAACTTTCATCATACAACAGCAAAAAAACAGATTGAAAAGTATATGGGTTTGCATCTAGAACTATGCTATTATCATTAAACAGTAGCTACTGGCGAAAGTAAAAATAAAATAAAAAACTCCACTGAAACAATAACTAACCCCGTGAAATACATGAAGCTGGCGATAGTGGATGCGAAATAATATATTGATAAATATCCAAATAAGGAAAAAATACCTTCACGATTCATTGCAATAAAGGTATCTCTATTAACGCTCTCCGAAAGTAGCCAATTCTGAACTGAGTGATATAGCAACGAATTTATTACATGAAGTTTTCAACAACAAAAAAAAGTGCTCAACCAAATTAAATTAAAACCTGTAAATTTCTTTCAGTCAAGAAATACTGATAAACAAAAATGACGATAATGCCGAAAAGTAGATGAAAACGTCGACCAAGAAGTTTCACAGTAATCTGAAAAACACGGCACAATTAGCAGGAAGTTTACACCGACACTTCTTATTCAAGAAAAAACGAACAGAGAGACAACCTCCATAAAAAATAATGATGAAGTTCAACTGTCCTCTCTCAATACGAATGTTGACATTTATTCATTCCTGATGTTAGAAAGTAAGCAAATTTAAATTAAACAGAAATGCATCATACAATTTATTATTTATTAATATCATATATTAATACGTGGAAGTGCTAATCTTTAAGACTAAAATGATTCAAAGTTCACAACACAAACCCTGAGAAAAGCAAGTGTTATGAAGAAATTCCAGTGCACCCCATATTCAGCAATTTGTGTTGGATAGCTTAATAGATGTAAGACACATGTCCTTCCGAAACCTAAGCACAGCAAAATGATGCTTGGCAAGTGCTTCCGGAAAAAATGTCTGCTATAAAATTTAAATGTGAAATAGTTAAAAACCAAATATTTAATATTATTAAATTACCAAGTTACTCATATTTTTTATATTTGAATCATTCATACGGCTTGATATTATCTCCCTCAATCTTTCGATTCGATTTTAAAAGAAAAAGAAAAACCTTCTTTGTAGTGATGGAAATTTACTTCTGCTTGGAAAATCTTTGAAAACATCAACAACGGCGAAACAATAAACGGATGTTGCAGTGCCAACATCCATAACACTTCGACCATATGTGTGTGTCTTGGCAAAACGACGTGGGAAAATATCAAAATCAACGGAGAGAATTGCAATGGCAGTTGCAATGAGGCTCATAGATCTGAAATAGAAAAAAAGCATGATAAAATTCGATAGTTATATTTCTCACGATTATAGAAACGTACTTGATATCAAGTAGCTAAAATTTATCTTTTTTAAAGGATAATATGCTGAGACGGCCTCACGAAGATTACTGTCATAAAAGTGACAAATACAACCTATATATCGATTTTGTTTTATAATTTTATAATATAGTACGTTTAATTCAACAAATTCAAATAAATTTGAAGGATAAAACGAGGAAAGGGGTTTATATAACTTCCTATTACTACTGTTTCAAAATTTTATCAAAAGAACGTTTCCGGAAATACTACTTTCAATATAAATAAAAAAAGTAACCTCATGTAAGTGATGAATTTGGTAGGTGAATGATGATCATCAACCATTTGACCGAAAATCTGGCGCAGTGTAGGTTTTTCGCGTGCAATAAAGCAGTATTCACAAAGTAAAAAAGTTATTAGAGAAAGCAAAGCAACTAATTGGAACAGAAGTATCAGAAGGAGATGATCCGAGAAAAGAGTCAATGACAGAATAACTGGCAGTACTATGAACAAGAAATCAAGTGCAAATTTTAACCTGAAATTCACTTCTTTAATGACAAGACTCACAAAACCGACTAATTACTAATGTAGCTAACTCACTGTCCTATGTTTCAAGTAAACTATTATACTGACACCTTTTAATAAATACACACTATTACTTTGCTGAAAGACCACTATTAAAACAAAACTAAAACGACGGCAATGTGAAACAGTAATTTTAAAACCTGCCATTCTCGGCTTCCGTGTACTGATTTGAGCTCTGAACAAATACTAAAATTCATTTTGGTAGGGTTTCCCACCTACACCATGAAGATAAGCTTTTTTTTTTAAAAAAAATTTACCAGAAACCACTCGATAAAGCGAAACGAAAACCAACAAATATCCATGGCACGGCAATATTTCGAAGCAGTATTGAAAATGGTCCAATCAGCTGCCAGAGAACAAGTTCCGTTTGGCTGGTACCATTATAAACAAAATTTGAGCCTTCTATTTGAGCATTCTGTATTGAATGCATTTATCGAACTCTCCCAAACAATACTCCCTACAAAAAAATTGCCAAACTCTCTGAAGTCTGAAAACATTAAATAATATGAAATCAAGAATCAAAAAATCCATTTCCCACATAGTTCTAAAAAATCTGTAGAGGCACAATTAACATTTGTTAAGAGTGTTTGAGCGGCAGGATAAATTCCAGAAGATTGTGTCACTGATAATCGACCGGAATCCATAATAATTTTTTTGCCAAACATTTCAAGACTAAAACTAGAAAAAACAAACAACTGACATGCAAGTTCTACTTTGCTCCATTCTCCCTTCCTCATTCCCAACGCCAAAATGGAAAACGCAACCCCTGAAGCTGAAAAAAAAATGGCTTTTCCCCACTGAAAGTATATAAGCATAAACTTCTCCAATAAAAATCCATCTACAAAAAAGCCATAATTTATTACATTTTATTTCTTATTTAATAGAGACAAAATAATGTGAAAATAGAAAAGGACATTTGGGAAATACCGTACAATGGGGGACAAAGCAGTGGAAGTTAATCACAGAGCTTTGAAACATTTATTCAAGACCTAAACTGCAATAAAATTATGCAAATGAGATAATGAAGCAATAGAATCCAACAGCTGTAAATTATATTTTAAATAAAATAAATTGACAAAAAGCTTACGTTTTACCATTAATCTTCTCAAAGATACGGTAAAAGTCAATTTAAAACTATAGTGACAAATTATGGTATATCAGAGTCATTTTGCCGACTGCAGCACATACTTGGTGGAACTGACCAATCATATACATAAGATGGATGAATGCGATACTCCTTTTCACAAAGCTTACCAGTATTTACAATTGAAGCATATAATTTCTGAAAATGAATAAGTTCGATTAAATCAATTTCAAATACAAAAACACCCAATAAATGATTTACATTTCTTTTACTGAGCAACATAATTTTGCGTTTCTTTAGCAAATTTTTGGGCAACGAGTTCAAAACATTTTAGCTTTATCATAAAATCTGAAATAAATTTTGGAGAAATCCGCTTTATTCGACATATAAATTCAAAAGAGCAACGTTTAAAGATTCCGGTGTTTGCTTATGAGTAACAATGTATTGATTATTGCATCCTCTGGAACGAAATTCAGTATCGAAACGAGGATCATGAACATAGCGAACAGAAAGGCCCGCCAGCCAAGCGCCTACTGACACATCTTCATTCCTGAACACTGATATTTCAAATACTTATTTTTCACATCCACTTTTCAGTATACTCCTACACTTATGCGATTATTTTTTTTATTAAAAATTTTACTAAATTCTTATAGAAATTTTTACCTCAAAAACTAAAATTCAATAGAATTTTATTATTTCAGACAAAAATTTACTTGTAAAATTTCAATAAATCTTTGTTTCGCACGAGGAAATCGACCAACTTGTAAGATAATACATAACCTCCTCCAAGCTATAAGAAATTTTATAAGATGTATTTTTTTCCAAGTGTATTTTCCTTAAAATGCATTTTCCAAGAATTAGAAATTTGCAAACAATTATAGTATAGTGATTTCCCTTTAAATAATAAAATACCTGATAAGGGACATAACGATCACATAAAATCCAATCTCTTTCAGCCCACTGCCCCCTTCGTTTTGGCCTTGCTCTTCCATCCAAGAAACCCCAGTATAAATTAGGATCAGCAATATCCTTTAATGCTTTCAAAAATGCTCCTAAGCGTACAAACGAATCAGAATCCACCTTTAAGAAGACATAAACTTTAGCCAGTTCGATGTTAAAAAGAAATTAAAAACAAAGAAAAGTTAAGAATCATAAAATTGGCGTATAAAGAACGTAAGTTAAAAATTACAAACCAAACATTAAAGAATAATTAAGATCGGTTGCTAGAAATGTATTTTTTAATATTACATTAACACAATAAGTTAAATCAATTATTGACACCTCAGTTCATAGTAAGACCGACATGAACTCGAACAATTAAAAAAAAGATAACCTTTAATAAAAATTCGAATTTATACATATTATGTATAGCTTGCATAGAGAGTAAAGACTTTTTCGTCAAATTTTGGTAAGTATCCGTAAGATCCTCTAGAAAAATCAGATCGTTAAACAAATTATTTTCTTCCTTGAGACGTTCCTTGAAAATCAAACTGAGATTTTCTATCCCAATCGGGAAAGCATAACGAAAAGTTGCTTTACCTGAAAAATGTAAAGTAAAGTATTGATTTTTGATATTAACTTCTGATTTGTCATATTACTTATGAGACTAAAGAAATTCTGCATTGAATTATTTTTAAACCACCTTTTGAAGATAATTTCAGCCAAGTATTACGAATAACAGTACGCAAAACGGCATCACCTGCAGATGACATGATCACAATCGCCAAATATGTCGAAGGCAAATCTGAAACGCCTTCTACACCTTAAAATCATTAATTAACTGAGTAAATGTATACTGCATAAATGTTGCTCTCTACAAAAGAAACTGAAAGTACAGTAAGTCTTCCCTTTTCTTTTAATGCTAAAAAAATGAAAAACATTTAACAATTACGCTTTGACATAAAGACAGGAACTCACCTTGCTGCTTATGCATATCCGATGAAGCAAGATTGCGCGGTCTGCCGGATGTAAATTGCTCTCCACAAATGCACGTTAACGAAAGCGTGATAGTACAAATGATGCAAATTAAGCAACCGCAAAAAAGTATTAATATTCGTGCAGGTATGAAAGATCGGCTGGCCATCCTTATTTCCACATACCACCATTCCGATAGAATGAATATCCAGAATGTTTATTAATACAATTCAGTGCTTTCCGAAATCTGTGATAATCAATTCAATCCTCACCACAGACATAAATAAGAGAATCATTTTTTTCGATGAGAATAAGTTACCAGGTCTTGTCCCATAGTACTCCAATGATATATAAACCACAATAAATCACAAAATGCTCTATACCAAAATCAATACTCGAAGACTGAGATATTTATTGGTGAAACTACAGATCCTTGTCAGTCAATCATATTCAAGTAACTCAAGCAATTTGAGAACTTACTCACTTGAATTTTCCACTGTATCCACTAAACTAAGCTTCCGTACAGCTTTTCGCTGCGCTTATGTCTATAACATTCGAAACGTGTAATTCCTACCTATAAAGAAAGCAAAGCAGTATTTAATTACTATAAGCAATCGTAGCATGAAGAGATACACGCGGAGAAATGCCATCACCGAACGAATGAAAGACCATCATTGAAATCGAAACTGGATGTTTACTATAATCACTATAAAATAACCAAGATGGCAGAATATTCACAAAGATCTTGGTGGCTAATATTTACAAAATCTAAGAATATAAATACATTTGTGATATAAAAGCCTTTAAAAAACTAGCCGAAATTTGATGTGAACTCTTTATTTAAATCATAAATGATGATAATGTACAAATGAACAATCAATAAATCAATCAGTCAGTCAACTGATTTCATTAGCGTGAGTCGATGAATAATGACCGATAACAGCAAAGTAATGGACTCTTTTCAAGGGGATAAGGAACTTGAAGAATAATGAAAACCAAAGCATCCAGAAAAAATTTTCAAGAAAATTATGACAAAATTACTAGAATAGTTAGAAGTGGATCTGGATGAGAAAAGGGATCAATGTCAAAAATGCGAATACTCGTTACTTCCAAAATAAAAATTACCAAAAGAACTTGCAAAAATCAGAAACTAAACAATAATTTCATGAAAAATTATTCCATTATAAAAAGAAAAACAGGAGAATAAAATGGAAAAAAATTTAGCTTTTTCTGTGCTTGCCTCCCACTTTTCATAAAGTTCAAGATATACCAAATGTTAATAGCCATAAGTTTTTACGTCTAAACTGACGAGAAATTACAATAAAAAATTTACGTATTAAATGATATCAGGTTCCAATAAGAAATACGAAATCAGTTCTCCTCTTGAGCAGATAATATGACAAATCTAACTGCAAACGCAATTAACACCACGCCTGCAAGCACCACAAGATTATACGTCAAGGTAGCGTACTCGCCCTCTTCACCAGACCTTAAAAAACTGCCATTTATAATAATCAATAAATGACAAAAACAGGTTTCTATAGATTCTTTAAAAAAAAATATCTGAAACTCAGGAAAACACATTTTATCTTCTGAAATTTTTCATTATGCATCATACGTACATCTCTCAGTTATGATCAGGATAAAGACCTTCTCTGTGATGCAGTTTCATCTATTACGTTCTCTTCCGATAACAGTTTATTTCGTTCTTCGGCTAATTCTTCTCGTATTTGCTTAGCCAAATCACCAAATAGTTCGCAGAAAATTCGATCCTGCAATAATAAGACTGTATAACACTTTAAAAAAGGAAACAATAATTTAAAAGAAAAATATAAATATTAAAGCTAATAATAAATAATGAAAATGACAGCTAACCTTTAGGTTGAATTCTCTAGACTTCCTAGCAAGAATACGCTTCTCTGCATCGCTTGAGGTTATACTCCCTAGAGTTGGAGCTGTATCATTCATAAAAGAAAGTAAACCCGTTATGATAGTTGAAACCTGAAATATTTGTTTGGACAGAAAGATCTTCTAACAAAATAGTATACTAATAAATTTTAGAGAGAAAATTCCGGCATAATATGCTTTAAAAACGAACCGTCCAAGCAGGATTCCAAGTATCTGGATGGAAATCAGAGATCGAAAGACACAGTCTTGTATTTGTTTGGAAACGTCCAGAAGGCGTTAGCATAAATATTGATGGTGGCTTGAATGGGAAGTCAGGCGGGAAGATAAGTTTGCCGTGATAGAACCCACCTATAAATTAATATAAAACGCAATCCGCTGTTAGAGTTCAAAAAAAAAAAAAAAAAAAAAATGATTCTACGCTTGTTGGTTTCCAAGTATTTTGAAAATGTCAGAAACTACGACACATTAAAAATTTGATGATTTTCTCATTAAAACCCGAAGATATTGTCCCAGTTGATTGAACGACATGTAAAGACACAAATACGAGGAAAAACCTTCATAAGGTGTCTGAGGTGCTCCTTTTATCACATAATGCCACTCCAGAATATTGGAATGAAGAGGAGCTGCCATCACAAAAGGTACCGGGTCCTGAAACTTACTAACTTGCAATGTCACTAACAGGATACACGCGATTAATACAGAACAATATAAAACTAAAATAATATTTGTTAGACTTAAAAATTCCATTTGATTTGATAAAAGGATAAACCTTCATCAACTTTGCATAGTCCTTCTTCAGTCTTGAAACTGCAGTGACCGATGGACCGCCCATGGTACCAGCGCTCTGACTGAAAATTTCTCGGGGCCCTATAATCTATTCTTCATTTTGAGAGAAATTCGGCTTCGCTTCCATGTGTTCACTTTCTTTTCCCAAGTTTAAGCCTTGGTGGAGAGAATGCAAGACTCACACAGCACAGAAAACACTATGAAATACGAAGAGAGGGAAGACAAGAATATGGTAAATATACGTTATCACGGACACGTCATTGCTTATTCAAGGCTATTCGTTCTATTCGAAATCACTTTTTGACTTATAATAAAAACACACAGTAAAGTGATCCGAATTCGAAGTAACCCATATCTAACAGTGTGTAAGTAATACTCATTACATGAACCCTTATAATACATTATTACTACAAATGATCTTACCAACAACGAGTACTTGCCGTACCTTTATAAACAATGGATGCAACATCCATCGCATATCTCTTATTAATTAGACAATTTAAGTGGCAAATTAAAGATTCATTTTTAAATTTTCAGTAGAGTTATGCAAATCCAAGCAAAGCACTGAGAAAAGGGGTAACTCCAAAAAAATTTCAAACCCGGCCTATCAAACATTTTATTAATATAATCTATCTAAACCTAACGCCATATTTCTTCTAATTTTTAAATTTAAGACATAAACACACGAGATACCACCTCTGCTTTATTCATTTACAATTTGCACTACAGTAAATGCAAACTTAAACCTAACTGTGACATGACACGAACACGTTTCTCCACCGTCGGTAGGACGAAATTAAAGCAAACTGAAAGCGAAAATGGATGATGCTATGAGGGAAGGAGACCAGGGAAAAGGATGAAACTGCACACTGATATTTTGAAGGCCTATACCATCACATTGTATTTTATATTCACTTGAAATTCATACTTTATTAACAATGAACAACAAAATTCAACAAAAAAAGAGATATTTGGTGTTGTTGACTCAAAATTATTTGAAAGACTAACAATAGAATAACAAATGCCCTGAGATTAAAGATGTAATCACTGAATGAGAAGTATGAAAGCATAAAAAATGACAATAATTTATGGTATATTACAATAATAATGAAGCTTTTGAAACAATAAACAAGGCAAGGATAAGTTATAAACAATATTCTTATAACCAGCTTCCTTGCATGCTGCTCAATGATATAGCAAATAGTTTATGTGAAGTATTGGTTATCAATATGTCCGTCTGTTATCAACCACAAGAGCAAAATATAGCTTGAGATCTATCACGGGTCACAGAATTAGTAAAAACTGTATTGCAGTAGGAAGCCATCACAGTGTCCATCTTAAGTTCAGTGATACTGTATAAGCAATCAATTCTTAGTATGCTGCTAGGTGTAAAGTGCTTTCAACCAGGAGATAAGATGAACCTAAGTAGCGAATTGCATAATCTAAAGAAGAAAAAAATAACAGAGTGAAAGACAAATAACAAAGCGCAAATAAAGTAAAAAGATTTATATCGGTTTAAAAAACTGAAAAAGTAATGTTAACCAAAAATTATTTCTAGATGACTATCCCGAATATGTTTAACCTCTTTAAAAGAATGCAGTGTATAATGCTTTAAAAAAAATTATAGTCTGGAGATAAATTATATAAGAATATTGTGAAATTAACTTAACAAATGGACCACAGAATTCGCTTAGAGCTACTAAAAAAGAAAAAAAAAATATAAGGGTGTAAGAAACAAAGGAAAGGAACGAATGAGCGACTGATCTTTTCAGGCAAAAAAAAATATCAAAGTTCACAATGTAAGTATGTATAACAGCGAACATTTTCTGGAGTGGAATAATCAGTCTATTAGCTGGAGAAAAAATTGAAACAAAGGGTAGGTAATCCTAAAACGTCAATAAACTGTAAACTATATAAAATAAGAGTAAGCATCAAAATAATGCAATTAAAAAGTTCGATTCCAATAAGAAAAAGTCTCCAACACTTCAAATTTAATTTTGGAAAAGTGCTGACAATAAAAGCATACTTTAGTAACGAACATTCTCTGAAAATGGAACAATCCATCTATTTATTGGAAAAAAACAAATAGAAAGCATTTGTTCGGTCTTTATTTTCAAAAATTTTTAACCTTACTTCTTCTGCACCATCTTGTTCAAAGAACCTCTTTTGAACTAGAATTTCCATGTCAAAAGGTTGTGAAATGTCTCACTGTCAGATTCAGAAAAACTTGACAATTCACTTTCTTCCTCGTCATCTGTCTCAACAGCAGTATTTGTTCGATCTTTATTTTCTGGATCCTCTGAACCAAAAGGTTTTTCACCAAATGTCTTCATGAAATTTTTGTTCTGAAAAGATAGCGCATAAAAAGCTAATGAAGCTCTACCTCGGAAAAGTTAATCTAGATTACATATGTTTCTTGGGCTACTCAGTGTGATGCATCTGCAGAAGATAAGATCAAATATCAGCATGCAAGAAGATGCTAGCAGTATTTCTTGAAAAAAAAAAAATAATAATAAGCTAGACTAAACAGCGAATGAATTTCTAACCTGGCATAAGTTTCACAATTTCTCACTTTCATAAAACATGAGAAATAGGTCAGAATTTCTGCATTACAAGTAGTAGAGAAAATTTAAAAAAAAAAAAACACTTCAAAATCTGGAGAAAAAACAATGGACAACTGTTCGGGCAGAAACTTTAGAGCGGTTAAAACGCACTGTTTTATTGTACAACATCGACTGCTTTGCAAAGACACGTTTTTGTTCCGCTGAGCTTCCTATTGCGCCTATAATGAATCATCTGAATTCACGGAAACATATCGTATTTTCCACGTATAACTTATATTTTATTTTTTTATAATAATCGATAACAATTCTACTAATATAATATAAACACAAAATGAATAAAAACAAGATTAACAGTTCTAAACAAGGGATAATTTACAGTTATAAAAACCATTAAGAGATACTGATCAGTAAGAGAAAAATGAATAATGAGTGAGGGAGTGGAACAATAATCAACTAAACAGCAGAATATTAAATGTAGTTACGTACCCATACCCATTCCTTTCTCGTCGAACATCATAAAGTGGGCGAAACAATGTAGGAATGTTCCAACAGTCCATGACGGATCCCAATTTGTAGGATGAAATGCCGAAATAGAAACACAGATTCGTTCACCAGGCACAAATCTAAATATCAAGCACTCATTATTGAGAGTTTCTATATCTAGCTAAGAAAACTACACATTCAACAAAATTAAAAAGAAAGAGATATTATAAACATTAAAGACAAACAATGCAATTCACTTAAAAAAAGTAATAGTTGAATTACCGTCCATTCGGCGTGTACATAAGAACATGCGGAGGGATATATGGAAAATTCTTACTGAATTCCAACTCGCCGTAATACACACCACCTAAAAAGACCTAATATTTTCAGTATGAAAGTTGTAATGGAACATACTTTAATAAAGGAGTAGACTAAATCTTTCTAAACTTAATAGTCCCTTGACATGAGACAATCCTACACAATGTGAAATACAAAGCGTTTCGTTCACCACAAATAGAAACCGAAGTGCACCAACCGATAGATTAGTGCATATTAGCATTAGCAAATGAATCTTACAAAAGAGAACAATTCGTAATTAGGTGAGAACTTCAGCATAAAGAAATACCATCAAATGGAGTATCTTTCGCGCCACGAATAACGTAGCCCCATAACAATAAACTTTCATTCAATGGCTTTGCAATGATTCCTGGAACCGGATCTTTCTTCAGCTCCGAATATTCGTTTAACAGGCGGATGTATGCCACTTCGTCTGTAGAACGATATGCCATTTCCGCAAAATATAACTGAAAACTATTAAGAATTTATTTTTTACATGTTTATTCACTTTTATATCATATATGTTCACATTTTTAATTATCAAATTTCAAAACTTTCCGAAGCTGGGAAATCTCAACAATTCATAAGGAAATCTAAAAACCGGGTATCTGCCACTTCAACACAGAACAATCGAACAAATATCACCTCACTTCCTTCACCTCTTCTCCTTACCTTAGTAATAATACTGCTAATCTAGTCTTTTTAATCATAACCACACCACTCAACCTATTTGTATCATCCCATTGAAAAGTATTTTAATCTATAGTGCAGTAAACCATTGAAAACTATTTAACCGTACATGTGATGAATTAAAACCTAGCACCAACACAAAATTTTGTAGATAATTTATGATGCAATTAATACGACAAAAGATGAATTGTAGCAGAAATGTTTGGATGAAAAGTAGAAATTAGAATAAAACTAGTACTTCAACAGCAAAGCGTATGTTTTATTAAAATATTTTTTCGGTTACTTCTTTACTGTACTGACGCACACCACCTAATTGTAGTAAATCACAACTTTTTCAAAAGAGATTACCAATTAAATAAATTGAGAAAAAAATCGACCAAAAGTCCTGTAAAAACCACAGTTGAAAAAAACTACTCGATGCAAAAACTGCAATGCAAGATCTACATACACAGTGCATGATATAAGATTCAAATCGTAGCAGTGCCTACCAGAAAAGATATTGGCCATGAAACAAACATTCAAAACTAATTCTATCACAGAATATCCCTCACTGGTAAATTCCTAACTCGGAATCGAAGCATAACTTATAATTATGTTCAATTATATACAGATCTATATATGTTTTTGCACAAAATCAATAAGTGATGAGAAAAGAGATCTATCACAAGCATGATTAAGGTTTGAATTCCGCTTTCGTGCCTGGAATATTGCGTGAACGCTGAGTAATAGGAGACGAAGCTGAAGGTGGTGGAGGTAATAATGGAAAGCTTCCAGAATTGTTGCTTGCATTTGGTAATAATGCCTTCGACTGTTGAGAATTTGTTGATGTCTTTTTCTACAAACATATTTTTGAAAACCTATTATTCAAAATATTATTTACAAATACAATGAATAGCTGCTGAAATCCTTGGAAGTTGCAAACCAAGTCAATTTGCTACTATTTGCATTTTGAAAATGAGTATCGTAACTTCACAATTTTGTGAGAATGATGATATGGGTTACAGTGTCAGTACTGTCCCGAGAAATCTGCTGAATAATACCAATATGGGAAAAGAGTTTACTCCAATTCATACTTATTTTGGAAAAATCACACCTACCCCAAAATTTATAGTTATAGTTTGTCCTTTTTTGAAACCAAGATCCAACTTTGGTCCCTCGTTCATTTGTTCTTTACAGAATTCTGCGTTTCTTTCAATGTATTTGAAATGTCCTTGTAGCGCAACATTCAAATCAAATGAATCACTCCTGTCAGCAAATCCCAAACCTAGAAAAATGACAGGCGACAAAACACCTCGAACAATTCATGCACAATTCATACAAATCATGTCTAGCAGATATTCTTCCGATGTTTAGCTTCCTCCAACATTAAATTTTAAATTAACTCTAATAAATAATGATGCATATACAAGCGTTTGTGCAAAGAACGAACCAATAAAAGCTGTTTGACTGTTGTCATTTTTTAATCGAACTACGAAATACCGTGAAGAGTCGAGGACAGGCTCGATACTGAGACCTGGGTACTCATCTACTGGACATTTCGCAAACAACTGCCCAGACACTTTATCTTCTAATCGTAATTCCAACTTATTGCCAATAGCTACCAATCGCATACGTCCTCTCCAATCTGGTTCATCTAGCTTCCAATCTGCGGCTCTATAAACTTATATGTCTAGGAATATATGTATATATCTATACAAGCGTTTAGAATCAAGTCTACCACTAACAAGAATGATATTTCTGTAAGTACTTTTAACATAGTATGTGGACCGATCGTAACTAAATACTCCTCCTTCAAAAGTCTTTTTCTCACATCTATCCACCCTTACATTCTTATGGAGCACAGAGCAAATATAGTAGTAATTACCTGAAGCAAAAATTGCCTAGCTAAACGGGTTCTAGTTGACAGCAACTACAGTAATTATAATGGCATTAAACGAGGGGGGATACAGTAGTAAGGCTGGAAAAAAACCTTACTTATATCCTCGGTTATTGGTAAGAGGTGGTATGCGATAAACGAAAACTTCAGGCTTCACCAGACAAACGCTTTCATATTCTTCAGCCATTGACAACAAGTTATACAAAGTAATCTAAATAAGGCTGAAAAAATTCAGTTTAGCTTAATTTCTATAAACAGTAATATAGACAAATGAAATTCATTGGAGCAATTATAACGATGATCAAGAACTGTGGATGTGACCAAAAACTTCTTTCGAGATGTGAGAAGTGAAACACCGAATTTGCAGACCCGAATGTTCGGTGAGCACAACAGTACCAGTAAAAGCATCTTTCTTTCTTTAGTCTTCATTTTTTCTCACCAACGGTTAATATTGTTGACTAGCATTTTTTTATTCTTTTCTTTTGCTAGAAAAACAATTTTCCTAAAGAGATTCCAGAACTGTAATCTGAACATGTGGTAAGCCGTACGGATGACATGTTCAACCGTAATATTATAAATAATAAAATGTTTTATAACATAACGATAACTAGACAGTAAAGACGTAAGTCAAAATTTAGTATTGAAAAAGTTGCTGAAAGAAGAATAAGAATGCAAGAAGTTGACTAAGTCGAGGCACAGAAGGACACAACTGCTGAAGCGCTGCTGTCGACCCAACTTAGACCACCAGTATTCCCTGACCTTTGCCCTATGTCGACATAGCTGATTCGCGGCCGGTCGTATTGAGCTACCACCTCTAATGAAATCGCTGAAATCAGCACAACCAATATAAAACCGTCATTTTGGGGGATATGTTCATTTCTCGGTGGATAACAGGCGTCGATGGTTTTCATGTGTCCCGATATTGATGTGTTTGTAATAAGACTCGTAATTCTTAGTTTCCTTGGAATTCATTTGAAAAAATTTTACTCAACTTTCTGAAGCAAATGAATTACAGACAAGAATATGATGAATATTTATTCTAGGACGAATAAATGCAAGTGAGATTTCCTGAGGTGTCCAATAATTCTCATCAAAAGCTACAAGGTCTTAGAGCACAACTAAGTTTTTTGCCTCGAACTGATGGCTCTTGTGCCTTGGAACAAGGTGCCACTGTAATATGGTGCGGAATCAATGGTCCTGGTAACGCTTCTTCGAAGCGACTCAGTGAGCGTCTGCTCATTGACATCCTTTATAAGCATGCTTATGGACTAAAGGAATCTGTTAAGGTCTTTTTATGTTTGTTCAAACTTCACATTATTGTAAACAGAATAAGACTGTTCGGCATATGCTTTCGAAAGATTGCATTGCCAATCCGTCAATATGGATTTCTTTTCCCAACTGTGGAGTGGTGATCTGTCAGTTCCTAAGTGCTGAAGTGTTCAATTAAATTTTTGCATAGAATTTCAGCATGTTATCAGCTGTCATATTTTTCCCAGTTGTTTTATGCCTAATCTTTTATTTAATTTTAATAGTGTGTTAAAATCAGCAGTCCGTTCTTTCTAGATTAATCGATTATTGGGTGCTGCATTGAAACATACAATAGATCATGTTCACTATCCGCGTATTGTTCTGAATGTCACCCTGCAGTTATTACAGAAAGGTGGCTGTGAGGTATTATTTCAAATTTCTTGCGAAAATGAATTTCTGTTGACTAATGACACCTTCAGAAATACTTATTTAATCAGGTTTATTCATTTTTAACTGTGTTGTGATATGTTGATGTTATTTTAAGGCAGCTGCAGCTTTAAATGCTGCTTGTTTGGCAGCTCTCGACTTAGGTATTATTATGAATGGGATGTTTTGTGGAGTTACTGTGGCAGTTTCTCAAGGACATCTCATTCTGGATCCAGTTTGTGCACAATGCTCTTCTGCCGATACAGTCTATACATTTGCATTTTATTCGAGTGGAGAAGTGAGTTTGTTTTTAGATGGCTAATAACGAAATCTTACTATGATTTCATTCCACTCCACGTTTTATTTGCATTACTTTGTGATATGAGCACAACACGTTTCATCCCTATTGAGAGGAATGTGAAGAAATTGTAAACATAGGAATCGACGAAAACAGTGGCTTGTGATACGGATGGAACATTCGAATACAGTACATTTGAAGCTGCAAGAACACTGGCTAAACGTGCATCTGCCGATATTTTCATATTTTACCGAGAAATTTTGCAAAGGAAACTTAGCGTTGATATTTGGAAGTAGGATAATTCTCTTTCACTGATTACTATTCCGTTTACCTTATTTGATCTTATTAGTGGTTTTGTTCTTTGTTTGAAATTGCTGGATAAAAAAATCACTGTTAAAGAGTTGTGTGGTAGATACTAGAGTAGTGACACTAGATGAAATGAAGAGACAATAGTGTCTTATGTGCATAACGACTTTTCAGCATTTATGTTGTGAGCAGTGTTTATTGGATGCCCGTTAGTGAATAAAAAAGTTTCAGATCGTAATACACCTCCAATTTAAGTTCTCCGGATTTGATTGTTTAACGAAGAAAAGTCTTAAGGATCATACAGGATTTTCGTGTTTCATTCTTGGTTATGTCCCAAAATCAATGCCAGTTGTCTCACTTTCAATACTGCCATGCGTTTACTTTCCCTCACTTATATATTTTAACGTAGTAGTGTTATGGAGTAATAGTGGATCGAATTATAATGCATACTGAACGCTTTGATTTATTCCAACTTTTCCTTGGGAATAATACTTTTCGTGAAACATCTAATCTATCGTCGAAATAATACAGGAAACAGTTTTTGCTCTTGCTTGAAAGTACAACGTCTGTTTGCGAATGGCCAGAATTTCAGTTTGATTTCTCCCGCCTTGAAAGTGCTATATGAAAGATTGTAAGTAAAATATCGCCCGTAATTTTCATTTCCGTAGTTTACGCCGTTTGTCCGCATTTTTTCACACTACTGCACTATCGTTGTAATACTTTTATTTTTGGTCATTCACAACAATATTACCTTCAATACTTTTTTCTTCCGCTTTGAGCAGGAAAAAAAAAAAAAAAAAAAAAAAACAAAAAAGTAAAAGTGAAATGGGACCTAATAGGTCATCCTTTCTCACATATATGTAGTAGGTCATTTCTGTTATAAGAAGGCTTTAGACTGTCTCTGAAATTTCTACCAAAATACTAAGGGGTTATCTTTATGTTTCATCAAAGCGATTGAAGAGTTATTTAAACATTTCGCTTTAGCTATCAGTTTCCTCTACAGCTGATTTACAGTTTCCTTTTTTACGCCATTATCATAACCATTTATTTATTATGGCTTTTATTACCATGATCAGTCATGATCAATTATATTTGGCTTATCTTTGCAATTTAAAGAGTACATTTTTAAGAAATTTAGAATGCTTCATCAAGCGAAGTCGTTATTTGATGAGACGTCCGAGAGATTCAAAAATAGAAAGTCCAAGAAACAAGATCCATATTGCTTAAGCACGTAACACCATATTCTTATCATGCCGCTCCATCACTATGAACCGTTAAGAATCAATCGTTAAAAATCAAAGTAACTACATAACGAAAGTGTTTTTTGGTGTAGTGATGTCGAAAAGGCAAATTGCAAGTGAAAAACGAAATTGAATTTGGCCATATCGAATTGTGCATACCTTTCTGCCCTTCTTCGCTGACACTTCTTTTTAAATTGCTTTCTAGACTGATACCATTGCTCACATGAACACATTTCACGAGCTTCATTTATTTGATGAGCTTAAAGAGCTTAACTTTGTTCTATGGTCTCATAGTTTCTGTAAGTTTTGATTTGAATAATTTAGATCCCAGCAAGGGCTGGCAGTACATAAGTTATTGAAGAATATACTCATCGTTATTTACCATTTTGCATTATTGGTGACAAGGTGTTCGAATAACCCAGTTACACAAATGGGTTGTCAATCTAGTAAGCAAGGCGAGCATACAAAGATAGGAAAATCGAAACTTGATGCAAATGAAAATGCAAATGCAAGTTCAGTTGTCCGTCTGCCATTAATTCTGGTTTTCGGAAATGGACAAATGATATTCTAACGAAACCTAAGAAAAAATTTTCATTGAGAAGCGACTATTGAATTCTGTAATTGAAAAAGAAAATTTAAACGAAAACTGATTTGAAAATTAAAAGCGTTATTTTCTCCAGAAAAAGAAAAAAAAAATAAAAATGGATGAGAAGTTGGCTAAAAAGTTTCTAGAATGGTTTCCAGGTAGCAAGCCAACCAGCAATAGAAAAATTGCCGTTGGAACAAAGTAATAAAGAAGTACATGCAGAAAGGTAAGTTATCCAACTATTTACCTTTTGTTTTTACGCGTCTATCTGGTACTAAATAGTTGACATATATTTTACTCAAGTAGCTTATGTTGTCCTTCCTGAGCGAAAGTTAGTTGTTTAATAGAGTAACGTTTTCGACCGAGGAACTGAATGATGAAATGGGAAACAGCGCGCTGGAACCGGAAGCCAATTACAGTGCTGCTCTGAAAGTCAAGACAACTGTATCACGGAGTATGGAGCCAAATGAGGAAGCTATTAGTAACTGGAAGCAATCGAGAAGGAACAAACTTCATAAGCACAGTTTACAACGAAGTCCTGGCAGTAGTAAAGGTAAGGAGAATACTATATAAAGTAATTCGTTATTACCAATATTAACAATTAAGCAATATATTTTAAGCTGGAAATATTTCAGGGCATAAGCATTTAGACGAAAAATTGAACAGGAAATATATGACGAACAAAGGTAGACAGTTACAAATTCGGACGTTAGTCTCTTCTCATCATAATTCCAAATCATTTGATCTAGCAAGTTGGCAAGTCAACTAGGAAGAGCTGTCGAGAAAAATGATTGTAAACAATAAGTCTCTCCACCACCTTTTTTTTCACCTCCACTTTTTTGTTTGTTCCCTATTGAATTACTGTCACTTTTTAAAAAATATTTCAACAATTCTTGCTTTGCTTTTCTAATGCCCCAAAACTGGCAGGTAAATTGTGACCATCAGCGTGAGCCGAAACCTAGAGTTGAATTAAAAATGACTTTTCTTAGGTGACGAAAAAAGCTCGTCAATAAATCTACATTTATATTTTTCACATTTTTATATACTTCACTATATGAAGTACCTCTTAAAGCATTAAAACTATGGAGTAACGTGGAAATATTGGAATTGTAGGAAGACAAAACGGAGCCGAGGAAATCCGGAAGATGACACACTATATGAAGTACCTCTTAAAATGCCGGAATTCGACTTGGTACCATCTCAGTCAGAAGATAATGTGGCGTAATGATATTTTGGTGTAATAGCAGTATTTCTGCATACATGGACTTTTGACAAATTTCATACCATCATGTATTGTAAATCTGATAAAACGTTGCTGTGATACCGTGCATAACTCTGACGAAACAAAAGTGAAAGCAATATATGCAGATATCACGATGGTAACTTTTCATGTTTTCAGTTTTTTTCTCCATCTCAGCCTTTTAAATATATTTTATAGCAGAGATGTGGGTGAGATGATAGATAATATAAGATAACATAATTTAACATTTGCATTATATAGTGAGAATTGCACCACTGAAATAAATAATTGTAAATACTTCTATGTCACGAAAAATCCTGTTCTTATAACACTTGCGTTATTCTGGTAAATGTAACAATTTTTGCGCGAGTGCTCGTCTGTGACTTTCGTCACTCACTAAGAATAACGTTTCTCCAAGTATGCTTATATGAGGCGATAATTTTGCTACCTGCAAAGAATAGGTAAATGCAGAAATTGATTTTTTACTTTTTATTTTTAGAGTTTTTTTACTTATTAGTTCTTAAAGCTGATAATAGAAATGTAAGTAATGGAGTAAAAACTGAAAACTAATAAGTAATGGACTTATTAGTTTTGTAAATTCAATCGTCAAAATTCAACCGCATAAAAAATAATAGAAAGTGTTCTTACCAGGTCCATCAGTTCTACAGAATTTTGTGGCCACTCTGCGCTTGATGGAAGAAGCGTTGTTAGGATTCGCCATGGTAAGTCCACTTGTACTTGTTGCGCGCCGAAATGACGCAAAAGAGCACAGGAATAATCCACCAGGTGATACTTGGTGTAAATTATTGTAGGTGCAACGGGTTCCCATGTCTCCACATATATCCTTGGGTACGACTGCAATATTCACCTGATAGCGTTTTAAGATTCAAACGTCGTATTCTTTTTTGTAGAAAAAATTCCTTTCATTTACTAGTTTTCAAGCAAACAAAAATCAAAACAAGTAGCTTTAAATTGAAGTCATACCTCGACTGTAACTTTGCTTAGCACAGCACTTTGACTTTGGTGGCCCAAACTAAGGTATCTTCCGGTCAAACGAACCTGAAATGGAGGTTCTGAATTTCTAGAAATTTAGTCTAGCAGAAAAGAGTATAAACCTGTGGAGCACACATGCGGAATAAGCCAACAGGCCATTGTTTTAGCATAGCTTCGATAAGCGCTGATCCACGAGTCATAATCTGTGTGATGCACGGATCATCAATACAAATACCCGGGTTATCCTTTCCTGCATTTTCCAGCAGTCTCATTAAATCACTAAAATTATATATGAAATTAATCCGAGGATGTAATTGAAGCACACTTGGAATCAAATTAAAAATTAAATTGATTTATTGACCATGGTATTATCTCGCTTTGATACTTTCCCGCTATGTTAGTATATTCCATTTTATTTTAAACCATATTTTACCATATTATATTCTTTTCAGCCTCTCCTATTCTCGACAGATCCGATTATAATGCAATGGGATGAGTTTTAATTATAACCTTTTATTAGTAAATTAAAAGTGACATTATGGATTCTTTTACAATCCTGAACTATTCCTCTTCGTCGATATGAAAGCATGCTGTCATCTTAATGCCTTTCTGTTAATATAGTCGAATAATACATTTATTGTTTTACCCTTAAGTTTAGGTGATAGCGTTTGGCATGACATACTTTTTGAATAATTCAACTTGGGCAAATTCGGTAGCATCCCATATGTTTTTGTTGATATTAGAAACAATATTTGTATCCGATAGATATTCCACTTTGGGTTCTAATTCCAATTTGGTAGGCTGCTTATCTAATTCAAAGGCCTGGATCAAATAGAAAAAAGAACTATTTTTATGTGTACTTTAAACATGCTATTCCTAGCATAATAAGCTTTACCTTGCAGTTAAGGTAATCCTCATAACGAACGGACAAGAATCGGTTTCGAAAACGGTAGCCGTCAAAGGCCCGAAGAACTTGCAGTGCGTCTTCGTAGCGATAGAAACGGACACGCCTTAAAAAAGCTGTCATTTTCTCTTGAAAATTTAGTTTTAGAATAAGTGTACATCAGATGAAAGGAACTTCTAACTTTTTGAATATTGAGTCAAACTTTTGCATATTTCCCTAATACATACGAACATTAGAGGTTTGCAAGATCAAGATTTAACGGAAATTAGAACAAAGAGAACCAACCAACGCCGATTGCTGATCGCAATATCGAATATAGCAATATTTTTTCCGCATTCGCTTTCGATAAGGGATCGAATAATCTAAATCTAGTGAGGGTAAGAACTAAAAGAGAAAGAAAAGTACTTGTTTTGTCTCTTGTTTCAACTTTCTGGCTTTAGCACTAACAAATTGGTAGTTACTTCTAAAAGGGATGGTTCTAAGTTTATTTTAAAATTAGAATTACCTGCTGGGAAGCAGGGCCGATCCGTGGTACATTTAGAAATATAAGTTGAGCGCGAATGAGTTTTTCGCTTGTTAGCATCTCTGATACAGTTGGCGCATTCTAGAAGGAACAGAGTAAGAATCTAGGAGGAATTAGGACAGTTTTTGAAGTAACATTATCTGGAAGTAACATTATTAAGTAACATTATTCGTAACATTATTAAGTAACATTATAACATTATTAAGAAGTAACATTATTCCTCACTACTGAACTTGCTTATTGAGAAAAACTCGAAACTTAGAAGTACATGGAAGCGATCGTTTATTTGCGATCTCAGTACTGGATCGTCGTATACTCGGCCCCAGAAATCCCACCCTGATTCACTACTATCAATATCGCTGCTTGTTCCTTTATCCGCTGAGCAATCATCAAATTTTGACAGTATCTGCTAAGGTTGAAAAAAGTTCAAATTTTTTAAAAAAGTTCAACTCAAGTCAGTTTATTCACTCCTATTACTTATAAAGCAAAGGTTGTAATCGACAATTCCATAGACTTGTTGGAAATTTTATCACTTATGTTGCTGTTTATTGATGAAAGTAATAATTGCTTTCTACAAGGGTATAAGTTCATTTTAGTGAATAATATTCGCTTATTTGATAAGGAGCCTTTTGTTTGAAAGTTCTTTTCTCGTATGATCAAAAACATTCGGAAGTTTATCCTAACCTTGTTCATGTTGAGCATATTTTTAACAGTAACCGAGAATGGCCTCCCATTGCCATTGCTAGCGCTACAAGCACCGCGAAATCTCAATCTAACAGGAGCGGAAAATAGTGCATTCGTGAATAGTTCGTTACCAATACTACTACTCATTAATTGCAAATTGAATAGACCATGTGATCTGAGGTATCTCATTAGTTCAACTTCACCTTTTCAAAAAACTTCATTTATTTACTCTAAGAATTTCTCAGACCTTGTCCAAATTTTTATCTCGAATCAAAAGTGGGAACAAAGTTTATCTGAGTGTGGAGATTAGTCTAAAAAAACTCAATTCCAGTGATTAGTTCTTTCCACGGTTTTTGAACAAATTTTTGCAGAACAATGTATCTAAGAAGAAATGAAACAAATAGGTTGAAAACTTCTACAAGTATCAATAAATGAACCTGTCGAATTAACAGAACGTGAATAATAGCACTATTAAAAATAACAGTCGGAAAAACCTAAAATGAGAAGAGGCTGAGCTCAGGTATAGGGTTGACAGTTATAAGTTTGCAAATGCTTCCTTATATAATGAAAACTGCACGCGTGACCGCACGATAAAATGAAAACTAACAGCAATGAGAGCTTGCTAAGTTCTGAAAACTTTTGTACCTTGGTACTATTCAACCTTACTTCAAAATTTCTTTAATTTTTTCAGTTTACACGATGTGATGACCTCACTTTTCGTCCCTTTAGTTGCAATATGCAGACTAAATGAAAACCACGTATAATGGGTGGTTGAATTTGAAGAATGGCTTATACAGAAACTTTGATTTTATCCTTCGTAGAAATGATTTTAAAAATGAATTTATCGCAACTTCAAAAATTTAAGTAAAAAATTGACAACACCATTTAAACGCAATCTACAAGAGTTGAAATAGCTACAGTAAATGAATCACACATCCCGAATCTCTCTTTAGTATCATTTGTTCATCATCAGCTCATCTGAGAACATACAACTAGGTTTTCAAAGAAAGATTCATGTCCCGTTCGACATTCTTTTTATCTCTCTTCGGCCAAAAGAGGCTCAACAAACACATTATAATTAACGATATGACAACCATCCCAATATACTGTTCCACAAACACCACAGACATAAAAAGACCTAAAATAATATAAAACTTTCAAATGACTCTGAATTACGCTCCAAAATTTAAAATTCTGAAAAAGATGTCAGTACACAAATTCAAAGCCGAGTTCCTAAATAAATTCAGCAAAATCTCAGATGACATGAAATTTTATATACTGATTTAAAAATCAACTAGTACGCAGTACACAAATCAGGAAAAAGTGTCAACCTGCTTTTTTTTTGCAAAGCTTGCAAAGGTACTTTCTCTATTTTAACTTCAACTGGCATATCACAACCGAGAGCAGCAACTAGACGATTCCTGAAAACATATTAAACAAAACAAACACAGTTATGGAAATGCATTTAATGAATGTACTTACTCGATGTCTAAGACACCATTATGACAATGTGCAACTATCCATGAATGATCACTTTCACTGACTTCGAGATTACATTCGTATCCAGAATATATTTTCGCGTCAGCCTGAAAGTGCAAGACAACAAAGGACAATGACTAACTCTTAAACTGCTTTCGAGCGCATGTCACGCAAGTAAAAATTCAAAAAATCATGTCTCAAGTGCACTATCAGGGTATCAAGTGTAAGCACTTCTCGCATTTTTCCACTGTATTTTGCAGCATCGCAAACTTCGCCGCTAAATGGATTTGAAGCGACAACATTTGCCTGATACATTGCTTCTAGCACGGGAGATGGAGCGACCACGAAGGAATTCGAATTACATTTCTAAAAAAAAAAAAGAATTTGATAACCAAATAATTATGAAAACGATATTCATAGATTGAAATTCCATATAACAATACCAAAAAAATAAAAAAAACGTGAGACTCACCTTAAATCTGTTTAATAATAACAGATTTAAATATAAGGATTCAAAATACCAAAACTTCCTACCTCTTCAAACATAAATTTGTGCTATAGCACTTCACAAAATGCATTACAAAAACTCGAAACCAGTATATTTGAATGTCTTTCTTACTGAATTTGTTAAAAACAGATAACTTACCATGCAGCGTGAAAAAATATCATCTTTGGATAAATACATATTGAACTGTCTTAAGATGAATTCGATCTGCTTAATTATGCTTACATTTTGTGCGGTTGGAATAGACAATACACGATGTGTTCCTCTCAACAACCGATGTCTTCGAAGCTAAACTCATAAATATATATTACTTTTGAGGGCGAAAAGAAGATACTTTAAAGAAATGAAAACTTCACTCCAAAAAAAAAACTATTTATATACTTCCATGACTTAGCATTTTTTCCCCCCTATTATCTGAAAGATGATTATTATTTCATGTTTGTATATCAAGAAATATGTGATTTCGTTTTTTCATTTTCTTCTAACCGAAGAAAATTTCTAATCTCCATTTGGAAAATTAATTGGAATACGAGGAACTTTTTTTTGAATTGAATTTATAATACTGTTTATAGAACCACTCATAGCTAAGATAGCACTCAATATAGCGTTCAACCTGCAGTAAAAAAAAAAGTGTACTTCATCTACCGCCTTTCCACACGTTATTATATACCGACTTGGGTCTCTTTCTGCGCATTCAATCAAGTAACTCCGTGTTTCTGCTAATAACGTGTCAATGCCGCATCTAGAATGCAAGTGTTCAATCGATTTAATGTTGAGACAATCGACTTAATTTCAATCAAATAAATACAAGCAGTAAGTACTACCTTCTGAGATGCTTGCCCAAACCAAGTATCATTGAATCGACAATAACCTTCAAATCTTTTGGTTTCCTTTTCACTTGTGCATTACTTAGGTCAGAATTTACACGCTGAAAGCGAGACTAAACAGGAAACAGTTTCGATATCCGATAAAACAATAATGCTGTGTATAACAAATTTTACAGATATCATAATGGTTAGATTAAATAAAAACCTCCAAAATATAGCAGCCTTTTTATTTAAAAAAAAAAAAAAAAAAAACAACAATTAGTAGTAAGAAATTTAGACGGAAAAGCAGTCAAGAGGAAACTTCAATCATTTGTTCAAATTCTTTTTCATCAAATTTGGTTCCTTTCTTTTTGGTCCTCTTCTCGATTTTATTCTCTTTGGACTTTATTTGAGCAATATCACATTCCTTCCAGTGCTTAGTCCAATCCATATTGTAATCTCTACAATTCTGTTAGTCCAAAACAGTACTTGATTCACAAATCGTGAAAGAAACCCGAAAAAAAAGAAGTACCTTTCAGCTCTTATCTTTAACTTATTATAAAGATTCAATAAACAGTAACCATCCATAGCTGCATACTTCATCTGCTCACGGCGAAGAGGGCGCATAGCCCAATTACCTATCTAAACAATTTTTTGACATCTATGGACTTGAGAAAGATGATAAGAATATTCCGCTTGTTTTTACTACTTTAAAAAATAAGGATACCTGCTCTGTTTTATCCAGAGCCTGACCAAGTACTTTCCGACATAAATCAGTTAGTCGAAAATGCACTGTTTCATCAGAAACAATATCCAACAAATTTTCAGTTTCGCTTGATAATGGAAGGTTAACTGAAAAAAAAAAAAAAAAAAAAACTGCGAAATTTTATTTCTGATATAAAGAATATTTATATATTGCTTTGCAAAATCTACATAGCCAAATCTATAGAGAACTATTCCGATCGACAAAATCTAAAAATACAAATCAACAGTAATAAGTGTCATACTTGAATCGCTAAAGTCGAGAAATGCTGGATTCGAAGCCAGAAGCTGAAATTACCATTAATAATAATTCGAAACAAAATTAAAAAAGTTATGAATATGAGACATGTATGTTGAAAAGAGAAACATACGCTTTTCACCAGTTTCAATATACAAACCACATTCTTCATCTCTTCCAAGGGTTGTAGATAAGGGTAAGAAGCACGCAAAACCTTCAGATCGTTTAGAAAATCGAACCCTGAAACTGAATGCTAAGGTATTACGAAGAATTCACTGAGTTACATGTTTCTTCTCCGAATGTGAAAGACCCCTGGAGACATAATTAATAAGTCTCACAGAAAAAAAAAAAAGTTATACAGTTCTTCACTGACCTAATTTTATTGCAGTGCTGTCACAAAATAAAGCTTTGAAGAATCGTGTCCACTGTTCTTCTGTTAATACATTTTCTAAAGTGATAACATCGACAAGGTAACTGCAGTGTTGAACACAAATTTGGAAAAGTGCAACCTGAAACACTTTCTGACTATATTAAGTTTGGCTTAAATAAACTATAGATTTTTTGCTGATAAATGATGCATACTTCACTTGATCACTAACTTGCAGAAGTGACAGCCCTACCGAAACTTTACGGGCAATTTCCAAAAACGTTTTCAGCTGTATTATATACACAACTGATATTAGAATATTGAATGATGAAAATCTAACAAAGAACCACATTAAAAAGTGGTTACCCTTTCATTTGTGCAAATAAACAAGGGTTTCCATTCAGTATCTATTCCAATTAAGTCGGCTTCTTCAATAACGGGATAAAGCTCCTCCAGATCTTTAAGATTTGCAATCACTTTGATAGGATGACCTGGAAACAGTTCCACGTTTGTAATACTCGCCCTCTCTGACACCATCCTGTAAAAGAATAGTTCGGGAGCAGTTTCAAACAGTTAAAAATAAAACTGGTTTTCACAGGTAAATGATAAAAATATACCAATCATTTATAGGCATACATCTCTCATATTAAAGACAATTATAGTATGCCTTCTAAAAAATTTGATATATATTAATGAAAGCCAATTCTAAAAGTTTGTGCCTCGCCAAATCAGCTTGCGCTTCAAGAACTGCATTAGTGCACAAATAAGGCTGCAGAATGCGAGGAGCACAACTGATCATGTCGCAAAAAACAACCCATCGAATAGCATCATTGATCCAGCCGTTTGAGCAAAGATAATTGATGAAATATTTCTGCAGGCTCAAATCCGATTGTAAAGCTTGCTGGAAAATAGGTATTTGTTTTAAAATTTCATTCAAATGACTGAACATTACGGCATCGATTTTTTGAAAAAACCAGTTCAAATCATAATCATTTAGCTCAACCCATTGCTATAAAGAATCATGATTTCTTCAGGTGATAAAGAGACAAACTACGTTATTCCTGCTACCCACAATTAACGACAGCTACATCATCAAACTGAAAATTTAGACGGATAAATACAGATACTTACAGCTACATAATCAAAATATCCTTCTTCGGTAATACGACGTTCAACGAAATACATAAAAGCCATGTGTCTGAGAGCACCTTCTCGTCTAAGGCGAGATAAATTTGGTGCTACTTCCTCAGGTGGTAAATTGTATGTTGCTAGCAGTTTGGTGACTAACTTTTCAATTGCCTTGTTTTGCAACCTTGATATTGAAATGGTCATAATTTTTCTTCTGCGAAAATCCTCATAACGATGAGCAATTGCTAAATTAAAATATGAAAATTTTAGAATTCCAAAAAAATAAAACCCAACATGAATTCTATAAAATTCAAAATCACTGAACTTCCCTTCTAACTGCAACCAGAATAAGGTAATGTTTTTTGACTGAATTGAAAGCTCCTAACATAACTGAACAAGACTGAACAATAAAGGTTAAATTATATGTATATTTATAGAACAATATATCACTTGCAGTGGAAACATCAGACATTAATCACTCCAAGCTAATTTGAAAAAGGAAAAAAAAAGTAACATGAATTAATAACAAAACAGGAACTAACTTCGTTCATCGAGGCCAATAAGGTTATCAAAATGTCGTACAAGTTCTTCCTGCATTTTTCTTTCATTTTTGATAAATGCGTCGACTGCAATAAAACGATCTTGCAGCATGCATGGAATAACTAACTCATTAAGTGTAAAGTGGGATTGCAATCTAAATAATGTTGCACAAGAGATAGCGTCACGATAATTTGCCACCACCACCATGTCCTGAACATTCCTATTTCAGTAAATATGAAGCATGAAAGAAAACAAGTATTTCTCAACCAGAAATTATGCAAATACATGGCAATATGAAATTAGACATAAACAGAAATGGTACAGAACACACTGAGCTCGAAGGCAAAACAGTTCCACTATATAAAAGCGACTTTCGATATCTAAGAAAAATTACTTAGTGTTTATTGCAAAAAACTGACTTTCACCGCTTGAAGGATATAGTCCATCATATCATCAGTTTTCAATTGAAATATACTAGTGATAAGTTCCAGATGTATTGTATGTTTGCTTGTGCCGACAGCGAAAGCTTCAATCTGTTACATTTACTGGGATGAAAGTTTATTGTTCTGAATGATATAGGATTTAGAACTGATTTTCTTTACTCTATTTTTCTGTTTTATTTTCACTCTATGAATGAATACCAACAAGTAATTCAATAACCAACTTATTCAACTGTACTGATCTAATGATGAAACGTTTTGGAATAACTTTAATAGATTAAAAAGAAAAGAAGCTTTGTATACTACAACATTAACACATTAAATAAAACTAAATGAAATCGACTTTATGGCTGATTTTATAGCCTAAGGTTAAAAAAAAAAAAAAAAAAAAAAAACTAAAAAAACCTTCAGATTCCGATCTAGCTTTCCATACAGTTCACCATTTCGTTTCGTTTTTTGTAGCCACTGTTCGAAATGGCGCAAAACAAAACCAGCTAGACTTGATGCCTTCTGCATCCCATAATCTGGACACAACTGAAATATGCCAGATCTGACCAGAAACTGTAAATTTCTCTGTTTAATTTTATATTCCAAAACGTTTCTCTAACTTAAAGTTTAGTGCTATACATATTTTATTTTATACAGTTTCTTTGAATAAACTTTATGCAAAACAAGAGCAGTTTTCATCGGATTTTCGCATTCGTCGAATATTTGGTTCAGCGCTGACTGACATAATTCCTCCTAAAATAAAAGGATGTAGAGGTATTTGAAATGAAGTTAATATTTGATATATGAAAGTTATAGATGTAAACGAGGTCATAAAATTTCAGTAGTTTCAATATAATCCATTTAAAATCTTCAGTTTATTTCAAGGAAATAAAATAAACAACCTTAACAGCTTTCTTCTCACCAATCCAAATGTCTTTCAGCAACTTAACCCACATTCGTACCAATTCCTGATTTGTTTGAGACTGCAATTCTTCGTCCAACTTTTTTCGGTGATCATCTTCAATCTCCCCATTAACTAACTGTTTGTTCATGACAGCATCCCGCATAGAAACTCCAGCCCTTATCCTTGAACAATTATCTTCGGCCATAACCTGTAACAACCTGCTTCCGTTTTAAAGAGAATATTGTGAACAGTGATACTCGTCGCACACTTCAATAAGCCAATATAATTAATACTCTCCCAGACATCTTAAGCAAATTTCCAACTTTTTGATAGCACATCAATTAATAGTAGTTGTTCTATATTCTTATAGTGCAACCGTTCCACCTCCATATTGTATTTTCTTATGTCGAACTCATATCCAAACGTCATTCACACACATGTTCAGCGACAATATCAAAATTTAAAAAACTATTGTGCTGCATCAACGAAACAGAGTTACGAGATTGAAAAGGTAATCTTGGCAACAAGTCAATAATCGATCGTAGACTTTGAAGGTTCTTTTAGCGATATGGCAGTTTCACCTCCATATTGTTCGTTTGTGATCATTCGTGAGACTTTACGTGGCTGATATCTGGCTATCGTCAACACTATGCGAGACACCTATATCTGCTAACTTTCGCTCAAATTTCACACGTTGGTTTACGCAGTGTAGTTAACATAAGAATTACGGACACTCACGTTCATCTGCGTCAACGTGTGTTCCTTGCAGCCGTGGCGTAGCGGGATGTTCCCGTGTAACGAGTATGAACGGAAATTTTTGGCTCAACATAATCCAGGGACTTCACCTCAAAAAGCACAGGTGACTTAAACAAATGTTTTCTGTCCTGTTTAATTTGCAGTTGCTTGCAGGAAAATTTTCCATGTAAGATAGTAATTTGCGAAATTAGCATGTTGTATGCATAAGTTGCAAATGAATTATTGTTTTCTGTAGGTTTTAACTTTACGTGAGGCCTGTGAAACATGCCAAACGGTGGTTCACACGATTCTGTTTGTATCAGTAACTACTCAAACATACGATGATTGCTTTTTTTTCACAAGGTTGAAATGAAGAAATTGCGGACGATATTTTGAAGATCATTTTAGGGACATTCGCCGCGTATCACACCAACGAAATACCGCCCGGATGGTGGTGATCGTTATATACCCATTCGACAAAGTAGTGCAGAGTGGGCGACAAGGTGATTTTTATTTTTGAGTGAGGTTTTTGCTGAAGTGACGTGATCAATAATCGTATGTCCAAGCAGAAGTGACGTGTATTGCATATTCCTTTTTTCATTTACTCATGCAGTAATGATTATATCGAGAAGTGATGATTGGCGTCCAATCATCGTTCCATAAGCACATTAGTTTATGGAGCATTTTTGGAATACTGTGATGTTGAACTTATATGAACTGTAGTCAAGATTGTGCATTTTTTGTAGTTTTATAATCTTCAGAGGAAAGAAAATACATTTTGTTAAAATTGGAGGTTCCTTTTAGATTTGCTGCAATTGCATCATCATCTCCGGATACGCCTAATCTTTTCAAAAGGCCTACAGGAATGCAAGGAGCATCGACTGGTGCATCCAGCAGCGGAAATGTGTCAAATGCACAAGCGGCTCCGTCCGCAACTGCTATTGATGACTCTCGTATGGATTCTGCAGCACATCGAGCTCTGCTAAGAAACGAACTGCTATGCGATAACATTGACGATATTAGGGTTCGTCTGTTTCGTGTTTTTGTTTGCTTAGAAAATACGGGTTGCAGTAACAATTTGTTATATTTAGATGTGGGGAGAAATTTTTTTGCTTAATTTTCTTTCAGGCAGACCTAGAAGGGTTCGATACAGGTCGGTTGCGCGATAGTCCTAGCGGTGGTCTTTTCAAGTTCGGACAACGGACACCAACAAAATATGGTGATGCATCAACAAGTCATGCTGCGCGTTGTCTATTCGGAGGGCCACCATTGAGCGAAGGGAGTCAGCGTCTTCTCAAGTCGCCTCGTAAACCACAGCGTAAAGTACCTAAAAATCCGTACAAGGTAGGCTAGAATTTAATATATTTATGTTTTCGTTAAGTATGCAATAAAAGTCACAGTGAATTATTTGGATTTTGACTTCAGTTCTTAGCAGTTTTCAGTCCTTACTATTTTTCCAGGTTTTGGATGCTCCTGAATTGCAAGATGACTTTTATCTTGATTTGGTGGATTGGTCATCGCAGAATATGCTTTCGGTTGGATTACATACTTGTGTGTATCTCTGGAGTGCGTGCAACAGTCAAGTTCGTATTTTGGCTGCGATTTTTTTGGCGTTGTGAATACACTATCAAGTTGTGGGTTGGTGGAAAACAAAGCATACTGGTCTCTATCAAAATTGATGAAACGTTCATTATAATTCCTTCTAAGGTTGTAAAACTTTGCGATCTTGCAACTGATGGTGACAGCGTAACATCTGTTCAGTGGGCTGATAAAGGCGACTTATTGGCTGTTGGTACAAATAAAGGCATCACGCAGATATGGGATGTTCATGCTCAGAAGAGGGTTTGTTGTATGCCTTTTTTGTTGAGCAAGTGTCTATGGTTCACAGAATTATTTTTTTTTTTCTAGAATGATGTATTTTAGCTTCGGGAGCTCACAGGCCATTCATCAAGAATCGGCTGCTTAGCATGGAATACGGATCTGGTATGTTCGGGCTCTAGAGATCGCGTTATTATACAAAGAGACATTCGTCAACCAGCACAGTATGCTGAACGAAGACTTAATGCTCATCGTCAAGAAGTAATGATATATTTTCATCTTTTTTTCAACATTTTAAATCGTTTATTGTTCTGTTCCTAAAATCTCTTGTTGCTATTTTAAATTTTAGGTTTGTGGGTTGAAGTGGTCTCCAGATAGACAATATTTGGCATCAGGTGGCAATGATAATCAGGTTCTGGTGTGGAGTTTGAGAAGAAATGATCCTTGCCAGGTTGGCTTAGTTTGATTTTTTTTTTTTTTTGAACTTCGACATCTTTTTAAATTTGGATTTTATTTGGCTAGGCGATAAAGTAATATCACATGTTGTAGAAGAAACATGTGATGGAAACAGTCGCATGCTGCACTATATGGAATATTTTGTTACTTTTTTTAGGTGTATACGGAGCATAATGCAGCAGTGAAAGCATTGGCGTGGTCTCCTCATCATCATGGTCTTCTCGTTTCTGGTGGTGGAACAGCCGATCGATGTCTTCGTTTCTGGAACACATTGACGGGACAATCCTTGCACTCTATTGATACTGGCAGTCAGGTATGCATTTTACATCCGTTTTTGCCAGTGTAAGGTTTCTTTAATTTATGGAAGCTCTTGAGAATGGTTCCATTTCTTCCATTATGGATTGGCGAATTACAATTTCTTTTAATTTTGTTTATAAAATTTGGTCTTCATCTAGATTGGTTTTCTGAAAATCATAGAAAACATAATTATAAAATTCGAGAATTTGTATGTCTTTACTAGGGAATCTGTCTTGGTTATAGTTTGAAGTTAGTATAGACGAATGTATTAAAAAAAAAAAAAGTTTGTTATAACACCCAGTATAAGCTAACAACCACGGTACACTCTACAGCAATAATACACTGATAATTTCGTAGTTCATCTAATAATATGAAATGAAGAGCAAGGAAAATGAGGAGATAATTTAACTAAAAGGTTTAAATAGGTGGATTTAATTGAGCGTGAAAGAGTAGCCGAATTGGAACTTTTTGATATTTTTGATATTAACACAGACCAAGGGTTTAAATTCTTATATAGTAAATTAGCTTACAGCGAGCATATAATCAGTGAAAGTAAAGAGCTGTTTATCATATGATCTTTATATGGTAATGGTTAGGTTTTGACATTACACCACTTGCTCGTAAGAATGACTATTAAATTAGAACTCTTTGATGTTACATACAAATCTTGTTTAGAATAAAGGAATATTTTCAACATATTAGTCAGTGCGTATGTAACATTCCAGACAGTGAAGATAAGCTCAGCTAAACTGGAAAATCAGATTGGATAAATGATTGTTTGTATGATATACATTGTGAAACAGTTTTATACTTGTCTAAGAAATATTCAAATTAAGGCGTCTTTTCCTTTGGATTTAATACATATTATTTCGCCATTTATTTGGTTTTTCGACAGTAGTGGTAGAAAACAGTTCCTTTCGCCTACGTACATTTTAATTTGCTTTTTTCTTTGTTTTGACCAAACTTTCAAGATCTTTCTTCGAAGGTATGCAATGTAGCATGGTCAAAACACAGTTCAGAGTTGGTGTCGACACATGGTTATTCATACAACCAGGTTATAATATGGAAATATCCATCTTTGCAGCCAGTTACGAAACTTACGGGACACCAGTACAGAGTTTTATATTTGGTATGTATTAGTATAAAATAATATAATATGGGCTTGAGGAATAATTTCATTTTGTTTTTGCAATTTCATCTGCCTTACTTTAAATTCAAGAACTGCACTTTTTTATGAAGATAATTTCTTTCGAATATACATGAACTTAGAATATAAATAGTGTATGTACTGTAAAGTCAGCACATTAAAATTGCTAACGCCATATTAACTGATAGCTAACGGTAACTGAAACTTTCTAAAATCAGCTTCAGTGTCTTATTATTATAGGCAATGTCTCCAGATGGTGAATCCATTGTGACAGGTGCTGGTGATGAAACCCTGCGATTCTGGCACGTATTTAGCAAAATTGGACAACAGAAAGTTGTTCGTTCGAAGTTGAATCTGCTGTCGAGTATTCGTTGACTAGTTACTTATTTCAAGAGTTTTTCAGTCCCTTTCCCGTTCATTATATTTTTGAAGGCACTTTCTTTCTTTAGCGCAAGCTATTTATTTCTTATTCAAGCAAATTAATCTGGTTCGGGTTTAAATGTCAATGAACTCCATGTTCAGAGTCGTGATCCTTTTTGTCTTTCAGATTCTTTTTTCTTTCATACTTTTCATTTTAGAACAAATCCGTTTTAGAGGTGGTAGGCATTAATTATTTTTATTAGAGATGTCTGGCTTGGTATTGCAATATTACAGTCATTTGTTAACCTTCTTCCAATCACTACTTGTTGACGCTCCCTCAATTCATGCTCATTTCATTTTTATTTATGTACAGAGCTAATCAAATCATCGAGGAATTATAAAGTTGTTTACTAACTGAGTATTCTTCATTTATCGGATGAGAAAATTCATTCACACAACGTATTTTCGTGTTTCTAGTCTATACGTAATATTTTTTGTTTAATCAGTATCACTACAATATTCCACATGTTACTGAGCTTCTCAGGACTGCATATGTGATAATGTCCAATGCGCAGTTGTTTTTTATCTTGTTAACTATTTTTATGTTCGCAGATTTTATTTTCTAAACCATTTTCTACTTACCCTTAGTGTTGTACTTCTTAGTTCTGGGCACAACTCTATTTTAGAAAACCTGGTTTTTAAAACTTGATATCTTTAGAATTCCCTATTCCTAATATAAGCGAAATTATTGATCGTGCCTGGGGCTCGAATGATAAGCCATATGTTCAGTCGTTACTGTTTCCCAATAATTGCTATCATAATGTATTTCTAATAATGTTTATTGTTTGGTTTTAGATAAAGCGGATCTTCTAACCATTTTCAAGCAAATTATTTTGTGAAATAAGTGAACTCAATAAAAATTACTAAAGGATATAATGACATACTGAGTATAAAATTTCCGCCGATGTTAATGAGTTTAGGTTAGAACTGTGTCAGTTTCTCCGCATTTGTCCTTTAATTTTAAATTTCGTTATTGTGTTAAAACACATGAATGTCTTCTTGTCAGGTAATATGCTTGGATCTGCTGCTATTTAAAATTATCCTCGGTAGGATCATATTGCGGAAATGCTGAGTTGTTAATATCAGATCGCATAGCGAAGAAAGTTGTACCAGTTCAAATGGTTATGCTCGGGCCACTGAACGACGATCCATATGTTCAATTGTTATCGTTTTTCACTAATTACTGTCAGCATATATTTCTAGTGATGTTTATTGTCATATTGCGGAAATATTGAGTTATACTCCATCACCTGAATAACATGCAATAGTGAATGAATGGTTGGAGGAGAAGGAGCCTTCTACCAAGCTGTCTTAAAAGGTGTGCCTCGAGACATTGAATGTTTTTAACTTATAACAGTTCAGTTGTCATTGCTTTTGATGGTTACCTTTGAATATAGTTTCTGGATTAAGCTGAATTTCTTGTGGAACGTTACCTAACATGGGACAGTAAACTTATAGGCAGCCAACGAATTTACTAATTGGATTTCAGAATAGAAATACAGACTTAAATATACAGCATACTACAGTAAATCCGAAATTAGGTTCTACAGGTGTATGAATTCATATAATTTTTCAACTTCAATGTATTGCAATGTGTTTGGTTCTTTTAATTTATAAAATTTTAATTCATAAGGTTCCATTAATTCATAGATTTGTTTGCATCGGAGAGCGACGAGCAATAAATGCTTGCTTGAATTGCGGATTTATGATTATAGCTGATGTTTTATCACAATTGGAATCTCGATTGCTTACTGGTCCAGTTTGAGTACCACCATCCACCGTTTTATTTGGTTCGTTCGTACATAACAAAAGTATGAGTTCCAATAGTAAAATGCAAAAGCAAAGAGCAGCAAAAATCTAGAAAGTACTAAATCTAAAAGAATATGCAATTCTTTCGTTTTTTAAGGAATGTGACGTTTGCAAAAGTTCGTGCAATTAAGTAATATTTTAATTTTAATATACGAATGATAACAAACCATTGCAGTCGTAAGCGATGGTGAGTTGTACAGAATAAAACAAGTCTCGCTGAACAAATTGATGCATACTCTTACGCCAAGGGCAAAAAATGTCATAGCTAGTAAGGAAAGGAACATTGGTATCATCACGATCGCTATTTGCTGTAAAAGCAGTCGTCAGTTGGTTTTCCTGTACTTTTCTATCTTCACAATAAACTCAACAAATCTAATCGTTACTGACAATCTATTATCACTAATCTAAACAAATATATGCCGTCTTTGCCATGTTTTTAACCGATATGCTCATCAAATAATTGGAATCTATCGATCAAACTCTTGGGAAGAATGCAGAATTTTTCCTTTCACAGAGATAAATGATGAATTTCCTTTCGTAGAGATTTATTTAAATAATTGATACTAATGAAAATTGATACTTTGTTAATTCTGTGTAATAGTCATGCTAATTGCAACAGGAAGAAAACTTTGTCAGACATTTGCTGAAAGTTTCAAGTAAAATTTACCACTGGATATAACAGGAATCTTTCATTGTTCGAGAATTTCAATATTTGAATAATGGTACAAACGAGAAGAAATGCAGCAAGAAGTGCAGCAAAGAATCCGAGCGTTGGAAGAGTATAGTAGTACCACAGATCACTAATTAAACAGCATACCACAGAAATAGTTATACATGACTTGAAAACAGATACTTATCGATAAAATGAAGTAAAAAAAGTAATAAAATGCAAAATACTCTTGATTGATGAAATAATTTTCATTTATAATCACGGAAAAAATATCTCTTACCGTTGCCAAAATTCGGAAAACTAAGGAAATTTTGGGAGAATAATGGAGAGAAGTTTGCGCTTCCATGTTTGAGAGAAATGACAAAGATGGTCTTCCCGAAAAGTAAACGATCTTTTACGACCGTTATGTTTTTCATGTTAAGCTTATTTACCTGCTTACTCTCATGTTTGCTTTTAATATGCTACGCCAGTATCACCAATTCAATCGGGTAGGTATGTCGTCATCAAAATGTCACTAAACAAGAAATCGTTCATATATTCACACTACCATCGCAACTTGTAACAGTCCGTATTGAATGTTTCATTATTAGCCAACAAATAATATTAACTGTATCTTTCAAATTGAAAAGTTTAAATTCGCATATAAAATGTGTCACGGATTTGCTCTCATACAGCTAACTGTCTTATAGCATTTATATTAGTAATGTGTTAATTATTGCATGTTCATTTTAGCATCAGCACCTGCTAAAGTGAACATGCAAGTTCGGCGCCAAAACCTTTAAAAGTCTCACACCAACAGCTTTTCAGTAAGTTAATCATTTTCTAAGATACTGCAATGTAATTGCTACACACATAAGCACACACACACACACACACAACGTCTATGTATTGTCGCTCTTCTAATTCTTGCAGTGATGAGTGATACAAACGAGTCACTGTTCGTTCCACCTAGAGTGAGGGAAGAGCGTGGACAAGATGTCAACTCCTATTCCTTCTGTTTCCTTCGTAATTTTGCTTTCCTTACATTCTGTAAACTTTTGGATTCTCAGACGATAATGGCACTAAACATAGACGCAGCATGCAGTCGTGTCATTCCTTCTTCCTATAATGTATTTACCGTTTCCACCAAATATTTTTAACTTTGAAATTTGATTCACGTATTACTTATAATGTAAGTGACATATTCAAATATAGAAGCTTATTTTCGACGTTAACATCTTTTTCATTTTCATTTTTTCTTTTTGATTGACAGTGAGATCTATTATCGATTGCTGTGGTCATATTTTATTGATAGCATGCTATCGTTTAGATACCTTAAATACTCTTTCTTCCTTTTCCCCCAATAAACTCTTCTCATTTCCTAAAAGATCAAATAGGACATCTACAATCTGTGCAGCAGGAGACATATTTGTAATCAAGCATAGGCTTTAACCTTTAACCTGATTAATGCATAGAGCGATCTTTAATCTTCTATAAGCAAATGAATGAGCGAGCTTCTGTCACTGTTGTGTTTCACTACATTAATAACAGCGTAACCAGAAATTAGACATTACCATGCAGGAATCTCACAAAGTAGCCTAGCCGAATTAACCATAAAAATGCTGCAAGAAACTATAAATGTGATTAAGACTGAAGGGCTTAGTTCTTGCTCAGTAAGATACAGCAGTGTTTAATGAACTCCGCTAAAATTTATGGATCCTCCCTGTCTATTGTCCTTCCTTTTCCCTTCGTCTTTTTTTGCCTTTTTATTGTCAAGAGAGAGAGAGGGAAAGGAGAGAGATAAATATAAATGAGCTTCTTGTCAACCGATTTTACTTATTGATTTGCTCTAAGTCTCAAAGCATATCTTCGGCTTAGTGCCATTGAAATAGCAATCGATCATTTAATTGCACTTTTTTAATTGCACGTTTTTATTTAGAAATGGACGTCTGTTTCTGCGAATATCTTTTTCTTTCTTTACATGAACTTCTTTAAGAATGGATAACTAAATCGGAAAGGTACAAAAACAAGGTCATAAGAAGGTACAATAAGTGAGGTCATAAATGAAGTTACAAGTAGCTGATGATACACTGGAACAGTAAATAATTTAAGGAAAGAAGGTTTCTTACATGTACGGTTCATTTGCAAATAAAATGATAAAAAGCATGGCGTAAGTGACGTGGATTGAATATTGGATATGGATTAATTACCAGTTACTGATTCATTTCCATAAATCCATGTTTATCATCACATGGATATGTCATTTCGTCCATAACTTCACGTGATATCTAACCGTAGAATAATATCAACAGTTCCAGCAATATTTATCAGCTTAGTTTAAATATAGTTTAGTATTATTTTGATTGATTGAGTTTATTACTTCGAATTTTCCTTATTTACATATATTGTGATGTAGCATAACCTTTGTGTATTAATGTCCTGTGGTCATTGTACTGTCCAAACTGTTCCTCGATGAAGTATGCACCACGCACAGTCACGTGCACAGTGCACACCTGCATACAAAGAGAGGTTTAATAATGTTTTTCTCGTTTGGTTTCTATTGTTAGAGGAATGGTGTGTAATCTCTCTCTAACCAATTAGATACAAGCAAAATTAGAAAGATGTTAAACCTGTCTGTTTTGCATGTATGTGCGTGTATACGTACCTGTGTACGCGTGTACACGTGTATGCATGTACTTATAGAGTATCCATGCATGCATACATTGTAATACTTCGGAAGAGTTAGGGATGTTAAAGGCAGCAGGCAGTTTGTTTTCTTTCTACGCATTTTGCACCTTTCCTTCTCAATAAGATAACTGGCATTATTTTCAGAAGCAATGATGGAAGACAACATGTTGCCAGGTGCTCGAGGAAAAGTACCCAGAACATATGAAGTAGATAAAGAACGGCATTCCGAAAGCTATGTCGCTGCAGTTCGTGGATATAATCACAAGGTTGAAGTTGTACTTTTTCTATGCTATCTAAACTGGGAAGTTCAGTTCCATAAATTCGTTTCCAAGTAGCAAAAAGTTGAGACGGAGTTTTGAAGGCTTATGAGTTTGGTCAGTGAGACAGACCGCTAATCTTAATTTGATTCTGTTTTTAATTTGATCTTTCCAAATAAAAAAAATTGCTTTATTAAGATCTCAAATAAAACATGATCTCGCACCCGAGTAATTTCACGTCATTTATCATCAGTAAGTAATGGTTGATCCATGTAATTTTACAATAAGTAGATAGTAAATAAGGTGAGTATGGAGGTTTACAATTATGTGAAGTATCAAGTTTTATGGAAGAAAGTAAATGTAAATCAGAAGTTCATTGTAACGTGGATAATGTCTTGCAGCGAATGTTTAGTTCAGTGGTGGGATATATTAGAGTTTTTGTGAACTGTCTATTATATTATTTCATATTTCTTTAACTAAAAAAAATTTAACGAACATATCATCTCTTCACACTAAATGGTGCAGGACGCACAAGCGATCTCTATGGATAAATCAAAAGATAGCTTCAAAATACGTGCCTCTGCACCTCTTCTTCAAGAATTTGCGATGTCGATACAACCAGGAGAGAACTTTAAGTATACTATTGTAGAGATGGAACGCTATAGAAACGATCCTTTTTGGAAAACTTTGAGGTTATATGATTATCTTTTTTAAAAACTTTGATTTTTCACTTCTTTTTGACTTGGAACTGTCTTGTGTTTTATTTTAATGTTAGATGAGCTCATTTCCGAAACCCACACCGCTTTTATGATTTTTTTTTTTAAAACATAAAATTGTGGTTACTTTATCTGAAGTTTCCTTTTTGCTAGAGATATTCGTATTATTCAAATCTTTGATATTTGAGTGGTAAGGTAACCGAACATTTGCTGCTATTGGAAATATTCTTAGAATTTATGATCCCTCTAAGCTTTATTCATTCATCATTTCAGTAGGCTGTGTCAGTTGATTTGATTGGCAGAAAAGATATGATTGCTGGTATTGTAAATTCCTTCCATATCTTATGCAATTGTTTCTGCCATGCATACAACATTCTCACAATCTTTGTGTAACTAATGGTTGAACAGTTGATGACTGACATTTTTTCCGCCATTTTTTTAAAAATGCTGAGTTACTGTTTCTTTAACAACAGGAAAATGAAAACTCAGAAATTTGTCGCCATAAATCTAAATTTACCTCAGATGGTTGCTGTTCATCCTATTTTGGTTGTTATGGAGTTTTATGTTTGTGGTTGCCATTCTTATCGTCATCTTCAGCCCGGGCTGTACTCCCAGAGTAGTGCCGAATTGGTGGGAGAATGCCATTATTTATCAGGTAAAAAGTTTAAAACTTTTTTAGATCTCACTTCTAGCCGTAGTATGTTAAACCAAATAAAATGAAGCTTAAATCTTTAACAGTGTTTTACTTAATTGGAGGACTGAAGAAACTGGAGGTGGTCCTGATCTTTTTTAGCTGAGATTAATCTCGTCAAGTTAACTGTTTAAAGGTTTTGCTCTTAAGATTTGGACACCATCGTTCCAAGATTCGGATGCGAGTGGTGTTGGTGATTTCATTGGTCTTAGCAATCGTCTTGAAAATTTGCGGCGTCTAGGTGTGCAGGCTGTATGGCTTAATCCTTTTTTATATTCCGATGATTTTAATGATGCAGTTCAAGATCACTTAACGGTCGATCCAAAACTAGGTATAAATGACGACGCTTACAAGCTGGTCGATGCCGTACACGACAAAGGTCTGTACTGCAGTTAAACTTATAACTCTATCTTATTATATATAGAATAGAAATATGTTTTGACCATATATGTAAAGTAAAGCAAATATGTGAAATTAGTCCTATTGTAGAAATGAAAATTGTGGTAAGCTTACCAGTGAGTATTACATCAAAAAACCACCTCTGGTATCGTCAAAGTTCGCAAGCAAGTTTGGAACAATACTCTAATTTTTCGGATTATTATCACTGGAGGAAAGCAGCTGAGGACAGTCCTTTCATGTCAAAACATAAGAATGCCTCCTACATGCATTACAAAAACCGACCCGACTGGCCTATTCTAAATTGGCAAAGTGCTTCTGTTCGAGACAATATGTTTGTATGTTTCACTATTATGCCTAAATTATACACATGTACACATATTATATACATGATAGAGTATTAATTACATCAGAGGCTTAGGCCAAATTGTATTTTCTGTTAATAGTCGTGCGAAAGCTTTTTTTTTTACAGCTACTGTTTCATTTCTAATACATAGGCCTTAATCCCCCTTCAATTATGTTTGAATCGGGTGCTATGCATTTAAGAATATTTTTTCAATTTATCTATTTGTAGAAAATAATCTCCTTTTGGATAGATAAAGGCATCGATGGATTCTATTTCAGTGGGATCGAATACCTTGCTCGCATGAAATCCGCATCTGAAGCGGTTTGTTCATGAATATCTATTTCAAATGCTTTGTCTTGTGAAGAAACAGTTCTAGAAAAAACCAACGCATTCAGCCATTTCAGGCCTCTGAATCCTATACATTTATTGTTGTGTGACTTATTTATTTAGGATTGGTCACGTATCATGGATATTATTCGTGATATCAGAAATCATGTGGATACTTATGTGGAGAGAAATCCAGTGTTTAAAACTAAGATGTGAGAGGATTCTAATACGAAAAAAATTCCTTAACAGTTAAAGCAACTGTAAATTAGAATGCAATTTTTGCATTTTTGTTGTTCATTAGTGTACATTCATCTTATTTCACTGACTACTCCATCTTTCAAATATTAGCTGATTTCTGAATAAGGTTTTACATAATTAATTTCCTTTCGATGCATTCCTTTCATTGTCAATAAATACAAATGGATTTTCAGTGTATTATTTGCTACGCGTGATAACGCGAGGGAAGAAGAAAAAAAGGAGTTAGTTCTGAGTGGATTGAATTTAGTGATTAATTACGAATTGGGGAGCATTGGGAAAGATAATCAAATTTGTCACCGTACCGAGGACAATGTCGCTGAATGCATTCATGAAATACTTACCGAACTGGTACACTTTCATTCAACGGACAATATCTCTGCAATGTGGGAGGTGATTTCATTTCCAATTTTCATAGTGTAAACTTGGGATTTTTCATCTCACACATCACCACTTCGTCGCGATTTAACAGGTAGTTGCTAAAAATATGTCTAAATCATATGTTATGTTTTGAAACTAGTGGTTTTATATAAGGCAACAGTTGCGCTAACGCTGGAGCAAAGAGTATAATGTATGGAGATTTATGGAGATTTTTCCCGTACGCAGGTCTTCGCTTTTTAAATTGTGATTTTTAGGTCTTTTGAGGTATTATTTTCTTCACTTTAATATGCTATCCTGTTGATATTTCCCTGATGCCCAGTTGCTGATGGGATATATCTTACAGTTCGGTAATCCACAACTCTCAAGAATAGCTTCTCGTGTAAAGTCGCAGCAACAAGCCGAGCTGTTAACCATGTTGCAACTACTTTTACCTGGCACTAGCAGTATCTACTATGGTGATGAGATTGGGATGATGGATTTACCAAATGAAAAATTAGTAAGTAAAATCTGTTTTATTTTTCTGCAAAACATTTTAAAGTCCGAGGAAGGTTTAATGCCTCTTTGTAGGTGCCAGTGCAGAGAGGTGCTATGCAGTGGGATGATTCTGTCAATGCTGGATTTTCAAGTGCTATCTCAACAAACATTCCGGTTCATCCTGCTTTCGCACATAATAACTGGGCTGTAAGTTTTTTTCTTCTTTTGTCTGGGTGATTATTACAAAAATTCCCATTAGCGACCATTCAGTATAATTTTAGAGTGTAATGTGAAATAATATGAATTCTAGAGGCAGTACAATTCTCAACGCTCACAACTGAAGACATTTCAAAAAATGGCTCGACTGAGAAAAAGAGATGAGACGATTAGTTCTGGTCGCACTATTATTGGGCAGCTGATTAACAGTACTTTCACGATTACCAAATACGTTAAAAACGAGAATATTTCAGCTGGAAATGTAATTATATACTATTTAGTGGTGAGAGAAGCAAACTTGAAAGTTATTCAATATGTTGCAAAGAAATTTAAGTGGATCTAGGATATTTTCAGACTTATTTGGGAGCATTCAATTTTGGTAGAACTGACATAGCATTACCAATCGAAGGATTAGATACAGTGAAAAATAAGGAATTGCATCAAGCAATGGTAGTCGCATCTAGTAGCAATGCAGACCAGTACTACTACCATCAAATGGTCGATATCAGCAGCGGCACTGTTACAATTTCATCTGAGCAAGGTGTCATATTTAAGTTAAGTTTTTGATCTCCATAGCTTATCTTTTGAAAAAATAAGTTCTTTGGACCTTTTGGTGGAAGAAAACTGTTCTATTTCTCAATTGTTATACTGAATTCCAATAAACTGCAATAACAGTACATGACATGCAATATTATCTTTGAAATACGATCACTGAATTTAATGAACAGGGAAGTGAAAAGAACACAGTCTAATCAACATACACTTCTTTTGTGTTTCCTGAAAAATGTAGATGATTTCCACGTTTTTTACTTTTCATTGTATATGGCAATATATAAATAACGAGTTGTGTTGGAAAAAAAGTTGAAAGTAAGCACCATGAATGCTGGACATTTTATTTCTCACAAAACATGTGATGAAAATCAGGAGATTGATGAATACAACGATCACAACTGCGATGAAGACCCAAGAATGGACACTGTAATTTTTATGGTACTTTATGCGTCAGGTTGTATAATAAGGTGAAAGAGTGGCATGCAGAATCATGTGCCGAAATTTCGTGGTGAACTTCAATTAATGAGCAAAAAGAGATTTCATTTTGATGTGAGTCTTCTGCAAGGGAATGTGGAAAAATTTTTAACTCATAAAAGCCAATTAACTAAACAATAACGACAATCCAGGTACCTGTCGCACTGGTACACGTGCAGGTTAGGTACACTGCGAATCAACAATTCGCTCACTATCTCTTCATCGTATCCCACTCGATGACAACCAAAAACGCATTTATAGTTGCACATGCTGTGCGTGTACACATCTCGATAGTTTTGGAAATAAAGTTTGCGAAGGAATTGAATGCCGTTCGATTTCGATTCTTTCACAGAATAAATAGGCAACTCAAGGGTAGAGTAGTCACCGCAGAACGCAGGCTTCATGCCTTCCATCTTAAAATGTAGAGGATTTTTGAAAGAATAGGCCCCTATATTCTCTCATACTGCCTTCAACTCCTGTCTAAACCAATCCTGCCTTTTTAATTCGCGAAATTAAACAAAATCCCTTTAACATCAAGCAAATACCGTGTGGAAAAAATTACGTATCGAACAGTAAAAACCTCAATATCGTAATAGTTAATCCGAAGGCTAGTATCCAGAGGTATATCATGACGAAGTTTCTGAATGCGTCTTTCCTTAGGAGATAAAATTTGCAAGTTGCGCAATTCGAAAGATGAGATTTTCGAGCATTGCTGTGAGCAGTACTGTAGAAGAGCGGTAAATATGAAATTTTCAGTGCAAAGAAAAAACGGTTTCTTAATGTTTGTAAGCGGAAATAATAATGTGGACAATTAGTACTGACTGCGTGGAAATAAGCAAATGTATGGGACAAGAATTCACGTTTACTATAAAATATGTGATTGACAAAGTCAGAAAACTTGCCTTGTTGCATAAATTAATAGAAAGGCAAAAAAGCTTCTGTCCGTACATGCCGCATTTCTGAAATAAATTCAAATCTTTTCAGTATTCCTTTTTATAATATTACAATTTTATAGTATTATTTGATATCCATCAAACATCCATAATTTTGAAAAGATTTTAGTAAGTGCTGTGCACAGAAAACAATTTGGTAAAACGCTATTCGCATCCATCATAGCGTACTGCTCTGCTTTATTTTATCCAGCGTATTTAAAACTTGAGATTGAGACATGGACGAAATAGTACCGTTAGCAGCGACATTGAAAGTATTAATGTCACAGTTATCTCAGCATGAGAAACCTTTAAACTTAGAACTGCTTGTAGAGCTGAGAGGAAAAAGTTGAAGTATAATACAACTAAAGTAGGATGAACGACCACCTATCTGGTACTCTAAACCAATACTGTTTCGTATCAGCAGAAGTAGCCGATAAGTTCCATCTTTGCTGTTTTACCAAGCAATCAATACTTTTCTAGTCGAGACTTGCTCACTTACACTAACCGTTGGTAGGTTAAGAGTAGCATCCTGCTGTTCCCTCAGAAATACTTGTGAATATTCAGCTACTGTATACAATGGAGCTAACGCAATCGTTACTAGAAAAAGTGAAGCGTGAATGACACAAGCCGTATCTGTAGACCATCTACGCATTGTTCACTTAATAGCAATGACACACTAAGATTCTCAATTCACTATTTACTCCTCAGAAATATTCAAATTCCAGATCAATTCAAAAAATAAAAAGCTGCCTGGCCTGAAACAACTGCATAAACTTGGTCTAACTAGTGTAGCACAACGATACACAGGATCCCAAGAGACTCACCGATTTCATTGAGTCTCATTGTGTGTCACATCATAGGGACAATGCTAGTCTTACAAGTAATTATATTTAGCTCGTCCCTTCCTTGCACTCATTCATGCAACCATAACTCTCACGCATATTTTCAAAGGATATTGGCAGTTAGCGGTGGCGCAGCGATTGGTTTGGATAATTTGCGAGGATAGTATTTGATATTGTAAGATGCTTGTAGAGATGTTTGGGTATGAAGTTTCTTATTTTATTGACATTGATTGAATACCTTGCAGGTGGATCGAAATGGTGAACGTTCCGAAAACACGACGAACATTTTGTGATGGAAAATGCCGTCGACATACGATGCATAAAGTAACCCAATATAAGAAGGGTAAGGAATCAAGACTGGCACAGGGTATGTTATGTTGTTATGTGTAATCCTTGATTGCTTGGTATTCATAATTACCACTCTTTACTTCTCGTGATGCAGTAAATTTGCGTTAGATATAGGGACTGACGTGGATAGTCTGATTCTGTTATAGTTATGTTTAAACTATTTTCACTTCAGGCAGGCGACGTTATGACTCCAAACAGAAAGGTTTTGGTGGGCAAACAAAGCCGATTTTCAGGAAAAAAGCAAAAACAACGAAGAAAATCGTTTTAAGAATGGAATGTACGGAATGCAAGCACCGCAAACAGTTACCAATCAAGCGGTGCAAACATTTTGAACTGGGTGGTCAAAAGAAAACACGTGGACAGGTAAAATTGGAATATCACGGCTATTGACTTTTTTAATTATATCTGGGGACATTTTGATTTATTGTGAAATGATCTAGATCAAAAGGAAAGGACTTATTCATTCGTTACTACGGGATTTTTAAATGAGCTTGTTTATTCCTGAGATCTGTGCTTTTTACTCACTCATGTAGTTTACTTTTTCTGAATCCATTTCTTTTCAGGTCATTCAGTTCTAAGAGTGTTTGCTTCAGTGATCTGTTTGTGATTGTTTTCATGTTAATGTTGTCATGGCTTGGTAATCAATAAAAACATCGTCTTATGTTTTTTAATAAGTATGTGTTCACAAAGTCACTCATAATCTTTCTGCATTGCATCTGTGACCTTTGTCATGACTTAACGTTGCTTTTAAGATTTCCATCGAATAAAAAAAAGTAGTAGAAAAGTTTTACGCTTTAATGAAAATACGCTCTGAATCCATATCGCAATCAATATCACTTATTCAGCAAGAGTTTTGGAGAGTGAGTACATGAGATATTGCGTGCTTTATTCACGTTTAATTAGATATGAATGTGAAAGTTGATAGATGAAAGAGAGTGGATGATTTAGTTGTATCTTCATATTTTTGTTGTGAGGAGTAAGCGAAAGATCATTCGTACTGGCCTCTATAATCCATTTGTTTCGGGATCCTTCGATGACCCGTAGATTGTTTTCAACAATACGTTTAGGAAATAAGAAGCAAGGTGGCGATGCTGTATGTTGTCTGCGACGGTAATTTTTTTTTTGTAGTTTCTTGTTGTAGATAAATTTCAACGAGTGCTGCAAATGGTTGTAACGGTTGCGCTCCGTGACAGGCCAGGTAAGCCTGGACTTTTTTACGACCAAAGAGGTCTGTCTAATTAGTATTATTACAACCATACATTGTGTTTATAATAAATTGTGGTTAAAGCTTGCTATCTGCAAACATCACAGGCATAGTAATTAAAGTTTCCGTGGTGGGAATTTCCTGGTGAAAGATTGATTGTTACTATTAGGAAGATGAACTCCGAAGTGACTGTTACGTCATGGTGTGACACATATTTCTGATTATGCCAGTTGATGAATAATTCAGTCTTTAGTTGTTCATCTTGCAATTAAAAGTGCAGTCTTTTCGATTGCAGGCGAAGTTCTTTACAGCTTTTCCAAAGTGGGTGATAGTGTTTGTATTGGTCGGGACAAGCGCCAATGTAAGATTACGCTTGGAATCAATGCGCAGGGAGTAAGTCGGGTTCATCTGAAACTCGAACTGCTACCAAACGGTCGCGTAAGTTTTCACTAAGAAGGCTCGCAAAAAGTTTCCAGTTATCTTAATCTCTCAGTAAGCTGCCTTCAGATTTGGCAGGAAGCTTTCCAATTACTTCTGTTTTAATCTATTTTAGTAATAATGTTTTAGTTGCTTGCTCGAGATACAAGTACTTATGGTACTGGTTATGATGGCGGACCTTTTGTGATAGAAAGAGAAAAAGAGCTGAAACCCTCTGTGGTTCTACAAGTAAGGAATTTTTCAACATTTTCGCCACCGCTACTTTTAGATTTTAAAGTTTTTGAATTAAAAACTCTTCACTTGAGAACGAGCTAAAGTATTAAATTTAATTTCACAAGACGTAGAAGAGTAGTTAAAACAGGAAACTTGGTTGTACTGTTTTCTTTCTTCATCTTGATTCATAGTAATTGGATTATAGTGAATAGTAATAACTAAGATTTATCTCTTTGAAAATAGTTTATGGTGAGCAGAGCTTTTTTTTTTCACTTATGCACTTTTACATTATGAGTAAATTGATCAGTCGGATTTTCGTTTAATTTTCCTACTTCAAATGCTATTTATGCTAGGACATAAACAGTAGTCCATGCAAGTAGAGATCAGAAACATTGACTTCAAATTGCATAAATTGGAAATATTACGAGTGGTTTTATAAGTCTAAACATTTATTATCCGTAATCTCGATAAATAAAGTAACATCATAAAGATCAGAAATTCCTGTACTAAATTCGTTGTGGATTTATAAGAAAAGAGATTTTTTTCTTAAATCTTAAAGCAACACAGAGTTTCATTAATCTAACTTCTGTTTTTGTCAATTAATTCTTTATAAATGAAAATTGATTTAGTTCAACTTTGATAGTAAGTCTGATGGTATGCTTATATATAGTAAAAGTTTTGCAATAACTGGATTAAAAATCTCTTCATAAGGTATATATCAGTTAGAAGATCCGTCTTTATAAAAAAGGTGATTTCGGTGTTTTATGTTTTTATCTAATAACAACCAGTTTTTTAGGTTGGTAGTTCCTTCTTTATTGTCGAGGAGAAGAACGTTAAGGAAACGTGTTTAGAAGAAACCCATGCAAGCCTATTTCTGAGGACTGGAAAAGTAAGTGCTATTTCTAACTGACTCTATCTCATTGTTTTTTTTTTTTCTTTTTTTAAGGTGACTTTTATTTTACTTTTACTAAATACTATTAGATTCTTACCAAATTGTTCTCATTTTTTCCTTCGTCATGGACCAGATTTCTATTATGCAACTAGTAGAATCGAGTGAAAGCATGACTTCTTTTTCAAATATTCATAATGTAATTTTTAGACTGATTCGCGGAAGAGATTGGCGTCAAACAAAGCAACAGTAGTATTAGAGGAGGAATGCGTTACCGAAAAGAGGAAAGTGATGGATAATATAATGGAGAAATTGGCTCCAAGGATGAGTAATTCAGAAAGCGAAGTTGCTAGGACCATTGAAGTATTCTTCATTCTGGACTTTATTCATACTTCAACACATGCCTTTAATTGACTTCAAAACCAGTAGTTTTAAGAATTTTAAATTTCACAGATGCGGAATGGACTTGTTGCTAATACAAACTCGATCTTGAATAGAGATGAACCTTGGATACAAATACAGGTAAAATTTCGTAAGACTATCTTCCAGATAAAACTGTGATAAAACTATCTTGTCTTACACATCCTGAATTTAATTTTTCATGTTTTCAACTACTAAAATCTACATTAGTCGTATAAGAAGTAATTTGCTTGGATATTATCAATGGTATTCTTGAAGGATAGAAAGCTAGTTTCAAAACTGGGAAAAAAAGCGAAAGAGGAAATGGATAGGTCTGTGTTGCTTCACTTTATTATTTTTATTCTTGATCATATAAGTTTTTTTTTAGCTGCCGGGAGGTGACTGGTGAAAAAAGAAAAAAAAAAACTTGTAAATTTGTCTTCATATTTCCTTTGCTTTTTTCTGCATTTTTGAACTACGTGACATTCTCCTAACATCATTTTTCAGTATAAAACTTGCTTATTATCGAAGAATTGCTGATTTTCTACCTTCAGATGATGATGATAATGAGTAAGTGCTTACTTTTGATTTCGACTTTCTTACCTGCTGCAAAGAACAGAAACATTTGAAGGTAGTTCTCTGTCCCAGTATGTTCACTTTGTAATTTCAGTTGCTATAAAAGAACGCATTGAAATTTACATCATTTTGTGCAAGATGGTACTTGTTCATAAGTCATTTCCTTGCCAAACACTCCTTTTTCATTTTCAGTATAAAAAGTTTCCAAACACCAGGACCTGTTCCCAATGTACAAAATTTGGACTATGGTTTGACATCTTAAAATGCATTATTTAGCAGTGAATGATCATTGACATCGTTGATCTAGCTAAACTCATCTATTTTTTGAAGAAGCGTGCGTATACATATCAGATTTTCTTCAATAAATAAAAAAATAATTTAGAGAAAGTGAGCGGAACAGATCAGAAGTTTCCATGCTCACCGTAGCTGATTCCTTTCGAAATGTGGACTCAACTAAAAATGTCTCATTGCATTATGATTCAAGTAATATTAAATTTAAAATCATAAATGGCAGTCTCTAATTTTTATGAATCACATACAATCCCTCTAATTCTAGGTAACAAAAATATTCGTGGTGTTGTTCAGGACATATATTTCCCAACTGCAGACATTCCAGTCTTCTCGAAAAAGTGAGTATTCATTTCAAGAAAATTTCTGTCAAATTGGTACTATGGAATCTTAAGTTTTTAGGGCAATACAATAATACTTCAAAAGAAGCTGGCAAATTGTTTAAAGATTTTGCATGAATGAAAATTATGCCTGAAAGTTTGGCTAATAGTTCTATACTTACTATAACTAAAAGGAATGAAATCTGGATGATATTAAGACAGAAAAGTTGTCCAAATTCTTATTCAGCAAGTTTTTTTTTTTGCGTCGCCCGGATTATTCGGCTGTTGTCAGATGCGTGATTTCGCATTACGATGATTCTACGTATCAAATTTAATTTCATCCAAACGTTTTCAAAAATGATAAGGTTATTAATGATAATAAGATGACTACATTAAAGTAGAAGAGTTGCGGTATTACTAAACAGCTACATTTTGAAATAAAAAGCTTCTTTCTATTCCTTCTTACTTTATTGTTCGAAAAGCAAAGTTTTGATACTTATTTCAGTGCTCAGCTAACATCTTTCCTATCAAAAAGTGTAAATGAATTGTCAAATATTAGAAAGAACTATATTCCGATTTCTCATAATGGACAGCTCAACCTTTTGGAATCTCATAACGTAAACGAGAAATTTTGTGATTCATCTAAAAAGGTACTGAAGGAGAAAGACCCATCACCTCTAAAGGTAATGTCTGTAATATCAAGTAATGAATTCTTTAGCCGTTGTTTCTTCGAATAAGTTTATTTGCATATTTCTGTGTTTCAGGTTAATAAAGAGGAGACTTTTGCTACTGAGTTAGCTTCCTGGCTTGGTATGAATACTGTGAGAAAGCGAAGCTGCCAGTTCAATAACTTTTCTGAAAAAAGTTTGTTTTATTGCTTTATTCGTTCTTAAGGAATATTTCCTTGTCATTTATTTTAAAAAGTGTTCTAAACAATGATATTACAATGCAATCATGATTTGATTTTGCTGTAATTACTAGGAATGAGTTCTAATTTGTTCATGTTATTTTTCGAATCAGAATTTTTACTGAAGTCTGAAGACCGAAAAATATCAATACGTGAGTGATGATTTATAGAAAATGAAAGCAGTACGGATGAAGTGCTGGTAGCTACTAAACGAATTAAGCTGGAAGTAATAGAGGACGATAACAAAAGAGAAGTTAATACTATTTAATACTTCATTATTCATTCCAAGTTTCAAACTTTTATTTATTTTTATGTTAAAAATAAGATCTGTTTCAACTGATCTTTTGCAGAAACTGGAAAAAAATGAAAGTACATTCGGAACTAGAATACATTGTTATGAAAATGTTGGTGGAAATGACCAAATCTTCGAAATGAATATGGAAGTATTACATATGAAATTGGTCAGTCAGCTGTTTTTGTAATCGAAATTGTCCTTTTTAGGAGAAGCTGCTGTAGCTTCTTTCATTCGTTGTTCATTGTATTAATTGATAATCAACATTTCAAGCAGTGTATTTTTCATTTGCAGAAGAAAGCAGTGCAGTATGAGAATCTGGATAGACCAATTCTAGCGAAAGATAAATCACAGTCTTACTTAACCAGTCATTGGCAAAGACTCAACTGCAAGCGTTTTAGAAAGGTAAGAAACTAAAATAAGGTTGAAGGATGTTCTCTTATTTTCCTAGTTATTTATTGAAAATGTTTAGTGTTCAGTTGTGTATACATTTATAGTGCAATTATTATAGTTCGTTGTGCGTTTGATTTACCGCAGGTCTAGAAAAAACTTTTTGAAATAGATTCATTTTGTTAATTTTTGGATCTTAATTTAGATACAGCACTTTGATGGCTGTATTCTTTAACAGTCTTAAAGGCAATATATTGCAATGTTTCATTTTCACTTGCTTTGTCTCGTTAGTATTGACTGGCGGGATGGCGGGATAGTCCCGGGAATGATGGATTTGCACGAATCCAGGATGCCAAGAGGGCCTAATTTATTTTTCAGTACATTTGTCATTAATACTGATAAGATTAAAGGCTGCACAAGGATCACATGGCGGATGTGGACTACCACACTCTGCGATAACACGAATTGTGGGTGTCGGTGACATGATCGATTTCAGAGAAATTACTTGATTTATTCACTAGGCATAATTTCATACTTGAATGTTATTTTTGTTTCATGTTATTTTATTATTATGTGCTATTATTGCTGTCCTCTATTTGGCCAGTTCAGTTTATTGTGGTTCCTCGCCTGCTGCGCCCTTCTTTTCACTTCTTTTCCTTACAAATTCTTCCCTAGCAACTTGTTTTCTCCTGAAAGATTTTGAAAAATCTTTCAGGAGAAAATTGATGAAGAAGCAAAAGGTATTTTCAAAGCTGTGTTGAGGCTCTGGCCGAAAATTTTGCCAGCTATTTCAGATTTGTATTTGCACAGGTACTTTTCGCTGGATAGATGAAGTCTAGGCTCCACTCTACCCTCTTTTCCTTAAGGGGAACTTTTCTAACCGAATTCAAGCTTCTGATATAGCCTAAAAGCAAAAAAATAAAAGAGCATGGTATGATGTATTCTTTGCGAATCACAATTTTTTCCAAAAATTTACATTTATTGTTAATATTAGATCGTTTTTGTGATTTAGAGGTACATTTATAACCAGTTTCAAAAGATTTGTTTTGTCGATATATTTGAGGAATAAAGCATTCGAACCGATTAGTTTAAAAGGCGCTGCAATATTTTTTGGAAAGTAATGATAGATAACTACTTTCATGAGGTAACTCATTTTATTCGAAAATCATTTCTTTATAATTGTATTTTAGGACAAGTCAAAATCACTTTAGCTTGGTTACGCAGATATTCAAACTTCACTTTTTGTATAAGAAATTTAGGGAATTAGCATGGGGTTTGAAGTTTCGATTTTAATAATGATTTCGTTAATGATGTCAGCAATAAAGCTGAACATTATTTAATAATGATTTCGTTAATGATGTCAGCAATAAAGCTGAACATTATAGCTTCATTTCTATACGATGCTGCAGTAGGTCTTTTGGAGCTAATACTTTAGAAATTAATTGACGCTGTGCAAGCTGTAGCATTTTTTTCTTAGAAGGAGATGTAGTGGTTAGTTTGAGATTTGAGGAAATTAATAAACTATTTACTGAATAGTTAACATCCTTACAAGAAGCCAAATGCTTCAGGGAGGATGAGTCTGCTTTCTATGTGTCAATTGTGCTACGCCCAATTTCTCTTTGATGACATTTTTGTCCATGTCGCCATTTCATTTTTTTTCCACGTTTTTTGATCTTGTTAGGATTAATTTATCAACTTTTACTGCTATTTATTTCGTATGATGGGGATCATATATGTTTCCCATAACCTTCCATGCACTTTTTTAATTTTCCTGAAAGGTCATTGTTCTATATGATATGAATAAATGAAAATAATAAAAGAGTTGACATTTAGCCAATTGATTAATTAATCATTTACTTGGTTCTGATAACTTCGCTTTTTTGGATTTCTTTTTGCGTAATTTCTTTCGTGCTTTCTTTTGAATGTGATGTTGAGAAGTTCTTTCCCCTGTCTCCTTCATACGACCAATTCAATATTATTGTTAATAAAGTGAAATATATTCAACGTTGCGAAATTCTTCATATATGAGTTAGTGGATTTCAATCCTAACTTATATCAAGTCGAGATAAATTTCACCTTTATATTACAGACTAATTGTGTTAAGATTGTTTGCTCGTGTACTGTTATTTAAAAATGAACATTTTAACATTTTGTTTAAAGGACTTGCATAATTGAAGTAAGCTTTTAGTTCGTGATACCTTTTGAGAAATAATTTTAAGAACGCCTTTCCCAAGGTTGTGACAACTTCGATAAAAAGTCTAAATACGAGCAAACTCACAGCTGTATCCATTAGTTTTCGAAATATTTCTTTATTGAAATAGTTACTATGAATAAATTATCTTCATTTTTTCGATGTCAGGTGACTTTATCAGATTTGCATTTCTATTGAGGTTTTCTTTGGAGGCTTAATCTTCTGCTAGGTTGGAAGAATGATGTATTAGCCAATATATTTGTACAAAGCAGCGGTAGTAGAACATCGAGAATGGGACAAAAAGATGGTTTATTGCTTAACTCTGATGACTCCGACATACCTGATCTTGATTTGCCTACTGCAAATGTTCGTAAAGAAAGGTCGAGGTTGTTCTCGAGGCTAGTTTTTTTTTTCTTTTTCAAATCATTTCTTCCTTCAATTTTCTTGATTTTAACGTTCTTTGCGAATTGGATTGTTTGAACATTATTCCGAAGAAAGATTACTTCCACTGCCTTTGAAGAAATTAGGAAATTAGAAATTTCTGACAAAATTGGACTGGGCTTTTTGTATTGTGAATAACGAACTTGCGGGAACAGATCGCCAGGGAATTTGAAAGATTTCTTTGCAAGGCTAAGACACTTGTGTTGAACTAACTTCTGACAACGCGTTTGCAGAGCACGGCAAAATGCAGAGACAGTAATCGTAAGACAGCAAAATTGTAGCGTGCAAATTGCTCTGATATTGCTATTCTCCGCTGTTGTTATCGCTATTGCCTTTCTAGGCTTCTTCACCTCATACTTTTCGTCACAGCTGGAACAATTACGCAGTAATTTCCTTAAATTTACTATAATTTCCAGTTTTATTCGTTTTTCCGATCTTGATCACTTCATTTTATTAGTTTAAAGGAAATGAGTAATCCATGGACAACTCTCTACTAGTTACAACTTTTATTCAAAATAGCCTTCATTATAGATGAGCCAAGGTACGGTATTATGACTCGAGAATTGGAAATAATTAAGTACGAAGTAAACAAGATTAAATTAGATATAGATATGCTACGTATGATGACCTCATCTCCAGGCACACCTACCTGGAATGCATCTTCATTGCTATATACTCGACTAGAGCACATCGAGTCACAAATTAATGGTATCGCTGACAAAATACAGGTAGGATCCTACTTAATTTCCATAATATTCAAGCTTCGTATCATACTGACTGAAAGTGTTGGACAAATTCTGGAAATATATTTGTTCCAAAGATTTTTTCGTGAGATCTTTTCAGGAAAAGCTTAGCGATCACTTAGAAAATGATACGCTGAACTTGATATCGGTTTGTCACTTATCTTTTTCTCACTATAAATATAATCAAAAAAAAAAAAACTTCATATGTTTCATCATGTTAACCTGAGTATATTAAAACAGTTAGAAAGAATGTGTTTGGTTGATGTGAAGAGCAAGCTTTCTAATGCTCCGAAGCATAAGCCTCAGTGTACTGAAATACAAAATAAACTTAAGAATTCAGTTTGTTTCTTTCTTCACCTAGTGTTTGGTCGTATTGGTGTGCATTATGAAATACAGCATTTTCTAAGTGCTCCTTTCTCAAATCCCCATTTTTATGTCATAAACTTAATGATTTTATATCAAGAAAATATTTCTGAATTTCCGTAACTGTCATCTCATTTTGGCCAGAAATGATTCAAGAGCACTGTTTTGCAAGAATTATTTAGACACAGTGTATTCTTGTAGAGAGGAATGGAAGTCTCAAGTCATTTCATCTTAAAAACAAAAACTTGTGGTGGAAAAAAAAAAGAGTACGGAAGAAAATTCCGCTTTTATTTGAGAACATGAAGTAGAAAGTGATTGAAATGTTTTCTAAATGAGAACTTTTTTCCAGTTCATTTCCCGGAATGAAGAGAAAAATTAAGATGAATAAAATAAGTAAACATATGTTTCTGTTATTATCCTCAGGAGCATTATCAAATATTGTAGATCATTTGCGAAAATGAGTGGAAAAATTGGATGAAAGGTTTTGGGGTAGACGTTTTCCCTAGCAAAAAACAAACAACTGTAAACACCGACAATACCACTCTTGATTACATAGTAATTTCGTCGCTGAGCAACCGAAATATGTGGAAAAAGATACAAATATTCTAATGAAATACGTTTTAGGAACGGGTTAATGCGGTAGCGGATGCTTGCATTCAAGGATGTCAGACCGTGTCGAAGCTGGTAGTATCTAACAACGGAACGAAATATACCTTAGACTCAGTCAGTGACAAACTAAAAAAGAAGCGTTCTAAGGTACCTCAGTGGTCTTCCATTCGTGATACTCCCATTGTATTCACGAGAGCCAAGCATGTATAGTTCATGTCCTATATGCATTTAAGTATTAAGATATTTGCTGTGATAGATCGCTCTTTCATTGAGGACTTTTATTTTCTAGTGATATAATGACATCAGACAGTGCTGTAGATAATATAAATTTGCATCATTTAGATTCCACAAACAAAAAATCTATGAACAAAAAGAGAGGAGAGTGGGAAGAAAATGAAAAAAAGAAAAATGAATAAATATATGTTTGTAATAATGAACAAAAACTGATCTCAAACAAGAAAGCAATGAGCACTAGCCTTACAATCGGAATCATTTGACGTACTGACTTATAAACAGTAAGTACAGAAAAGATGGGGAGAGAAACATGGAACGAAGAGAAAGCAAATAGTTTCTGGGATTTGCAAAAATCTGCCGTAATACTGACGTTGCTCCCTCCAGAGCTGTAAATATTTCTAACTCCGATGATCGGTCGTTAGATGATTTGCATATATTTGAGCATAGATGCGTTTTAGGATGGCTCTGCTATATGTTATTACTGTGTATCGGCCAAGTAAGATTTGCCTTTGTTTGGTCATGGATAAGATCGCTGGTGCCGCTTGTAGATTATGTTTGGCCCCTAAGTCGTGAAGTAATACCCGTGTGAGCATACTGAACACGTCATATGTATGAGCAATCATTTCCGACTTTCTTATCTGCTGCAAGAAACAGAAACATTTGAACGTAGTTCCCTATCGCATTGAAATGTTTTCATGTGAATCAATCGGATTGTTTTGCCTTTCTTGAAAAGGTCATTTTGGGCAAGGATTGACGGTTTTCCATCAAATAGAATTCATTCGTGAAGATTTGAAAAGAAATAAAAAATGTGTAACAGAGTAGGATGGTTCAAAGCATTTAAAAAAAAAACGACCTTTAAAAAGCAGAAGCTGTAAAGAATTTAATTGATAGAGAAAGATGAGCCCAACAATACTCAGCGTGAATTATTAATGGTTTATCATCAGTGATAATGATCTGACCCAGATCATATGATCGGAAAAATTTGAACTGAATAAGGTTGTGACTATAGTAATATTAAATCTAGAGTTACATTTTAATAGTTAGTAAGAACTGTCCTTATGCATTAGAAGCGAGAAGACACATCTCAGAACAGCTAATACAAAGTTGGGAAACAGCATTAGATATCGAAACTGGGAAGTGGACGGTTTGTGTTTTTGTCAATGGTAGTATTCATTACTAAATAATCACTGATTGAAAAATAAGAAAGGACAGGTGGAAATGCCATTGCAATCAGTATTTCTTAAAGGTGTGCTTATGATGAGTCGTTCTAGTATCTTGCATTTCCAGATCAAACGATAGCTATTAACATAAAAATTTAGGTAAAATAAATATACAAAGATGTTATTCAAAATTAATTCTCGGCTTTCTAGTTAGTTAGATTGCGTTTCGTTTAAGTTATGTTTTCAGTTTATTTAGATTATTTTTAAATTCACACTTCCATGAGATTAAACAAATAACTCTCATCGAGCTTGCAACTTTCTTGAACTGTTAACTGGGAATCTCGGGAAATTGAACTGTTAACTGAGAATCTCAATATCGAAAAAGGTACCATGCACAGAATTAGATTTCCATAAGCAACACTATGGGTAGAATTAGCTGGGTAGAAAGGATACCTAGGATAGCATTACTGCTCAGTATAATATAGACTGCAGCTTCTTCAACAATTCAGTGTTGTAAAGTGAAGGAACAACAAAAGTGAAAGCAATAATACTTATTGACGAAATTTCAAACAATCGTGTCGCAATTTAATTAGTCCTAATTAATCGTTCATTCATTGCATAAGAGATGCTATAAACATCGCTGTAAACTGTAAAAGTTTAAAGTTTTCTTTGGCATGCTTACAGAATTCCTGTCAACCAGTCCTTCCAGTGTACATCTGCCATCCATGAAGCAATCAGTATTCTCTTTACAGCCCAGTACGTCCGCTTCCTTCCTTATAACTAACTGACTTTCATCGTACTTACTTATTCAAGATGCTGTGTCCTCTTTTTTAGAGGACAATTAAGTTAAGTCATTCAGCTTATGTTTTGAATGTTGCTTCTAGCAAGTGTATTATTAGATGGGAGAATTCCCAGGTAATATTTCATGTTTCCGTTAATAACGGAATTAGTTTCTGGCAATAGCACACAATTTGATTAGAAAAGATGTGACAAGTGTGACATGCATGTCCCGTTTAAATCTCACTTTTCCTGAATCCTGCTATCGCTTCCGTCCGACAATTTCAATGCACGAAACGATTCTGTCAGCTGCAGGACATATATTTTCGCAGCGTCACCTACGGTCAGTCCGACTTTTGTTGCGTAGTGGTGTGCGTGTGGTCGATTGTTAAGTCTGTCCTGTACTGCGGATCGGCTTATGTTGGGCGCGGGGTACAATATTCAGTGTTGTGGTTGTGGCTGCTCGTTGCGGTGAGTGAGTACAGCTCGGTTCACTCTTCCTTTTAGCATGCAGATGATTCGGTTGCATGCAGTTGCAGTGATTCCTTAGATGTCTCACACTAACTTCTATAACTATTCTACATTTTCAGGTGTTCACACTGCTGCACCTATCTGTCACTGTTGCTAGTGCATTCCAATCAGTGGGAGATGACCGACGAGGAGCATTCTGATTCTCGGACAGAAGACGACTATGAAGAAGGCGAAGAAGCATATGATGATGAAGGTAATAATATTTCATTGCTTCTGACGGCAATTTGAACTCTTAAAAAGCATTTCCCCATTTATCATGTAAGAAAATGCTTTGACATGTTGGAAATTCTTGTGCAACTTTTTCCGTGATTTGCAGGTACTTTAGACGAAGAGGAAATGTTGCATCCAGAAGAGAACTATCAAGATGAACTTAAAATGCTAGAAGATGATGCAAATTTATCAGTGGAAGAATTAAGACAAAAATACTGCAGCGTTGTTGCCGATGAAGAGTATGATGATACTCAGTCGGCATCAACATCAGATGATACCCGTAAATCTGAAAGTGTAGATGATACAGCTACGAATCTTGATTTCACGGAACCAGGTAATATTTCTCTACTTCTGTCAGTTTCTTGATCTTTGAATTTTTGAACGAATCTAACAGAATGAAAGCTAACGGTTACATTTGCTTTCTGTTAGTTACAAATATAGTTATTTCCTTCCCGTTATGCGTATTTTTTCCTAACTTGCGAGGCAAATTCTGATATTGGATCTAGCAAATTGTTTTTCTGTGAATCTCTCTTGTTCGAAACTACATTTAGCTTTCTCATTTAAAATGTTGCGTACAACTTCAATGAAATGAGGGTCTGAGATTTAAAGAGTTTTTTTTTTAAACTAACAATATGTATGTTAGTTTGTTGATGTAGCCCATCATTCCCCAAGTTACAGTAATCAAAGATTTCTAATTGGAGTCTTGTGTCTTTTTCCCTTCAGATATAGTTGCATCACCAGTTTCGTCTTCCAAAAAAGGAAAAAAAGAGCATGGGTATTTCTCAGATGTTGATGATAATGAAGAGGACACTGATTATGTGCCACCTGATCGTTGGCGGAGGATTGTGAGGCAGGGAGCAATGTATCAGGCCTCTGTACCAGAAACAATGTCGACGGGTTCCAGAAGTCCAAGTAAGGCTTTCTCAGTGTTTTTTTTTAGCAAAAACTTGTTTTTCATAGTTTCTAATTTAAAAATTTTTGGTCTTATGTAGGAGAAGAGCTTGAAATGCTTTTGTGGTCACCTCATTGTGATGTATCAATGAAGAAAGTGGAGGAATATTTGAAGAACTATTACGACAGGGTACTACAAAGCAATGACTCATCTTTGCCGGTCGAAACGCGTAAATCTGGGATTTCAAATCGAAGTTTTCCTGTGAAGGATGATGAAGACGCTTTGAAGTAAATTTATTTGTGTATTTAAGTAACAGCGTTTTTAATTTCCTACTTTTTTAGTTTATTATTTATTTAGAGCCCTACTGAATGCGAAGTACAATACAAGCATGGCATTGGCCAGTTATCCATTTCCACGTGCTAATGCTCCTTTGAAGAGTGTTGGACCAAATCCTGCCAAATGGAATGATCAGGTTCTTTACATGTTTTCCTGAAATTTGAGATATAAAACAGATTATACCAGTTTGTTAATACATATGCATTTAGGACTGCGAGCTTTTCGAAAGAGGTATGCAGATGTATGGAAAAAATTTTTGCCTTATTAAGCGATTGGTAAGATCTTCCGTTTTTTTTTTTTAATGTTTTTTACTCGGCATTAAAACAGGTGGTGGGATGAATGCTACTTTTTTTATAATATTTAACTTTTTTATTGTCAAGCTACAAGTGTAGTAATTTTGTAGTGATATGTTTTTGATATGTTTTTCATCAGAACTCGTGTTTTATGTTAAACTGTAAATGCATTTTTTCATTTTATTGCTTGTTTGTGCATTCGTTTCCGTTATTCTCATTTTCTTTCATATTTTTTTAATAGCGTTTATACACCATATTAATCGTTTGCAAGTGTCCAAATATCAAATGATTTTTATTACTACCATCACCATCGTCTTACCAAAAAAGCGAAAAGAAAGAAGATATTTCTCAGCAGGATCCGTGCAGCAGGATTATAAGTATTTTAATTTCAAAGTTGAATTTTCAGTTACCTCATAGGACTGTCGGTGAAATAGTACACTTCTACTACATTTGGAAGAAAACAGAACGTCATGATATGTACCAGGAACGAGTTCGCGAAACGAAAAACCAAGACCATCCTAACTGCACGTATGTTTATTCATAACGATACATCCGTTATTCCATAGCTATAATCTAAAAGCGTTCTTGTTGCTTACATTTTTCTTTTTATTGGGCGATTATAAATTATAGTAAGGTGCAGTTATCATTGAGGAAGAATATATGTCGTAATGGCGGTTAATTCTAAATGTGTGTTACGAAGGTTTACATGTGAAATTTATACTACTTGTATTTTCAGATGTTGTATATCAAAAGTTTTTAGTGATTTTATGGGTGGATTAATGGATCATATGGATGAAAGGAGTAATGTGAATGTATTGGACATAGCAGCAAATGCAGTTCCGGCTGAAATGGATTTGATAAGTAAGGACTGGGATTGGAACAATGAAGAAGATAATACGCTTCCTCATTTGGATAGCGATACGATTGCAAACGTATTACAGTGATGCTTTTGGCTGCAGAATAATTGTGTTTGCTGTTTGTGATCTCTTTAGTATTATTTTTCTTAAAGCATTTCCCTGAAAGCATTCATTTCGTTTAATTTTGACTGTATAAATAATAGGTTTAGAAAGTAATTGTCACGCATACGGAGCATTACTATGGCATGCGCTCATTCGTTTGAAGTAGCATTTCCACCGCTTTATCTCATTGTTTCTTCTTTAACCATGTACAGTTTCCGTTTATTTCATAATGCATCTAAAAATGGATTGTTGAACGTACTTTTTTCCTGTTGTAATATTCTATTATGAAACATGCAAAAGAATCTGTCTCTTAAACTGCAAAACCGGTGACCTAATCTGTGTTTAACGCATTTCATCACCAAAGCATTTTACAATTAAGAGACTAGGGCATTGCTTTCAATAGGTTAAAATTGGTATTTTTTTTAAATTTAGTGCGTTCCAGTTTCTCCAGCCGACGGTGACCATATCAAGTTTTGGCTCAGTATTGGCACCCGATTTTGCTTTACTTTTCATTTGTTCTCTGTTTAAATGTTCAAGGTGTGAAGCTGAAGGAATATAATTCGGTGATTTTTCGCTTGCCGCTGGTTTCTTCATTTTCATTCTAATTTATATTAATCTTACGCAAAGATTTCAGTTTTCGGACATTTTGGTTAATAAATCAACTTATTCTCATGTTTGTAGATGAATTGAAGCAGCTGGAGGGGTTAATGTTTTCAGGGACTGAAAGTTCTTATTGAGGTAATGTCGACAAGAGCTGAGTATTTATTGGCTTACTCTAAAACAGATGCCTAGTTCGAGTATGGTTCACCGGAGTATTATTTCTACAGTACAAAAATTGTTGTGTTTCTAAAATACGAGTAGTGTGTCCATCTGTAGGTCATGGAGATGACACAGATTTCAGCATCCTAAGTTAATACTGTATAGAAGTTATCTTCACTGATAGCTGCATCAAATATACGGGCTCCACTGACAATGCACACTGTATAAATATAGATATGAAATTGCAAGGACTTGGATTTGGTCGTTCGTTGATAAATTTGCAACTCCAAAAGTCAAAATTTATGGCTGATTGTAGGGACAGATTTACAGTTGGGATTATCAGTGAGCAAAGACAGAAATTTTTGCAAACAAATTTGCTTATTAAAAGCTTAGACAACAGCCGAATTGACAGTAATTTTGGATTTTCTCGAAAAATTACTACAATACCCATCTGAACTAATGTATTACTGCTAATGGTTGTACAGAGAAAGCCGAACAGTTTGTGATAATGAAAGATCACTGAAATTTAGGAACGGGTCAAGTACGTACCGTTTATGTGCTGCAACTAATCGTATCAAATCAGATGTCCTGCTTCATTATATATTTAGGAGGAGTATAACCAAGAAATGAAACAAACGCTTGGACGATCGTGGCTCTATTATCCATGTCTCCAACAATATTGCATACTTCATTCATTTGAAAATAGAAACCGCACATTCACTTGTTTGTTGATGTATGGAAACTCATTTTCAAATGCTAAAAAGTTCGACCATTAAGAAAGTTTTTTTTTTTTCTTTACGATGAGCTACTTTGTCGGACCAATCGGTCTTATTTCCAGCAGCAAAACATTTAATAAAGTTCACTGCTTGCGGTTATTAGGGTACAAAATCTGGCAGATTTGATGCAACAGCCTTTCAAATACTATTTGAACTACTGTGGGTCAGTTCACCTCTCCATCCATTCTATCCAGATGAGTAGCATGAAGGTATTGCCATTAGATATTAAAACAAGTGATCCAAACTGTTTCTGATTTAATAATGGTAAGAATAATGTTCACACATCTGTAAGATCGAGGTGGAAGTCATAATAAAGGTGACATATTTTCGCATAGGAAATTTTTTAGAATAATGGTCGTAGTTGTTCACTACATCTTATCATCATTCTTTCTCTTTTCCCTAATAAAAATTAGCTGTTTACTGACAACTGAAGAAGTGATTCGGTTGCATTTACATCATAAACTTTGACTGAGACTATCCTAGATGGTCTATGACCGTCGAAATCACCAATACCACACTCTTCAATATTTGATTCTCAACATTCTATTAAGATACCTTTATCAAAAAAGATTCTACATAAGACATTTTTCCAAGATATTAGTTTTCCTATTTAGCTTCATTATAACTACTTAAGGGAAAACCGAAAGGTTTTCCAGAAACATGTAGGAAAGAAACCCCATGATTTGAAGCTGGTAATCAGTTTTATAGGCATCAACTCGTCCTTCTCAATCCCAGAGGTTAAATTATAGAAGCTTCATTTAGAGAAAGGTTTTACATAACAATTCTTTGTTCTTTGTTAGTAGTAAAATCCATTTTTTTTTTTTTTTTAGAAGATAAAAATTGTTTATATCTAAATATAAACTTATATTTTCGGTTTCGGGTTGCTGGTGTTCTTTTTTATCTTTTTTAATATATTTATAAACCTGAAATTGTCTCTTTTGTTTGAATGTGTTTAGTATGCTAACAACAACCTGTTCATTTTTTCATTTTAGAAAACTAACTTTCCTAGTACGTTTTTTTAACTAGTAAATTCACAATTAGTATTTTAGCACATTTACATCAATAATTGATCAATTTTCGTTCAGGATTGCAAAACAAAGTAAAAAAACAAAACATATTGATAAAATGATAGTCAAAGAAGTTAAGAACTTCCAAACCCGATAATTACAAAAACACGGCAGAAAAACAACTGTTCACGATGAGACATGAATTTTCAATTCTGCTGTAACACCACTTTCCCACAGCCGTTTCGTTTCTTTATCCAGAAAATTTACGGAAAATTCCATCGTACAACTCTAAAAATACCACTCACTTTATCGGATGTGAAACGTTGATATTTTACGCTTCATAACTCAGTCTACAACGAGAAAATCATTTGAAAACAGATACGACTATCCAAAAGGTAGAAATGAGTCACCTGCGGGAATGCAAGAAGAAATTGAGCATTAAAGAATTTCCCTTCCTGTGGTATCACAGTTTGCAATTGTGAACAATCATTCTAGAAAATTTTTTTAAAAGCTTGTTCTATTAAAAAGCATGAAATCTGCTACAGAATCAAGTTTTTTTTTTTTTAAAGCCATCCCACCTTTCATAGAACGAAAAAGCTTTATTCTTACAGTGATGCTTTATTTCAGAATAATTTAAAAAATCAAATTTTTTAGAAATAGCTTACACTGGCACCTTTCACAAATTTTGCTACCGCTTTTACAATGACAGCTTCAACAGAAAATGCATGCGACGACTCGATTGCGCCTTCGATGGAAATTGGTACCTTCTGGTTAGACGAGACACCAACAGCAGTCTCAGTTGGTCCTGGCTGCGGTAAAACGTTTAACTTAAATGAAAGAAACTTCAAATTTCGCCCAAAAAATATGGCAAAATTCTAAACTGCTTTTAGATGAAATTTCTGTTGAAGATATTATCGAAGTTCTGAAAAAAGATACCTTTATTTGCGTATATTTCAGCTGCTGGAAAAAAAATCGAGGAATACATATCGGAAGATTACATAAGTATCCAAAGGTATCCACAAGAAACTTTAATTTCTGAAACAGAAAAGAAAAAAGCTACCCAGAAAAAACTAACTAGTCAGACACTACGTACGATAATGCAGATAATTTTCTTCAAAACTAGAAAGAATGAAATTGGAACTTTAAAGGAAAGATGTAGTGGAGAGACAAAGTACTTTTTTTGTTAGCCTCTTTTCCAAAGCTATAGTGTCCAGCTTTTCAATTTCTCCTTTGGCCCATAAGAGTGAAGTGCGCAAACGCTTATTCGCCAGCGAATAGTGCGACGAAGAAGATATCGATAAAGGACTGAAAATACAAAAAATAAGCTGGGGAGAATGTTTTGGACTATCTTGCTGGCCAAAAGAGAACTTTCTGAACACAAAATCTAGTCTTCTGGAATCGTATAACAATTGATCAGTCTCTAAAGGAGGCATCACCACATAAATCAGACTTTCCATGTCACTACGCTTTTCGGAAAGTTAGAAACAATGGCAGGATAGATGAAGGGTAGATATTACTGTCTATGTGTTGCCTATATACCAAAGCTGTGAAGATAAATAAAACTGATTCAATGGATACATTCTGGACGATCAATACAGGATGTAAATTAATTTGGAATGAGCTAAATACATTTGCACACAACTGAATAAATATACAAGAGTAAATCATAAAACTAACGACAATGGCTGCTGTTTTGCGAATAACTGCAACGCAGCACTGAATAAAGCACACATACCAGCATACAATTCTACGAAAGTTGTAGTATTAGTATCCGCATCAAAGCAATGTTTGTACAAGTCGAGCCACATATCTCGACATTTATGCATTCCTCAAAGTATAAGTCTTCACCAAAAGAATGCCTCTATTAAATTGAAAGTAATGAAAGAAGAGGCAATCAAATATTCCCAGCTAGAAAATCCAATTCATTACAGAGGACAAAATCGCAAATGACTTACTTAATGCACAAGCTTGCAAACGAATTGAAACTCTTTTAATGATAAAAAGAGCTGGCTTATCATTAAGTAATAAATTCGTATTTACAATAACCAAAAAGCTGCGTAGAGCCGCATACATGCTACACAGGCAGTCTACAAACCGCAATGGGAACATGAAATAACGTAGGGATTCTCGTGATGAGCATAAAGCCTGGAACATTCGACTCGAAAAATGTAAAGATATAATTGAAAATGTGAATTCAAATGGCTCATTTAACTTCATTATAAAGTGGCAAAAATAAAACGATGCTAAACGAACGGAAAGTGATAATCGAGCACCATTGAGATTTTCAATAGATTTTTCCAAAGCAAGAACCGTAAATTCGGAAAGTGATGCACAACAGATATCTCGTAAAGCTGTCAGCCACATTCTTGTCTGGAATGATTTCACCTAAAACAGAATTTGCATTTGAAACATTAAAGTAATAGCACCAGTAGAAAGAAACAGA